CGAAAAATGGCAATATTAACTACACGTTTAATTTATATTATATATGTGTAGTTTTACTATTGATATGATCTGATTTATTACATAGCTGCCATTTACTTAGGATGGCTTAACATATTCAAATAATCATTCATAACACTTGAAAACCCTAAATTTTCTAATATACTAGTATCAAATAAATTATAATAATACCCGATAAAATTACATTGTTTAACCACGAGGAACTTACATTTATAACTTTATTATTTGACATTTTAAGTGCGTATAGTGCTCTTATACTAGTCCACATTCTAAAAGAATCAGGCAAAAACCTCAGTGCCCTAATGATAATGTAAAATAATAATATGAAAACTATTGATATAATGATATCTAAGAACAACCTTGGTGGATGCTGTTTTGGACATATATTATAAATGATGTGTAGAAATATTACAAATGGGATATGTATGTTAATGTATCTATAAGTCAAAGTTATATATAATAGCTTATCTTTCTTTGTAGATTAGCTCAACATCTCTCTAGATTTATATAAATATCTAGTCACTCGAGCTATATATATGAGTGTATCTAAATGTGCATGACCATAAGCAAAAGCTATCTGTTCATGTCACATGGGTTCCATTTATGGTAAACAAACCATCCCAATTTATATCCAATAGTGGACAAACATGTGATAACAAGACCCCAAACAAAAAACATAATACAAAAATAAAAATTTATAAAAAATCAAAAGGACATAAACCAAACCACCATGCCATGAGAGACCAAAACACATGCACATACATGGGAGCCTACACAAGCTTGTTTTGGTTAATGCCCTAATTTATTTGTCCACCTTATAACCAGCACTTTCACAATCTCATTCCCAACTTTGTCTTATAATCCCCCAAATATAAATAATGAAGAGGTGACATAAACCCATTTTAAGATAATCTACTCCACAAAAATGTTATCTAAAATTTCAAATTTTAAAGAGATTTAAGAAACTATTGGTGCTCGTGCTTTCATGCAAACATGATCCTAGACAAAATCTTGAGACTATAGTTTAATCAAGATTCAAACATGTTCATACATTTTATGGATGTCTTTTGGTGAATAGAATTCAAAATTGTAATAATAGATGTAACACTAGTGATAGAGATTGACTTGCATAAAATTTCATGCATATGTCATACAGAGATAACTACGTGGTCTCTTATATGAAAGTAAAAGTTTGATATCTATCAAATTCTATCTAAACTTAGAACAATCTAATAATTTACTCAAATAGCCAGTTGTACATCATATCATAAATTTGAATTCAGTACAACGTTTAGCGACGCGAATTCATTTATCAAAATCTGGAACCTTGCATCTACAACAAAAATATTTTTTTTAATAACTTCTTTGTGAATTTTTTTTTTAATAACTTAGATTGACATATTTATATAATTATATATGGGTAGATAAACTTATATATGGCAAGTTGCATGTATATGTGATAAAAAAAAAAATATCAATGTATATTACGAAGATGTCATAAGTACGATTTATGAACACATGACTTGCCTGTGGGACACTCTTTTCTCCACATGTTTCCCTTTTTTTGCTCTTTTTAGGGCTTTTCCCCCAGACCTTTTGTTCTTTCTTTCCTCAATTCACATGTCTTGATTTTGAAATATGTAGACCCACTAATTTGACTCTCGTTATACCAAAGCGTAGTTTAGTTTTAAGGGTAAAAATAAAGGGAGAAGCAAATGACCGATTTTGATACATAGGAATGTGTTATGTGTATATTCTAATGTTTATTCGTTTTACTATATGTGTATTATTTTGAGTTAGATTGCATCTAGATTTTAATTTTGTTTCTCTCTCCTACAGCTCACGCAAAATTCATTGTTCTGAAGGAAGCCATGGAGAAAAAAAATACACACATTGTTTATTAAGTTCATAAATCCACCAATATGTTGACATAAAACCAAAAAAAATCACTATTCTGAATGGGAAACCGATCGTTTGTTTAACATTTTTCTGTCAGAAAGTTTGATCTCTTGTTCTCGTTACACACCAGTAACCAGAAACCAAAACGATTAATTCCACGAGCATAACAATCTGATACAGATAATTAGACTAGTCTATTCCAGTCGCTTATTTAATCCCGTGACGTCTTTATCGCTCCATTTCTTCAGAGAGTAAGCGTTTTTGTTCGTTTCAGTGTTGTGTTCGTTTTGTTATCACACTGGGTATAATTTTGAACGTTTAAAACGTTTTTATCGTTAGTTGTCGTAACCTATTGCCAAAATCTAGATCGTCAAACCAAAGAATACAACAAACATATAATTTAGTTTCTATGAGTCGTTTGTTCAGCCGCTTGTTGTTGCTAACGACAACAAAAAGATCAAACAATAAAACATGTATGTCACCTCTCGTTAACAACAGCGAGAACGACCAAAGACTCTCATTTCTTGTTTAAGGTAGTCTCTCTGATAATGTCGAAAGGTTAAGACTCTCATTTCTTGTTTCTATGGCTTTTAAATGGATCAGCCTAATACATATGATATACATCCATAAAATGTAGAAATACAATGGGCCCTGAGTTTATTAAATAAGAAGTCAGCCCATTTCAAGGCCTAGTGGACACCTTCACATAGGAAAAAAATTAATATGTTACTTTTTTTTTTTCTGTCATATATTTTATTTAATAAATAAATATTTCAAATTTATCTCAAAATATTTTTCATTTATAGAAACACGTTTTGGGAAAAATAAAGCACTTTTCATTCAATTTGGGTCATGAAAAACTAAATTGAAAAAATGAGTTATAAATGGGTCCAGGCTCCAGCCCACGCCAATTCTGTCACAATTTGTTTTCTTTTATGAGCCACACAACCAGCGAAAAAAGGACTTTCATCGGTCCAGTAATTTACCAAAAGAAACCACCTTGATGATCCCTAAAGGCTAAAGCCATAGTATGATACAGTTCACGTGCAAAATCAAAGGATTATATCTAATTTAAAGAATTGAAATAAGAGATACAAGAGAAAACCGACGAACAAGTACGGGGAATTGAAGAAGAAGGACCGCAAGGAAAAGAGATTTGTCAAATTCAAATGTCGAGGACTTTCTAAGTGAGATGTATGAGTATGACCTCACCCTAGATTCTCTTTCTCTTCTTCGTATACTTATTTTTTTCTTTCTTCTCTAGTTAAACTTTTAAAATTGCGTTTTTCTAGTTCATCACTCTATAGTTGGTGGAAATTATTACTCCATTCTTTATTTATACGGCTGATTATTAAACACGGCCAACAAATACTACTACATAATTCTTCTTAATTTTTGTATACATATGGGGTATATCGAAAATCTTGAGTGCACAAGACGATGAAAAAACTGATGATATAAATACTCCTTTTGTTAGAATCGTTAAAAAAAATAAAAATAAAATAAAAGGGTTGGTCTCAAGTCTCAACTCTCAAAAAGTTTCGTTTTCAACGCTATAAATTGACAGAGTTCTGTGTAGAGAAAATGACAAAGGCTGTGAACTAAATTGACATGTTATAAGGCTCCAATAAGTTGGAATCTCTGCCTGCACGATCTGTTTTATCCAAAACAGAATTTCTTTTACTTCAGTATTTTATCTCTCCCAAAAGAGGATCATAAAATTTCAGATGGAATATGCAATGATTTCGACTATATATGCTCTAAACAAATGAATAAAAATAACTGTGGCATATAGGAAAAATATGACATAGCTTGGAGTTTTGGACTATGCTAAAATATGTTTTGTAGCACACGACAATCTAGTTGATGTATAGAGACAGTTCTTTCTAAACGTTTTTTTTTTTTTTTGCTAACTAGTTTTTTGTAAGCATTATATGAAATCATGCAGTAAGATTATTTTACTTAAGCTAACATATTTCCGAAACACTTTGAATTATACTAGTGTGACTTATAAACTAAGTAGGATATATAAGTAAGTTATAAACAATATTATTTGCTTATAATTTTATAAGGGTGTCCAAGAGCGTTACGTTCTCCTTTTCACTGATTTTACAGCCACTTTCCCCTTTTTATCAGAACTTTATAAAAAAAGTTAGTAAGTTGGATTTCCAAGGTATATATACATATGATATAGTATATATGTAGAGAAGCAAGCAATAGACAACACATAATATAATAACATTATGCATCATCAAGTACTTTATAATGTATAAAAAAATATGGGCCAGAAAATTTCGGAGCAGACAATACAGTGTCCAACTTTCTACGTGAACTTTGGAATTTAGATCCATTGTTAGATTCATATGTTGGCTACATATATATGTCATGTTTCATTCACCTACACCTAATTGATACAAAATCCCATTCGATCTATTTCATTGGTGAAAACGGTATTAAGAAGAATCATTTATTTGTGATTCAAAAAACCAGAAACAAAATTCTTGATGTAATTCAAAAAGATATATAACTTCGTGGGAATGGTCACATGATTATTTAAACAACTTCTGCAGATTAAAGTTTGCAGAAAATAGGAAAGCACTTATCTCTATAATAGCTATCCACTTCCTTGAAAGTCTCGTTATATCGAAACTTTATTCAAAATCCTTATTCTTTCATCGTTTTATTTTCTTTCCCATAATTATATTTTTCGTTCACTTCGAACAATTGTGGCATTACGATTACAGAAACTTTCAGTGTAATATTAAATTCCCTAATGTTGTAGATAATATAAACAGAAAATGGTAAAATTAATTCAAATGGAGTGACAAATATAGTAGTTCTCCGCATCCTAAGTTACGAATAACCTTTATCACTATACGTTAAAGTATAAAACACTAATGGACTGGACCCTATCGCGTGTACCAATCGGCAAATCGTACGCATACTTCGTCGTATCTTTCTTTTTTATTTATTTACAAATTTGTAAAATTTTAAAATTATAAACTGTATTTACACGTGAAACCAAACTAAAACAGTAAAACCACTGCGAGAAAGAATCTCACAAAATTGACAATAGAGTGAAGAGAGGGGGAAAAAAAAATGGGTCGAGCGACAAGGTGGTTCAAGGGTTTGTTCGGAATCAAACCCTCTTCTTGTTCCGGCTCGGTCGCCGTTTCCAACCGCCTTGACCGCTCTTCACTCGCTGGAGTGTCTCTATGCGACAGCTACGAGACGATACCTCCTAACATTTCCGAGAAAGAAGCTGCGTGGCTAAGGTCGTTCTACGCGGCCGGGGAGGAGGAGAGAGAGCGTCGAACGCATGCAATTGCGGTCGCTGCGGCCACAGCTGCTGCCGCTGACGCAGCGGTTGCGGCTGCTAAAGCTGCGGCTGCGGTTGTTAGGCTCACGGGTCAAGGGAAGAGTGGTCCGCTAGGTGGTGGAAAAAGCCGTGAGAATCGTGCCGCTATGCAGATCCAATGTGCATTTAGAGGCTTCTTGGTACAAACAATTTTTTTTTTCTATTTAATATTCCTAATCATTTCTTGATATTTTAATTATTATGAAGTAAATGAGCCGTTATATGATAATGTTATAGGCGAGAAAAGCGTTGAGAGCGTTGAGAGGAGTGGTGAAGATACAAGCTTTAGTGAGAGGCTATTTGGTACGGAAGCAAGCGGCGGCGACTCTCCGAAGTATGGAGGCACTTGTTAGAGCTCAGACTACTGTTAAGTTTCAGAGAGCTCTTCGCCGTATCGGAAACGCTACTCCGGCGAGGAAGTCCACGGTAATACTTACTTTTCCGGTTTGACCGTACTGTGTTTTATGCATATTAAACTCACATCTGATTTCGGTTAAGTATCAGCTTTAGAGTCTCATAGTTTGATTAGCAAAAGTTTTTGACAAGTTGATATAGCAAATTATGGATAAAATTTTCATATCTCTCTAAGTTTAGTCTTTTTACATAAAAAGGTTAAAAGGCTAAGTTTAATCAACGTCGATGTCTCAAATTATGTAAAAAGTTTCATTTTCTGCACATAGAAATTCTGGCCCATACTGAAACTTTTTAACCTTTAATTTGCAAACAGATGAAAGCTTTTGAACCAAAATATTTGAACTTTTAACTAGCTTATAAAAATATTGCAATTTTTTACGTGATGCAATTTTTGGGATATTTTTAAACTTGTGAACCAAAATTGTAAAAATATTTGAACTTACTAACTACTTTGTAATTGGAACTTTTTACAGGAAAGATTCTCAGGATCTATGGAGAACCGAAACAGCGGCGAAGAGACAGCTAAGATAGTAGAGGTAGATACAGGGACCCGACCCGGTCCTTATAGAATCCGAGGACCCGTTTTATCCGGTTCGGATTTTTTAGACAACCCGTTTCGACGCACGCTCTCTTCACCACTCTCGGGTCGGGTCCCACCGCGTTTATCAATGCCCAAACCCGAATGGGAGGATTGTAGCAGCAAGTTCCCGACGGCGCAGAGCACACCTCGTTTCGCCGGAGGGTCTCCGTCGAGGAGCGTATGCTGCTCCGGCGGTGGAGCAGAGGCGGACGCAGAGGCTGAGGGGGATCCTTACCAGTTCTGTTTCTTGTCGGGGGATTTTCACTCGAGTTCCATGGCGGATACGTCGTCGTTTAGGGCGAAACTGAGGTCGCATAGCGCGCCGAGACAGAGGCCGGAGAGTAATGCTGCCGGCGGCGGATGGAGGAAGAGTATCGGGGGAAATGGCGGTGTTCGGGTGCAGAGACCGTCGTGTTCGGGTGTCCGAGACGCTGTGGTCGGAAACATCGAAAGGCGTCGGTTCAGTGGTGATTCGTGTCGACATAACTATGGATATTGAACGATGTTTTTAAAAAAAGGATTATTGAACATTGTTTGATACTTATTATTATAGTTTTGTAATTTGACTGACGCTCGGAGTGTAATACATCGTGCTACATGTATGCAGATCTCTTTACTCCCTGTGATTTGTGCATGAAAACGGATTTTAATTACTTTGGTTCCCATAAGAAAATTTGTTTCCCGATTTTTTTGTATTCAAATATTTTTATTGAATTAGCAGAGTTTTGTCACGGATAAAGTCATAAACCTGTAGCATTTAAAAAATTTAAACTAACAAATATTCGAAACATATAATAGTTTTAAACGACATTAAAAAAAAAAAGTAATTGTATTAGATTTTTTTTAGATTTGAGAAACAAATACTTTGGTTTGGTATTTAATTTGATTGAAGTTTCAGTTCAATACCAATCCAATGTTATTGCCTACTGCGCGTGCAGGGTACAGATGATAGATAACCAGTTAAAAGAAAACACGTGCCATCACGATTAACTTCAACGCGTGTGGAGAAGAGGAAAGTTGCTTCCTTCGAGCTTAATCCATCCTTGTGAACACAAACGCGGAAGAACAAAACCAAAAGTCCCCTCCGAGATTTCCAATTTTTTTTTTTTTTTTTTTGCAATATCCTTTTAAATTCATCACCTCCATCGCCAATCCAGATATCCCCAGGTAATTTTAATCCTTCTCCAACCTCCATCTGATTCTTATCTTTCCCGTAGTTTAATCGATTTATTGGTGAGATATCGATAGATCGGTTTGTAAATTTTCGGCGGATTTTCTAGTGATCTGCAACCGTGCCTATCTGTGGTAGAAGAGATCGAAGTGGGTTTCTTCATCGCGGGTGATTTAAGCAACATCCTCAATCAACCATGATGAATCGGCTATTCGGGAAACCTAAGCAGGAGACGAATGCTCTCCAAACCTTAGACAAGCTTAACGAGGTATCACTCGATTTCACTACTTCTCTGTTTCATCTATGTTGGAACTTGAAAATCGCTATACTGTTTTTGTTTACTATTGGGATTGCATCAAAATAAGATATGAGTTTGATCAATCTGGTTGAAAATATCCGTTTCTTCGTTTTGTGTTTATTCAAGACTTATAGTTGATACTCGAATGATTCATCTTGGATGTAAAATTTCGAGATTTCTGGGTTTTTTTTGCATATGACCATATCCAAGCTTTGTTTATGTTCCCATTAGTTTCTATACTTGTTGTTGCTCATTGTAACGTTTGTTTGTTTTTACGGCAGACTCTTGAGATGCTTGAGAAGAAGGAGAAAGTGCTCCTGAAGAAGGCTGGACAAGAGGTTGAGAAGGCCAAAGAATACACCAGGGCAAAGAACAAACGCGGTACAAACCAAATTGTTTTTGTGACCATTATGGCTCATGTGTCTTTTATATACAATCTATGATTCACGCGCGTTGTGATTACTTAGCTTTATTGATCTTGTGCAGCGGCTATACAGTGTTTGAAGAGGAAGAGGTTATATGAGCAACAAGTTGAACAGCTTGGGAATTTCCAGCTGCGTATACATGACCAAGTGAGTTTTTTTGTTTTAAGTAGTACCTTACTACTAAGTTTGTTAATTTCAGCATATAATAATAGGATCGTATATCTCTTTTCGAACAGATGATTATGTTAGAAGGCGCAAAAGCAACAACCGAAACCGTAGATGCATTGAGGAGTGGTGCTTCTGCAATGAAAGCAATGCAGAAAGCAACGTAAGCGACGTTTACCACACTTTTCACCATATTACCTGCTTTTACTACGTTTTACCTGTTATCTTATCCTATGGAATGGTTAACTAAAAGACGACTCTGTTCTGCAGAAATATCGATGACGTGGACAAGACCATGGACGAGATCAATGAGCAGACCGAGAACATGAAACAAATCCAAGAAGCACTGTCGACTCCGATCGGGGCGGCGGCTGACTTCGATGAGGTAACTTTCTTTGCACCCCCCCACAAGATCATTTTCTTCCAGCTTAATCATCTTTGTCTGAGAAACTTTCCCTTTGATAGGATGAGCTCGAAGCAGAGCTTGAAGAACTAGAAGGTGCGGAGCTTGAAGAGCAACTTCTTCAGCCGACAACAACCGCTCCATTGCCTTCAGTTCCCGTGCATGCAGGGCCAGGGCGTCAAACCGCCCGTCCTCAGAAGCGGACCGCTGAGGAAGAAGAACTCGCTGCATTACAGGCTGAGATGGCCCTCTAAGGTCACTTTCACTTCTCTTATCTATATAACCATAACAAATCAATCAATGCTTTTTTTTTTTTCAAACGGCTTTGGTTTAATCATTGAAACGGCTTTGGTTTTTTGAAAGCGCAGGTTATTACACCTCCTTGAGCAGATCTGTATGCATTGATAAACAAGAACAGACGATGTATATAAGGATCCAAGTCAAATTAAAGCGGAGGGAAACTTCAATAATCCTCGTCGTGAATGCTATCAACATTTGAGTGTTCTTCACACATTCTGTCTATTGTAATTTTTCTATCTTCTGTGGCACTTTTCTTTTGGTAATCTGCTCGGCTACCACTTAGTAACTTAAAATATTTTTCTATCTTCACTTTCTCGCCTTCTGAAAATGTATCCACGTCGTATCTGCTCTTAAAAACCATCGTGCCGTTTGGAAATATTAAAACAAAACTACGTGCCGTTTCAAATTCAATTTAAATTATGGTTTTACAGTGGAATAATAAAACGAAAACGACGAAGTTATTATTTTATTTTACCAGAAAGCTAGGGATTATATGCCCGCTCAAGTTTTCGAGCTTCTTCAACAATTTTCATTTCGAATTTTTAGAGAGAGAGAGAGAGGTGAAAGAAGAGAGAGAGACAGAGAGAGAGAGAGAGGAGAGAAAAAGGTGTACCAGAGATTGACATCCTTTGGATTACATCATCGGGAACAACGAATCACGATGGTAATTTACTCTAGAGCATCGTTCTCTTCTACCTTTGATTATGTTTCGCATTTTTCATCTCTGTGATTTTGATTTTTTTTGCGAAGATCAAGTGATTCTCCGCGATTATGTGAACCGTACTTTCTGTGCACTGAGCTTAGCTTATGTTTATTTCGGCTCGAGAGAATTTATATTGATTTTTGATTCCGATCTTTTTGTTTGAATTGTTTACAATCCCGATGTGTTTTTCTATTCAATCTTCGCGAACTATGTTAAAATGTTCCTAGCTTGGATCGATATCACTGTTTCTTCCGTGGCTGATGGAAATATTTCTCTGAGGAAATTCCGCAAACACTTGGATTGCATTTATCTAGCAGTCAATTTTCGCACTCTACACTTGCAAATCAGTGTAGTCGCTGAATTGATTGACTACTAAGAGTTTGAGTGACGAATCGTTTACTTTTCTTAAGCTAATTTCTCGTTTCAACTGAATCGCTGCTTTCTGATTTGGATACAAACCAGTCAAAGAAACGGGGGCTTTCGTTAGAGGAGAAGCGGGAGAAGATGCTTCAGATATTTTACGAGTCTCAAGACTTCTTCCTGGTGAGCACTTTTCACTAGTTAATTTTGAACGCCTTTGAACTAGCTTTGCTTTACCTACCAAGAGTCATCGTCGTCTGCACTTATGCGTCTCCGCTTTTGGAAACATTCTTTTTCAGCTAAAGGAACTCGAGAAGATGGGGCCTAAGAGGGGTGTGATTAGTCAGTCGGTGAAAGATGTTATCCAGAGTTTAGTAGATGATGATCTTGTTGCGAAGGACAAGATCGGAATTTCTGTGAGTAGCTATAGTGTTCCTATGTCGAATCCTTCCACAACTTTATTTTAATCTGTTACCATATAGTACTGGTCGCTGCTATATATCGTCTGATAGTGTTCATAATTGTGCAAATGAAGATCTACTTTTGGAGCCTTCCGAGCTGTGCTGGCAATCAAGTGAGCCACCATTCTCATCCTGACATGACGATCCTAATTTAAGATCCGAGCTGTGCTGATAGATTCGGATGCTCATGCTTCAACTATCTTTTTGAATGAACAGCTTAGGAGTGTTCGCCAGAAACTTGAATCTGATCTTCAAGGTAGTAATAAAAAGCTAGCGGAACTCGTTGATCAGTGTGATGTCCTGAAGAAGGGAAGAGAAGAATCAGTAAGTAGTTTATGGTCTTGCAGAATAAATGATTGAATAAGCTTGCAGGCTCTTTTCACCAGAAATGCCTTTTTTTTTTGCTGCAGGAGGAACGAACAGAGGCTTTGGCGCAGCTTAAGGAAATTGAAAAGAAACACAAAGAGCTGAAGGTCAGATTACATAGGCTATGTGTTTGCATAGAGGTATTCACATGTTTAGCAAGTCGCTAATAGTTTTTTCTTCTTCTTCTTCTTCTTCTTTTGCAGAATGAGATGGTACAATTTGCTGATAACGATCCAGCTACCTTAGAGGCAATGAGTTAAGATCTGCATAACGTGTTACTTTTGTTTTTTGTTAAATTTTCTATGGCTTTCCCTGTCTTCGTGGAGCAGAAATAAGAATCAAACTTGTGCTTTATAGCTGCGTCAATGTGTTTGTTCTTTCTAAATTTGACAGGGGCTGCAATTGAAGTTGCTCACCAATCGGCTAACAGATGGACAGGTTTTTGATTTTGAAAACTCGGAAATACGTTTTTTAGTTTAAAATATTCATAACTTTCACCACGGCCTAAATTGTTATTTTTTTACTCAGATAACATCTTCACATTGCGACAATGGTGTTCAAACAACTTCCCACAGGCCAAGGAACAGCTAGAACATCTATACACTGAGGTATCTTCCAGATCTTTTTTACCTAAAATGCTATCAATTCCTGATTTCACGGTTTCGTACATCAGAGAGAGACTTAATTAGATGGGTTAATCTTCAGGCGGGAATCACTGAAGACTTTGACTACATAGAGCTATCTTCATTCCCTATGAGCTCATCCCATGATCCCGATACTTCAAAGCAGCTGCTAGTAGAAGATGAAGCTTAGTTCTAATACTCTCCAGCATATCAGTGAAACCGAAAGACACTACAGCTTAAATCAAAATCTTTTTAATCACTATTCACTAAGTTTCTGGTTCTTAATCCGTAGTCTTAAATGTTGCAACGGTCTGTCATTCTATGTGACCACAATTCTGTGGTCAGATAAGATTTTTATATTTCGGTGTATCTGTCGACTATGTCCTGTGCCTTTTGTTATAAGACTATTATATATCATGGTTATTTGTTGACCCACGGGTAACTTGATGACAGCTGTATTACTGTTTTTATATTATTTGTTGGCCGCTTTTTTTTCAGTCGTGAGCAGCACTTATATTATACAGAAATGGAAATAGGGAGTAGACTTTGTTTCTGTGTTATCTTAATCGCAGGTTGTCTGATTTTTTCTGACTATGATGAACTGAGCTTTACAAAAGGAGAAGAACATGGGAGCTCACTCTGTTTTTCTCATCCTTTTTGGCGTCATTGCCATTGCCATTGTGGTTCATGGCCAAGGCCAAGCAGGTTTGTGAGTCTCATTCTCGCTTAATTTCGTCTGTTTGTTTCTTTTTTTACTTGAAAATGAGCCAGCGTCAGACCAAAGATTATTGCAGTTATAAATTGAAGTTTCTTTAGATCATGGATTGAGTTGCATTTTGGACACAACCGCATGCTGCTTATTGGTTTCACATAATAAATGGGGTCTGTTTTTGTTTCTAAAATTTGAAAAGTTTGGTAAATATTATAAAACCTGCCTTGAAATCCTGATCTGAACTTTCTCAAAACGTTATTAGAGTTAATTAAGGTCATTTACTTTCTTCTCCTGATGCAGGCTTCATCAGCATAGATTGTGGGTCACCCCCAAATATCAACTATGTAGACACTGATACTGGTATCAGCTACACATGGGATGCACCTTACATAAACACTGGAGTAAATGTGAACGTCTCTGAAGAATATGGTTACCCAGCAAACCCGGTCTTGCCGTTCCCGCTCGCTGATGTCAGATTTTTCCCTCAAGGAAACAGGAACTGTTACACCTTAACCCCTTCCGATGGAAAAGGGAATCTTTATCTCATCAGAGCTTCGTTTATGTATGGAAACTACGACGGCAAAAAAGCTTTGCCTGAGTTTGATCTCTACGTAAACGTGAATTTCTGGACCACGGTGACAATCAGAAATGCTTCTGAGAACGTCATCAAGGAGATCCTCAGCTTTGCAGAGTCAGAGACGGTATACGTTTGCCTTGTGAACAAAGGTAAAGGAACTCCTTTTATTTCAGCCTTGGAGCTCCGGCCAATGAACAGCTCAATCTATGGTACTGAATTTGGAAGCAATGTCTCATTGGTACTCTATCAAAGATTGGACACAGGGTATTCGAACGGGACAGGACGGTATCAAAAGGATGTGTATGATCGTATCTGGTCTCCGTACTCTTCATCTTCTTGGAATTCAACTATGACAACTGGGTATATAGATATTTTTCAGTCTGGTTATAGACCACCAGATGAAGTTATTAAGACAGCTGCTTCGCCTAAAAGCGATGACGAACCATTGGAATTGTCATGGACATCAGATGATCCAAATGCTAGGTTCTATGCCTACCTTTATTTTGCGGAACTCGAAAATCTCAAGAGGAATGAGAGCAGAAAAATCAAGATATTCTGGAATGGGTCGCCTGTTTCAGGAGCTTTCAACCCTTCTTCTGAGTATTCAATGACTTTGTCTAATTCGCGAGCTTTTACCGGTAAAGATCACTGGATTTCCGTCCAGAGGGCCTCAGATTCAACACTTCCACCAATACTTAATGCTATCGAGATTTTTTCAGCCCACTCTCTGGATGAAGTTTTCACCACAGCTGATGATGGTGTGTACATCTCAACTTTGCTACTCAGCTACTTACATTTTTCAAGATTCCTGAACCTGACAGCTTTCCATTTTTCTCTCGTTAATGCAGTTTGTGCCATAGAAAGCATAAGATCAATGTATAAAGTGCAAAAGGCTTGGAGTGGTGATCCCTGCTCCCCAAGATTATTCCCTTGGGAAGGTGTTGGATGCAGCTACAGCAGTTCTAATCATCAAATCAAGTCCCTGTAAGTATTTCATTTTGACCAAACAAATTTTCATTTTGTCCCCTCAAGATTAGTTTTGTCGATGAGCTTGTTTATTTTTGATTTCTGCGTGAAGGAATCTTAGCTCAAGCGGATTACATGGACTAATAGCTTTCCCATTTAGAAATTTCACCCTTCTTGAGTCATTGTAAGTATACAAGCTATACATACACACTCTCCAACACTTTATTCACATTGACTAAGACTAAGAGATGTGTCCTTTGTTTCCCAGAGACTTATCAAACAACAACCTAAAAGGAATTGTGCCGGACTTTTTGGCTGATCTTAAACTCTTGAAGTACCTGTGAGTTGAACACATAGAGACTTCGTTTTAGTCGATATTGACAATAATGATATTATCTCTAAGTCGTATTTGTTTCGCAGGAATTTGAAAGGAAATAATTTGAGTGGGTTTGTCCCAAGATCTCTTAGAAAAAGATCAATGTCTGGTGGACTTGTACTCGGGTAGATTTTCTCGTCAAAACCACCGAGCCATAATCATCTTTTGCAGATAATCCTAGTGTCTCTACCATTTTCTAAAGCTTGTTGGTTTCCTCTCTGTTTCCAGTGTGGATGAACATAACATCTGTCACTCACGTTCATGTCGGGACGGGAACAGAATGGTCGTGCCAATAGTTGTATCCACATTAGTGATCGTTCTCATTGCCGCCTTGGTTGTCATATGCATCTTGAGAAGAGAGAGAAAAATAGGTAAATCTAATTGGTCCTTTACTTCAAATCAGCGTCAATAAATTGTTCAGATTCTTTTTTTGCTGAAAGAAAACGAGTGTTTAATTTTGCTAGTGTATTCAGGAGCCTATTCAGGACCGCTCCTGCCTTCAGGGAAGAGAAGGTTCACGTATAGTGAAGTCTCTAGCATTACAAACAACTTCGATAAAGTGATTGGTAAAGGAGGTTTTGGTATTGTGTACCTCGGTTCCCTCGAAGATGGGACTGAGATTGCTGTAAAGATGATCAATGATTCTTCATTTGGAAAATCGAAAGGATCATCTTCTCAAGTTTCCAAAGAATTCCAAGTCGAGGTAAACTAAACAACACCAAAAACATGATCAGAGATTTTACGCAATGTTGTTTTACGGTTGCTGAAATGGTGTAAAAATGTTATTGTCAGGCGGAGCTTCTTTTGACAGTCCATCACAGGAACTTAGCCTCGTTCGTTGGATACTGCGATGATGGTCGCAGCATGGCTCTCATCTATGAGTACATGGCTAATGGCAACTTGCAGGATTATCTTTCAAGCGAGAACGCAGAGGATCTTAGCTGGGAAAAGAGACTACATATAGCCATAGACTCTGCACAAGGTTGGTCCTAGTTTCGATATCAAATCCGATTATAAGTATGGTTCAGCTCTGAAACCTGATATCCATTTTCCCTTGGCAGGATTGGAGTATTTGCACCATGGATGCAGACCACCTATAGTACACAGAGACGTTAAAACAGCAAACATTCTATTGAACGATAACTTGGAAGCCAAGATTGCTGATTTCGGCCTTTCTAAAGTCTTCCCTGAGGACGATCTCAGCCACGTCGTGACTGCCGTCATGGGCACTCCCGGCTACGTTGATCCTGAGTGCGTTTCCTTTTTTTTACACATATTCAATCGACGGATCTGTTACGGTTCTTTCCGGTTTAACATATCACACGTTTGGCGCCTTTTTGACAGGTACTACAACACGTTTAAGCTAAACGAGAAGAGCGACGTGTACAGTTTCGGGATCGTCCTCCTTGAAATCATAACCGGCCGGAGATCAATCATGAAAACCGACGACGGAGACAAAATGAACGTTGTTCACTTCGTCGAGCCTTTCCTCGAAATCGGAGACATAGATGGTGTCGTGGACTCACGGCTCCACGGCGATTTCTCATCAAACTCGGCCTGGAAATTCGTAGAGGTGGCAATGTCTTGCGTCAGAGACAGAGGAACCAACAGACCAACGACGAACCAGATCGTGTCTGACCTGAAACAGTGCTTAGCCGCCGAGCTGGCTCGCGAGAGAAAGAGCCATCAGGAGAAGGAAGTAGTGAAAGAGAAGAACACTAAGTCGCCGATTCGGAATTATAGCAGCAATGAATATATTAGCTCGACGGGATCAGTTTCGCTTTCTTTTGGAGATTACAACACGTTTGGCCCAACGGCAAGGTAGTGAGAAATAAAAATCCAGGTTTGATTGATCTTTTTGTGCTCTTCTTTTTAAATTATCTCTGTGTTTGTTTTTGCGGTGTTCTATAATTTGATTGAGCTTATATTTTTTTTTCTTTACTTTGGGTTTAAAGATTCTTTTGTTTTTGTTTTCTTTCAAGAAAATTTGTAACCGCGAAAGTATTAATTGTAAGAAGAAAAGAATTGCATACGCTTTTGTTTTTGTTTTGTTTTGTTTTGTTTGCCCTTTAGATTACACTATATACATTTATATTTTGCAAAAAAATTGATTTAAATAGCAGTAATCAGAAGAAAACTAGTCTAACAAAAATGGCTTTACAATTAGGTTTCTTCTTTTTGACATTAAGCTCGAGGTTGTGGGCTAATCGCCCTACACAAATCTATTAATTCGCTAATTACGGATTTGGCCGTTTCCCCATATAATAACATCTGTATGTACATTCATTTAATCATATATTTATATGTGTTTCTTCAAAAATGTTAATTGTGATACCTAACATTGGACCCATATGTCGTTTTTATCTTTAAAAAAATAAGTATTTCATTTTGAATTTGTATATGCTGTAACTCTCCCGAAAGATTCTGTTGATAATATCAATGGAGTATTTCAGAGGTCAAATAACAATTACCCTAAACAAACACGATTTAAGTAAATGACCGCCTCCGTACATCTAATACATGGAACTCAGTTTTGCCCTCACACGGTAACACCTTACTTGGTTCTGTCCAAGCAGGCTCAGATCTCCGGTTATTAAAAGAAATTTAGCGCCGGTTTAGCCAGACTCCGACTTTTCTTTTGCGATGTTGCAAATTATCACATATTAATTAATGTCATTTTCTTAATGATTCACCCAAACACTATTACACACCATTGAACAAGATTTTCATTGGTTATTTTATAAAACTTTTGAAAAGTTCTTTTACGATTTGATCCAGTCAAATTCTTGAAACGTTATTTCGACGTTACAAAATTACTGATACTAGATCAACAAAAGCTAGAGCAAAACATAGTTGATATAATAATTAAGTCTTCATTCATTGATTAGTAAACAACTGGGTTTATACAACGAGAATTTATTCATATTCCATAATTGGAAAACCTAAGAAGATCTATACAACGAGATAGCAAAGTCTTATCCTCCGAATAATCTTCCCCAAAAATCCATACTTAATTATTATCACCACATAATACGAAATTAGTAGATAAAATAATATGAACACTAGAGATCCTTCCTCTTCTCCTTTGAAGAGATCTCCCAAAAAAAACGATTATAATTTTACGAACACAGATACAGATACGGGTACGGGCCGGATTTTTTACCCTACATCAACAGCTCAGATACCCACCCGACATCAGGAGCTTCATCCGAGTTATGATCCGGATCCGGTTCAACCCGATCCATGCAGTTTTCCTTGCTCAGTTTCTCAAACATCTTTGCTCGTAGCTCACGACCAGACTCAACGACCCGCTCCATTGCGGGCTCTTCCTCTAAACCATTATCCCAAATATCCAGATTCACGGGTCGGGTCGGGGTTGTGGGCAGACTTTGAAACCCAGGACCCAAGATGGATCCTCGAGGAGACCCGAATCCGGATTGGTAGCATCGTAATGGGTTGTTGCTGTAAGACGGAGGAAACGATTTCACCTTCTCAAACTGTAAGTTCCTAAACGACGTAACGACGTCGTCCATAGCGCTAGACCCGAGTGACCGACTCAGTGACTGAGTCATCGGAGAAGACTCCGAGTCAGCTCTTGGACTCATCGGCGGGGAACCAGAAACAGGCGAGATAGAGAGCTGAAACGCTCTTGCGCAGGACTGACGAATCGGGGACGAAACGTCAAAGGAGTCGACCCGATCGGGGCTCCGATTCGGGAGATACCTAAGCTGATCCGGCGAGTGAGCGAAAAAACAAACTCTCCGGCGACAGTGACCGCCGTCTTTACACGGCTGAGTCCGGTAACGAGCTGGATGAAGCCAACACTCGAAAACTCCGTGAGCGAACTCGCACGTGTCTCCTTTCTTGCAACCACCTTTTCGGAAATCAGGACAAGCCGTGCCCGAGTAATGGTACTTCCTCGGATCTCTCCGGCGAGCCTTTTCACCGGGATGAGCGTACGGACACTCCGTCCAGTCATGGCTCCGACCACGAGCACACCTCCGGATCTTGAAATCGTACATGCGGAAATGGTCACATGAATAAGCATCGATTGGAGAGTCCGGACCCAATAAATCCGGGTCAGAATCAGGATCCGGCTCGTTCGACGGAAGATAACGCTGCAACGCCGCCAAGGCTTCAAGCATGCTGCAATCTGGACTGTTCATCGCCGGAGAAAAAATCTCCGCCGCTGTAAAATCTTCAGAAGCTGGCCATGCAGGAATTTCCACCGTAGGGTAAGTTCGGCGGGTTTCTCCGATCATCATCTTTCTTTAGTTCTGGCGATAATCACATTCGTCTTTTCTCTGTGTCTTTTTGTTTTCTCGGAGGCGAAGAAGGTTTCTTTTTCTATTGTTGTTTGCTAATTCACCGGCAAAGCATTATGTAGTTGAAATACTTGACCATGGTTTGGTTAAATAAATTTAACCATGGTTAAGACTATCAGCCTAATACTAGGAGCTGCCTTTCTACTGCAGTTAAAAGCTTAGCTAAAACATTACCGTGACAGAGCTGTGAGTTACGCGTACGAAACAGCGGCTTGGGACTTCTCCACGGGATACACTTACCTGGACTTTTTCGTAATGTGGACGCTTATCAATTGACTTTGAGGAAGGTATAGTGACCGGCATGTGAGCATAATATTATTTCTTAAGAATTTATTAGATTCATTTGGAAATCTTGTTGCCTTCCGAAGTCGGTCGAGTTTTTAGTTAGATACGCTGAATGACGACAAAACAAAATAGATTATCCAACTTTAATTTAATTAATTAATTGTATAAATTTTCCCGTTCCATATTATCCTCAAATCCGAAGACACAGTCTATTTAGAATTTTAATTTATTTATTTATCCGTCGTATACTGTTTTTCGTCAAATCCGGAGACATACAGTAATAATCTGTTGCATATTATTCTCAATTTGTTTCGAATATACAATCTCAGTTTAGATTTTTCATAATGATATTATCGATAATTTCGAAACTAGAAGAACGATGACACCATTAAACAGTAATATAGTTGTTGTTAAACATATTTTCTATCTTGATGGATTATTGTAGATATTCAGAATTACATGTCAAACAAAAAAATCAAAATAACATAAATTTATATTGGTTTGAAAACTTATGTATGCTTAAATTTTGGCTACATCAATATTATGCCATTTTCTTATATACTTTCATACAAAACATTATTCTCAAACAAAAAATGCGATGAATTAGGTATCTTCTTTGGTTTAAAAATATAAAATATTTTTAAATTCCTATGCAATATGTAAATTTATGTTGATATTATATGATCATTTGTATTACACAATCTATGGTTATTTGGGTATTTAACTGAGTATTAAATGATATTTTGAATACTTCTCGGAATTTATACACAATTTTGTATGGATGGTATAACAAAAAAAAAAAAAAAATGGATAAGAATTATTTGTCGGACGAAGAAGACATGTTGGAACAGATTTGGAATAACGTTCAAAGACATTAAAGGGGAAAACATTTATGTTTCTTTGCTAAAATCGGAAGCAATTCCATATCCCCCAAACAAATCGACCTCTCATCTATTCTTTCTAGTTTCTTCTATCCTTTTTCGTTTTTCGTTTTTCATTTAAATGTTTTTCTTTCTTCCTCTCTATTTACTCAATCATACATAATACACAATTTAAAACGATCTGGTCTTAGGTTTTAATTAAACGGTGATACGGTAAATGTAATCGGTGATAATGTTATTAATATTTTATGATATAATGATATATTACATACAGAGTTCAAGCTCTTTAAATTATTTTCAACAGCTTGAGAAATTACTTCACGATTTTTTTCCATAAAATTGATTGTAAGTCATATTTATATACTAGATGAATCAGATTTGTAAAAATCAAAATTTCATATATCTAACGAAGACGACGATCTTCGATATATCATATATCTAACGAAGACGACCTAGCTTCCGTGAATCAAGTTGCAAATATCTAAAAACGTGTAGCTCATACGATTCAACGAGCAATTATTTTTTTTTTAATCTTTATTTGGAAGATAGTGAGATGTCCACACAACGTCTTTCGTTTTCATAGTCATTAGTCACTGAACCGATTAAACCATCGTGTATGTACGGACCAAAATATCTTTAGTAGCTCATACATGCATGATAATACAAGGCTGAAGTAAATTATAAGTTATATAATTAATAAAAAAAAGGAAGACAAATTTGATTGAATATATTTATATAGTAGAGTACATAATAGGGACCATAATAATATTCATATTCACTCATTATTGCTTCTTTAAACATTAATTCTGCCATCAACTTGCAAATGCAGTCCAATCGAAAGCCGGACTTCAAAAACTTATATAGACTATTTCTCTTTTGATTTCTACTCGCTTAGATATTTGTCCGACATTCACATATTTGGCAGGCTTACTTTTTTGTTTTGTCTAATAGTTTAATGGAAAATGTGCTCATAGAATAAATGTAGTTCGTCTTGTTCTAGCACATAGTTTACAAAAATAGAGAAAAATATATCTAACTAATTATTAATAGTCAACAAATATTCTTGTAAATATTCAAAAAGTAACTATATATTTGTACGTTAAAGCATTTATACAGCGTTTTAAGAAGAAAACAAAATATTGTTTTGATAACACATAAAAATTTATCTTTCAACTTGTAAATGCAAGTACGCAACTTATATATACGTCCAATTAATATTGGAATATATCGCAATTCTAAACTCAATAAATCTTTTTCTTTTTGCAGAGTCGTTCAGATTAATCGAATAAGAAAATCCTTATCGGTAACCTTATACGTACAAAATGTTATTATGCTAAGTAAAATTCCTTATCGCTAAGACGTGCTGTCATCCTAATTATATACTTCATAAATATTCAATAATTTGGCAATTCTATCGGTCTAGGTTCTTAATGTGCATTAAATGAAGTAAGAAATTTGTGCCCTTTTAAACCGGTGCTGCAAATACTATAATCAACAACTATACAAAAATTTAATAAAAAAAACTGCGGATTAGCCAAAAGTGGCCAAGTGGGTGTGCAATACTACTGATTTGATTCGACTCGAGGAGATGTGCAATATATTTAATTGTCCACCAAATTAGGCCTGGGGAGGTAACTACTAACTACACCGCAAAATGAGCAGCACATACGGAATGGTAAGGTGACGATTATTTATTTTATGGTATGGTGACAATTGACCGATCAAGGAACTTGTATCAATCTATGTTTGTGTGCATGTGTGTGTGGTACTGTCGATAGTGTGCGACTTAAACGATAACAGTAAAGAAAAGGTCAGAAAAAGTGTTTGTAATTAGTGAAATTTGAGGGACCATTATTTCATTCATTTTTCAGCAGCAAATTTTAAGATGTCAATTTATTACTTTCGCTTTTCTTTATTCTCTCAAATACCATTTATCTTTCATTATTATTATTTTCTGATGAAAAGAATTGTCTTCCATTATTATATAACAAATTTATCTATATAACTTTTATCATTGATCATCTCGGCCCATACATACAACGGAATAATATTCCAAATATGATTCCAATATATCTATATTACTACTACATGATAACCACACATGGACATGGAGGTACTTCCATTATTCCTTATATTGGTCGAGAATCGAGATGTATTGTCATCAGGCGCAGGGTTTCGTGTAAAATAACTACATAACGAATCTTAATGTACGTAGTTTTCCAAAAGAAAAAAAACCGCTAGTTGTGAAACTCCACTAAAACTACTAGAAGTAAAAACCACTGATCATTGTTTTTATTCGAATATGACACATTTGAAACATAACTTCTATCATATGTACAGTCTGTCCAAAAATTTCCCATCTTAATTTGTTCCCGCACTGTAACTCGTTTTTTCCCCATTTCCAATCGATTTTTTAACAAACATTATTCAGATTAGATACGTTAGCATAGTGTGAGATAATCAGGTAATTTGCGTGGCACGATTTTAAGCGATTGACAAAAATGGAAGCCAAATGATATGTCCTTTCTGAATATTTTTGTTGTGTAAAAGAGGAGCTTATGCATGTGATGTACGTAAAGAATGTATACGTACACGCGTCCATATCACACATGATAAGAATGCCACCTCTTAAGGAAGCATGAGGGATCATGCATGCATGCCCCATCCATCTCGACCGTTCATTACGCTTAAAATCAAATACTTTCTTATATGATTTTTTTTTTAAAAATATTAATTTATGATATATTGAACATTTATTTATCCCACTATCATGACTACTACGTGAGCCCCTTTATTCCCCCTTAATTTTTATTTAGCATAATCACCATTTCTTGGTCTTATCCAACTTACGTAATGTATGGTATACTATCTGATAGTAAGTGTCATGGATACTAAACATTTGATATATCTATATAGAATAAAGTATTATTCGCTAGATGTTATACGCCAAAGTTTACACTAACTAACCTGACAATTATTACACGCGTATAGAAACTGAGTTATTATATACTCCATTGCTAATCGAATCCGAATATTTTCTAATAGGATGAAATCTCTCAATAGAAGAAGTATCACATGATGTGCCTCAAAGTCACGTGATACCGTTTCACGCTGCGAACCACGTGTCGTATCCTTGCAACAAGTGTCCATCCTCGCAGTCCCTTTGATCGTAAAAACACTGTTCACTTTCCACGTCCCAACCAAAAAAAGTATACACAGAGAGAGGAATCTGTTCATAATAGTATTATTGTACGGAAACGAATACGTGGGTGTATCAGTTTTGGCTTTTGACCATCGAACGTGTCCTTTAGCAGTGACACAACACACCAGAGAATTTAGAACTTTCGCTAAGATTACGTCACGTGGCAACATCGACGCGATACTCCTATATCTTATGAGTTTTATCGTTACTAACTTGTTTACGGGTTGACCCGCTCCAATCGGATTACTAACTTGTTATTGACACGTCGACTAAACAAAGATTAGTCGATTTGTTTCGATTATCGCTTTGTTATAATTGTTTATTATGTTTTTTGATGTTTGAAAAATATACTCAACTTAATCAAAAGTATATTATGTTTGTGTAAGAGTACTTTTAAATATTTTTTTTGTTTTTGAAGTTTCCAGTTTATGCAAGAAATAAAATAAAATATTGATTAAAAATTATATTTTCTATGAATATACAAATTATATCACAATGTACTATATATATCAAATTTGTTTAGAATCTAAAAATCTAAATCCAGCTAGCTATTTGTGTCATACATAGAAACCGCAAACACGGGTCTTTTCGTAAAACTTTTAACACATTTTGTTACTTCTCTAGTTCTTACAATTATATGGTTATATAACTTATAATTCGGTGATTCCTTATGTTTTTAATGGTTTCAAAGCTATTCAAACATTTGACTATAAAAAGCATAAAGCACTCGATTAATGGAGCCAAATCATGTCCCTTCTATTTTACTTCAAGTGCAACTGAGTCTGAATTAGAAGAAATGGCACTTGTATATATTAGACAATGATCTTATATATATATTAGACAATAAAATGTTGTTGAACTTTTTAACAAAAACTAATAATTTCCCGACGTGAATTGGACGGCGGTGTCCGTTTTAAAGTTTTTGTCATTTAAAATCTGATTTGACAAAGTGAATTTGTTTGTGGTTTCTAGAGGCGTCCACCATCATGAAAAAGATCAAAAACATTATGAAAACGTATCAAAACATAACAATATCAAAACTAACCAACATATTTGATAAGGAAATTCAAATCGTTATGAGTGTTTCATAATATAGGTTATTTGCATATTTTTATATTATTTTTTTTACTGAATATTGTATATCCAATAAAATTTTATAATTAAGTAAATTTTAATATATTTTTTTAAATAAGTATATTTCTTAATTTTTGTGTGTTTTATCTTAAACAATCTATATGTTTATCTACGAATTAAATAATTAAGAAACAAACTTTTGAATGTTTAAGATAAAAACACAAAAATTAAGAAACATACTTTTTGTTTAAAAAATATTAAAATTTACCTAATTATAAAATTTTATTGATTATACAATATTTAATAAAAAAAGTAATACCAAAATATGTAAATAACTTATATTGTGAAACAAAAAAACAATATTCAAAACAAGATTCTGAAACGCAACATCTAATAATATATATGTAAGCGTGATGGGATATATTACGGTTTGGGCCCATTTGAAGCCCACTTTAAAATTATCAGTGGAATCTTAAGAACTGGTCCAGTTTTTATTTTTGTCAAAAGTTTCCGGTATATGATTTTACTATTTTTTTCTTCTAAGAATTAAATAAGTAGATAGATTTTTTAAGTTTGACAAATACTTTTTTTTAATCAAAATTATTAGTAAAAGAAAATAGAATATTCTTTTAAATATTATTATTATTAAAATCAAAGAAAATACAATGTCTCCGGACTCCGGTATTTAAATAGTAATTGGTATACAAAGTTGTTTCACGTGTACATGTTGATAAACTAGGATATCGCCCCACAGAAGAGGGCTTTATCTTCCATGATGCCTCTGATCATCACAAAGGTAATTTTAATAAACCCAAAAATCAAGAAATAAAGAAGTGAGATAAGGAAGGGAGTTTAGGAAAGCTTTGGTCCACTTGTGAAACAGAGGAGTGTAAGTTGATTTGTCTGTATGATACAGAACCAAAGCAGAGGATGTTAGGTAAGCTAACTAACTATTGTTTGTTCGTTCTGGTAGGACACTGAGCTGGTCGGAGTAATTGGACCTTACATATTTCCTGCGGTGATCCAAGTGTTCTACAATCACTTTGTCTTCAAGATGAGTCCTCTAGAGGCTGTTCAGAGTCCAAGAGTCTATCATAGGGTAAATGAATCAAAGACAACACACACACACTGATTTTTTTTGTTAATTTATTTCTTCCTCAAGAGTTCTTGAAGAGGAGAGGACATGAACTAGTGGTTACAAGAGTTCAATTAGTTGTCCAAAACAGAAGAGATGATTCTAAGATAGTTTTGACGACAGTGAGTGGTCTCCGCAAAGATGGGAAGCCAGCTGCTGCTAATTATGCTCCTTCTCTTATTTGATCATATCATTGTATCTTTAGCAAATCATATATTACAAAAAAAATAGTAAATGGCTAAACATATTTTGATGAATACAATAAAGACGTATTAGAATAAATATATATTGATAACGAAAAAAAACTATTACTGCATTGATAATGTCTGTGGGAGAAGAAGAGCGAGTAGGTCGTCCTTTGTAAATAATAATAATAATGATATCATTGTCATACTCATACGAACTGAATTTGGCAACTGGATTCACATTTTAAAAGAAGATCAAGTAAGTCGTCCTTGGTGAGTTGTAGTTTCTTGTCATCATCTTTAATCTGAGCGTCAATTTGCAATTTTATCACTTGAAGAAAATCCGTTTGGCGCAAGAAACGCTCTAGTTGCCCTAATTCTTCAAGGCTTCCTCTATAATCGTTTATCTCTAGCACCTTAACTGTATTCTCTTTGACGCAGACACCGTGAGTACTGTTGATAAAGTGAAGTCCCTATAGCCAAAGCAAGCAACGTATATATAAATTATTGCAAGAACAAAAGAAAGATGAAAAATAAACCAAGTATATAAATAATGTTACCTTGAGAACAAGAGTTTCTAGCTTCGGAGAGTTTTTGAGCATGATTGTAAGAACTTCCCAACCTTGTTTCGTTTTACTCTCGAAAGAAAGTTTAAGCAGGTTTCCAAAACGAGGAAACTCAGAGTCATAGAAACGACACCCTTTCCAGTATGAATAGATAACCTCAACGGTATTGGAAGAAAAGTAAAGGGTGCGAGCGTTTATTATCCAACCGATGACTTTCGATAGATTAGGATGGTCGCTGTGGTCCTGTCTTGTCAGTCCCGCGAGATCGAGTCGGGCTTCAACAAGGGACTCGATGAAAGTTGCTGAATGGAAGATACATCTAGTGTTTTCGGAGTAGTCGAGGTAGACAAGACTCGGGGTATCCAATATCATCAATCGTAAATTTGTGCGCATTGTGAGTCTTTTGAGGGTTTTGTGTGATATACAGTTGGGTTCTTCTGGAGCGTTGTAGTGGTTGATGTCAACGTAGTTGAAGACAAGCTCCTCAAGCGCTGGGCAGCCTTGCATCATGTCGTAGTAAAACTCGCCGTCGAAGACGTAAACTGTGTCGAGGGAGAGATACTTTAGCACTGGAAGTAACACTTTTGGAGATATGTCTCCGACAGAAATATATGTTCCTAGTGTCAGTTTCACCAGCGTCTTGCTTGTGAAGATTTCTGAAGGGAGAGGACGTGATGACGCGCCGATCGAATCGGTCTTTATGCGGAGATCGAGTTCCGAGACGTCTCTTTCCAAGGCATATTTTATCCATCTGTTGGTCTGAGCCATGTCGTGATACTTGTCTCGACATTTAAGCGAGAATTTCTTGATCTTGTTGTTGTTGTTGTTGCGAGATGGCAGACACAGGGTTTTATCAACGAAAGCCCTGAAGCTTTCCTCAATCTCCTTTTTCCTTCGACGTCCAAGTTTTTTTTCACCTTGCTTTGGGTTGAGGAATTCTGAGTGGTCAAAGTCGAGATGGTGTTGTGAAGCGAAGAGATGATTCATGAGTGGGAACAGATTCCTCCATCTCTTGGAGAGAATTGAGGTTGAAGCAGCTTGTTTTGTGGCAAGTTTAGACAAGATCTGAGCAAGTGTCTCGTCTGGAAGAGAGCTGATTGCATCTCCAGACACATGTTTTACCATTTTCTTCGCCATCACACACAGATCCGATCCCTGAAACCATACACGGAGATATAATGCAAATATCGATATCTGTCTCCGCACTAGAGAACCATCAACTCAGAAGATTAAAAAGACGGTAACAACTAGGGCTTCTCTTCTTAACCTTAAACCAAAAAAAACTAGGGTTTCTCTGTTTTATACTATATGATTTTATTTTCTTATATGAGAAAAAAAAAGATAAAAAAGAGTTTCAACGTGGGAAATAAATTGCTGTCGAGAAGATTTTTTTTTTAATCCAAAATAAGCCCAAGCTCAAGCCCAAGCCCAAGCCCAAGCTTAAATTCAATTTCAGTTAGTCTCTCAACCGTAAGTAAGTCCCACGGCTGGTTAAATCGATTGTCACATACAGTAATTGGATTTTACTTATATTGGACACCATTCATCATAGTAATTAATCAACATTCTTTATTCAAATAAAACCTTTTCAATTTTTAAAAGCTTTACTAAATTTTCATATTTTGTTTTTTGTTTGTATACGGTTTTATCACTGAAAAGTTAAAAAAAAAAAGGATGAAATTAACATATAAAAATACTGTATCTAACAATTGAAATTCTTATAGAGGGAGAACAAAAGGTAAGAAAGTAAGTTAGGAAATTGGGTCGTATGACTATATTAATAAGCTAAATTCATCAACTAACCATAATAAAATAAGTGTTATGATATTTTTTATATATTATACAATATATACAAAAATATTCCTATTCTTTTCCGTCATCTTCCTCTCCTCTCTTTTCATCGCCCCACCTTTTCCCTTCCTCTTCTCCTCTCTTCATTTCTCTTCCCCTCCCCTCATCTTCTATTCTCTTCCGTTTTCTTTTCTCCCTTCTTCGTTCATCTCCTCTCTTCTTTTTCTCTTTTAATTTTTTGCAAATACTATATCAAACGAAAATATTCTATAAAATTGAGATATAGTATAGTAGCTATTATAGTATAGTACAAAGATATTTTCGACAATTGATAATGAACCATGGTTAGTTTGTAAATTATCCATACAGTATGATTATATTCTTTATTTCAATTCTTAATATAGTTATATATGCAAAAAACTTTAAGTTAGAAAATTAGATCGTATGATCATATTAATAAGCTAAATTCATCAATTAACCATAGTAAAATAAGTTTGTAAAAAAAAAATTTTAAAAAAAAATTGTATCTAACAATTGAAATTTTGTTGCCTCATGTCTACGTATGATACACATGGTGAATTAAAATACAAAGTCAACTAAAGCTAACTTATTGTAACCAATGGCCTCTAGCAAAAAACCAGTAACCAATGGCCGAAAATTCATATAGTTTGATGAGTGGGACCCAGAACCTCCAATATATTGTATATTTTGTTGTCCACAAGATTTTTTTTGAAGACGATGGGGAAAAAATTAAGTCGTAGAAGAACATTTTATGAAAAAAAATTGTATGTCGTTATCATATGAAATAATATAAATATTTACTTTTATAAAATCTAATCAACTTAATTTCTTTATACCTCAATAGTTTTTTTTTGTTACCTCAATAGTTGATTCAAGCTAATTGCATACAATTTCAAATTTATGTTGTTAGTAAAACAAAATCACTGCAGCATTTGATGTAAAAGCAATTTTTTTTGGTTTGAATCTAATTTAACATTTACTTCAAAAAAAAATAGTTAGTTGATTCAAGCTGCAACGGTATTAATTATTAATACATTATACAATATAGTTATTATCCAAAGAACGTGCAGTTCATGCAACATTAGTTATTTATAAAGATGTTTCCACCTTTCCATCACGATAGTCATAATGAGAAACACATGACTGATCCAAAGTGGTTATAACTTATTTATACACTATAGTAATAATTTATAGTTATATACAAAGAACGTGCAGTTCATGCAACATTAACAAATTTAAGACTCTAGTAGTACATCTCGCTCTCTCTCTCTATGGACTTTATTGAACTATATATATAACATATCTCACCTCTCCGATTGTATCTCCATCCCAATATCGAATCAAGACTTAACTCTCGAGTGAAAGTAAACACAAAAATGGATCGGGGTTCATTGCGAGATCCATTTTTGGACATCGAAAAAAATGTTACACCGATACCTAAACAACTGAAAAAGAGCGAATCTGACATCGATAAGAACAAGCCAAGAAGAAATCGGATTGCAATTGCCTTGTGCTTGTCTCTCTTTCTTGTCGGAACCTCAGGTATTGCGTTTAGTATGCCGTAATGTTTCGGGTTGTTTTCGGGTGTAGTATTAGTTTTGAAAAGTCACAAGTATATATTCTGAATAAGAGAAGCCCATAATATATACAAATGAATTACGCATAGTGCAATAATATGAATGACTCGATCTCTCTATGAAATAACCTTCTTGTATCGTTATTAGGCATTATCTTCAGTAGACAGTTTTCCAGCCAAGAAACTGAATCCAAAGAGTCGGTTGTAACGTCGGAAAACGGCGTAGTGGCTGCCGACCACGAGACATGTTCAGAGATAGGCGCCGACGTGCTAGGACGACTCGGCGGCTCCGCCGTAGACGCCGCAGTGGCCGTCGCGTTTTGCTTAGGTGTTGTGAATCCAACGTCGAGCGGAATCGGCGGTGGAGCCTTCATGGTCGTCGGCTCACCCGGTACGAATGCTAGGGCTTATGACATGCGTGAAACCGCTTCATCTACTGCTTACGAGGTTCTTCTCATAATTTACTAACAAAGTTACTCCATGGAGTAATAATAACACCTACGTTTTATAAACCATGGATTAAATATTTATTAGTAATATTGTCATAATAACTAACCGCTTCATCTTTGTAAACACCCGTAATAGGATATGTTCAAGGACAGAGAGAAGGAGAAAGAAAAAGGACCATTGTCCGTAGCAGTTCCAGGAGAAGTAGCCGGACTTTACGATGCTTGGACAGATAACGGCCGCCGTGTCGACTGGAAACTGCTGGTCGAGCCGTCTATTAAGCTGGCTAAAGACGGTTTCAAGGTTGGTCCGCATCTCGCCTTCGCCATATCCCATAACGATGAGAAGATCAAGGGTGATCCTGGTTTGAAGAGTGTTTTCATGAACGTAGACACATTTTTGATTGAAGGGGATACATGTTACAACCGCAAACTCGCTGAGACCTTGAGAAAAGTGGCGGAGAGAGGGAAAGAAGCGTTTTACGAAGGGGAAGTTGCGGAGAATCTTGTAAAGGATCTCATGGAGGCCAAAGGGAACATGACGTTGGGTGATTTGTATGATTATAAAGTTAACGTGACCGATGCGATGGTTGTTGAAGATATTATGGGGTATAAAATACAAGGAATGTGGCCTCCGTCTAGTGGAACGCCAGGTTTTGCAATGGTGAGGATGATTGACTCCTTTTATATTCGTATCTAATTATAAGTATATAGTGCAATGTTAACATATAGCTTTCATGTGTTTTGATGTTGGAAACAAACAGGTTCTTAATACATTGGCGGGATACAAAGATTTGAATGCTGTTGATAAGAATCTTGCTCTCCATCGTGTTATAGAAGCAATAAAATATATGCTTGCAGCTCGAATGGATCTTGGAGATCCTGCGTTTGTTAATGGAATAGATGATGTTGTGAAAAACATGATATCTAAGACTTTTGCGGAAAAAATTCGAGGGGAAATTTCAGATGACGAGACTTACCCACCAAAACATTACCGTGACAAGTAAGTAATTAGTTGGATTGAATTGGGCCTTTTGGAGAGCTGTTTTTTGACCTAGCTTTATGTATTGTTTGAAACAGATATAACCAGCTCAAGGATCAAGGGACGAGCCATTTCTGTGTAGTGGATAAAGATAGAAACGTTGTGTCGATGACAACAACTGTGAATTATGCGTTCGGGTCAGGGTTTATGTCGCCTTCTACAGGTATTATACTCAACAACCAGATGGCTGATTTCTCGTTACCAAACAAGACATCTGAAGCACCCGCGAATTACATCGCACCAAAGAAGAGGCCTTTGTCTTCCATGATGCCTATAATCATCACAAAGGTAATTCAAAAGATCAAAATCAAGAAAAAGAACAATACAGAGTCAGAACAGAACAGAGTCAAAAACAGAGGATCTTCGGTGAACTAAACTAATTTGTTTTCCCTTTTTCATGTTTTCTGGTAGGATGATGAGCTAGTCGGAGTTATTGGAGCTAGCGGCGGGATTTATATAATTCCGGCGGTGATACAAGTGTTCCTCAATCATTTTGTTTACGAGATGAGTCCTCTAGAGGCTGTGAAGAGTCCAAGAGTCTACCACAAGGTATAAAAAGAAACGCAATTTTCAACAGAGTTTTGATCAGAGAGATGATTTTTTATCTTTGTGCAGTTGAACCCAAACGAGGTGTTATATGAGAAATGGGAAGTGTACAACAAAGAACACATTCTGCTTAAAAAAGAGACTCGAGATTTCTTGGAGAAGAAAGAACATTTCCTAAAGCCTACAAATGTGGGAGCCACTGTTCAATTTGTTGTCCAAAACGGACAAGTTTTGACGGCAGTGAGTGATTTCCGGAAAGGTGGGAAGCCAGCTGCTGCTGCTGATGCTGCTCCAACTCTTGCTCCTGCTCCTTCTCCTATCTTTTGATTTTTTTTTATCGGACACTATAATTTCAACGTTTTTTTTTAAAATCTTTTAAGCTAAACAAATGATGCAAAAGCAAAATTAATAAATAGAAATTGTTGATTGTCTACCTAAAAAATCCTTTTAGTTTTTTGGTTCCTTTCATAAAATGTCACTTTTGATGACCATTAGTGGTGTTTTAAGTACATACTTTTCTTTTCAATGTTTATTAGATTTGTATGGGAAAGACACCCCAATGACCCAAGAAAAAAAGTTAATTTAATAGGGATACCCAACTTTCACAAAGTCAAATAAATTTTTAAATGCCAAAACAAAATTCTAAATTAAAAATAAAATCACCAAATTGAAGAACTAAAAATCCCTAAACGTTTTTGTTTATTTATGTTCTGTTATTATATTTTGGCTTCTTTGGAAAAACGATAAAAGGTAAACTGAGATTGGTCGATAAACTATTGGTCTAGCTTTGCGTGCAGAGTTTTGTTTAGATAAAAAAATAAAACATATATATATATATATATATATATATATATAAAAACAAACAAACACAAGGTGGAATCCATCTCTCTTTTGACTCCATTCACTCTATCTTCTTCTCTCTCTTTCTCTCCTAGATCGAAAGAGGGAAACAGATAGAGATCGAAGATGGGTCACGAAATCCTCACCGATCCTCTTCTGGGCATCAACTCTAAAACGGTCGGAGAGAAGAAGGAGAAGAAGAAACAGAGAAGAATCCTGCAGATTTCTCTTTCTCTGGTTCTGATTCTGATTCTTGTCGCAGTTTCAGGTCTGTCTCTGTCCTATCCTAATCCTCCAACAATCCAGGAACAAATTATATGATCTGATACTACTAAATTATGATTAATACCATCCATTGTTTTTACTAGACTAGTGAAAGTTGTTGACTTTTGCAACTTGTTACAGAATGTGAAGCCTTTTTTTTTTCAACTCTGTAGGTTATTGCTTTAACGAGAGCATAACAGTTTGGTTGTCGAGAGAATCAAAAACCCACAGCCTTAGCCATGGAACCGTTGGTGACGCCATCGAAACAGAGAACGGTGTTGTGGCGGCTGACGACGGCCGGTGCTCCGAGATCGGTGCTTCTGTCCTCAGAAGAGGTGGACACGCGGTTGACGCCGCCGTCGCTACTACCTTATGCGTCGGCGTTGTTAACCCGATGTCTAGCGGCATCGGCGGTGGATCCTTCTTGATCGTTAGCTCGACGGAGGATTCCAAAGCTGAGGCCTTTGACATGAGAGAAACCGCTCCATTAGCTTCTTCTAAGGTAAAAAAACTTTTTCCCCACACACATCTTTCTTGATCTTGTTTCAGTTTAGCCTATAATGTGTTTAAGCTTGTGGACTGATTGGTTCAGGATATGTATAAGAACAATGCGAATGCGAAATCCATCGGCGCATTGTCGATGGGAGTTCCGGGAGAGATAGCCGGACTTTACGAGGCTTGGAAACGGTACGGCCGTCTTCCATGGAAACCGCTTTTCGAGCCGGCGATCGAGCTAGCCAGAGGCGGTTTCGTGGTGGCTCCGTATCTCGGACGGGCCATATCGAGCCACTCTTCGATGATACTCAAAGACCCTGGTATGCGAGATGTCTTCTCGCGAAACGGCCGGGTACTAAAACCAGGGGAGACTTGCTATAACCGGGAGCTTGCTCGGAGCCTGGAGACGATCTCGGAGCAAGGACCGGGAGCGTTCTACAACGGTACGGTAGGCGAAAAGCTAGTCGAAGATGTGAAAATGGCGGGAGGGATCATAACGATGGACGATCTAAGAAGTTACAAAGTCAGAGTCACCGACGCATTGTCCGTTGATGTTATGGGGTATACCATTCACGGGATGCCGCCTCCTTCCGGCGGAACACTCGGTTTTCCGATGGTTATGAATATCTTGGACAGCTACTCGGAGCTGTACACTGCTTCCGGGAAGGATCTCGGGCTTCACCGTTTGATAGAAGCAATGAAACATATGTTCGCGGCTCGTATGGATCTTGGAGACCCTGAGTTTGTTGACGTAACAGACGCCACGAACCGGATGCTCTCTAAGCCTCTCGCCGGAGAAATCCGAAAGAGGATTCTCGACAACACCACGTTCCCGCCTGAGTACTACTTGAACCGGTGGAGCCAGCTCAGAGACCAAGGGACGAGTCATTTCTGCATCGTGGACAAGGATCGAAACACCGTGTCGATGACCACGACGGTGAACTACGTTTTTGGCGCCGGCGTTTTATCGCCTTCCACCGGAATCTTACTCAACAACGAGATGGATGATTTCTCGACACCGACGGAAATCACACCGGACAATCTCCCTCCGGCGCCTACAAATTTCATTGAACCAAACAAAAGACCATTATCTTCCATGACACCTCTCGTTATCACCAAGGTTTAGCTTCATGTCATGTATAACTGTTTGCACTTTAACCACATTTAGTAACGGTTTCAGGTTTTGTAACTGCAGGACGGTGAGTTGGTGGCGGTGCTTGGAGGAAGTGGAGGAATGAATATAATTCCGGCGGTGATTCAAGTTTTTCTTAATTGCTTTGTGTTGAAGATGAAACCTTTAGAAGCTGTGGAGAGTGCAAGAGTTTACCATAAGGTAAAGTATAAATGCATATATAACAAAACCATCAGATTTTTATAGTAACGTTGAAATGAAATAATCATTTTGCGTTTTTGGTTGTTGTGTTGTTGTTGCAGTTGATACCGAACGTTGTTCGATATGAGAACTTCACGGCGATCAACGGTGATCACATAGGAGTCACGGAAGATAGCAAGATGTTTTTAACAGAGAGAGGACATGAAGTCAAGGAGATATCAGGTGGAGCTATTGTTCAGCTTATTGTTCAGAGTTTCAAGGAAGAAGAAGAAGAAGAGATGATCAATGATTCTATTGGAAGGAAAATTGGTAAAGATTCAACTAAGAAACAGAAACCATTCAAGGGATTACTCACCGCAGTTAGTGATCCTCGTAAAGATGGGAAGCCAGCTGCAGCTTGATTTACTACTAATCACATTTTCTTGATAATTTCCTCATTCAAGTCCCATTTTCTATCATGTAAAGTTTAATAAAAGATGTATATAAACTCAAAAAAAGATTTAATCAGTTAAACACAAGATCTCTTTTTAACTGAGACAGATCCAGTTTTTAAGCAGGCAATGGCAAAACTGAGATGATGATACCATCTGGATTGTAATTTTTTTTTTATAGATTTCTTATTACAGTTTGGTAAGAGAAAAATCAAACCAAAAGTTATTACATTATTCTCACAAATTATAACCCTGTGAATTCTGTCCAAGGATGAAATGTATTATCACTTCTCTTTGCTTGAAGAAGATTATAAAACACTTTGAAGAGCTTCTATAAAATAAAGAAACCTTACTTCCCCAAACAAAGATCTCCTCAAGTCAGAACACAAACAATCAAATGGTTTCCAGACAGAGTTCTTCTCACCATTTCATGGCCCCTGCTTCCTCATCACCCGAATGGTTTGGCTCGTGCTTAACATCATCGTGCTTCATGAAACTCGGCTGGTTCGTTGAAGACAAAAGCCTCGCCCACATTCTGTCAGTGATCACCACCTTGTTCTGTCTCTCCGTTATCCTCTACACAACATTCAAACCATACTGTCAGGAATCCCACATCGATAGATATAAGAGATGATCCAATGGGATTGTATGAGACTCACATAGAAGGGAATGTAAGTATGTCTGCCATTGACAAGGCCAACGGTGAAGCCATTGTAACCAGCCATCACTCCATGAACCGCGCTTTGAGCTAACAGCGTGCAGCATACATTGTCTGATGCATTGCTCGGAACAGCCCTTATCATGTAGGTTGGATCTGAAACAAACCAAATTTGTATCTATCATTTTCCGCAGAGACACGCAAAACCAAAACTCATAAGATATATTATACATACCTATGTATTTGAGGTTTAGGGTGGTCATCTTCTTGGCAAAATGATCCTGCATAAGAAGAGAGAGAAGCAAAAGCACATCATTTTCTCGGTCTTTCTCTCAAGAAAAATCCTCTGTTTTTTTTCCTGGGAGAATTCAAATTGTTAACCTTGATCCGTTGGGAGATCCAAAGACCAATGTCTTGTAGAAGTTTGTTTCCAGATGCATCTTTGAGAGTTGTGGACTGTTCTCTGCTTTCAGCCAACAGATCTTGTCCCGCGCCTTCCGCGATCACAATCACCATGTGACCATTCTCCTTCAGCCGTTTCTCAACAAATTCAAAAAGCCCCCCTTTGCCTTCAAGGAAAAACGGAGATTCCGGGATCAAGCAACAGTCCACATCTCGGCTTGCTAGTGTTGCATACATTGCAATGAATCCTGCACAAACCCTTGAAAAAAATCCGTAAAACATCTCTCCGGGCTCAACTATTCTTTTGGTTAAAAAAGTACATAATCTAAGGGAAGAAGATGCTTACCGCTGTACCGTCCCATCAACTTCACAAGACCAATACCGTTCTCAAAGCTCGTAGCTTCCACATGGGCTGCGTTGATAGCACGTTGAGCCTCTTCTACAGCTGTGTCAAACCCGAACGATCTATCGATTATCTGTATTCAAGAAAGAACAAAACATTCATTAAGAAACTACGATACAGTATCAATATTTCAAAACATTGTGGAGAAAACATTTACAGGAATGTCATTGTCGATTGTTTTGGGGATCCCGGCGACAGCAACTTTGAGTCCACGTTTCCTTATTTCCTGCAGAGACGACAGTCCATTAAAGAAACAGCCATCGTCATGAATTGATTATAATTTTGTTTGTTGCTTACCTCGAATATAGCAGCTGCTCCTTTCTGTGATCCATCTCCACCGATTATATAAACCTGGTCAAATCCCAAAAACAGATAAAGCATTTCACATCATTTCAATGTAATTCTTGTTGTTTTTATTGTTTGAGCTTAGTAAATCAAGAACCTGGTTAATCCCCCGATCTTGAATGCTATCAACTATCTTGTTTGTGTCGTGTCCGCCTCTTGAAGTCCCGAGGATGGTTCCTCCGCTTCTATGGATGTCATTCACTGTTTTCAAGTCCAAATGGATTGTGTTTCTCGCGTAAAACCCTCTGTACCCTCCCTGAAACCGCAATTGATCTCAAGTTCAGTGTACTGAGTTAAATAATCGAGAGCAATGCTCAAAGAATAAGTATAACGGTTGGTACTTACATCAATTCCAAGGATTCTCTTGACACCATACATGTAAGACAATCCACAAACTATCTCTCTGATGACAGTATTAAGCCCTGGACACAGACCACCACACGTGACGATGCAAGCAAGAACATCATCCGACTCAAAGTAAACCTGCGTACACAACAAATTCAATCAAAGCGCTCATGTTCGCAAGCTTAGGAACTCTTGGGGATGTCAAAAGACAGATATACCCTTTGGCGTGGTCCTGCTCGGCGGAAATGTGTTCCTCTAGGACTATCAGGATGAACAACTATCTGCAAAAGGACGAAACTCGAAGCTTCAGTAAAGACTACAGAGTGACAAATCAACGAATGTTAATGGATAAAGGAGAGATTTTTAACTTACCTTTTGAGGAACTGTGTCGTCCTCGTCTACGAAATACTGCCTGATACACACATTGGATTTGATCAATTCATAAGCTCACTAACCAGAAAAAAAGGTTACACATTTCGGTATCGAGAAAGCTATTTGATTCAGTCCCAAGGAACAAAAGGAAAGTTAAGCTCTCTGAGGTAAAAAGCAAACTGTCACTTACTTAACAACTGAATAAGCAGCGTTGTCTTGTAATGGATTTGGATACGTCTGAAGCATCACATGACAACAAACAAACAATCCATAAAATCAGAAAATAAAATCACTACAAATTTGATCTAACAAAGAAGCGTTACGGATATATTCAAAAAGAAAAACAGTGACTTCAAAGCAAAATCTCAAAAAGTCTCCGACTTTTTCCCGCTCGCAATTTCAGTATTCACATAATGATTAAACCAGAGTGACGTACAGGAGGATTTGGGATGTAATCGGAGAAATGAGGAACGTCTTCGAGGACATAACCGGCGGGACCAGTAACGATCTTCCGGTCGGAGCTAGGGGCAGAAGTTGACATTACCAACCTTGTCGGAGACTCGCTTCTCTGATTACCCGAAAGCGAAACAATCAAGCGGAGACCCGAATCGAAGCTCAGTGATCGATATCTCCTACTGATTCTAGGGATCAAAAACCCAAATTGATGATGATCGGTTTCAAACGGCGTACTCCGATTAGAGGATGACCGGAATCTAGACGAATCCATACAATGAAAGATCGAAGAAAATGTTATTGCCCATTTTTTATATATATGAACCAAAAATGGTTTACAGTCTTTGACTTCAAATTTTCTCACACAAAAAAAAATGCAAATAAAAATAAAAATAAAAAGCAAGCACCTTTGAAGAAATTGAGGAAGAAGAAGACTAAACCCAGATGGAAACAAGAAGTGTGGAGGCGGGAGCAGATCAGGCCATCACGGGCTTGTGGTGAATATTTGGATCGAGAGGATAGTGAACAAGTGGCAATATGTTTGTGGTTTTTGCTTTAAAGGAGAAGAAGGTTCAAGACAAAATTTAAGAAGGGAAGGTTTTATTGACCATTTCAATTATTGATGGGTAGTTTTTGGAATTGTTAGATAGATATGGGGTTGTGTAATAATTAAAAGAGATGATTTTATTGGATTTTTGGGGTTGGGATTAGGTTTCTTCCTTAAGAAAAAATTAGGATACGGCATGTAATATGCTAGCCTTCTTCCTTGGCATGTTTCTAATCACTAATTGACCTAATCTTGTTAAACAAATATTTTAATTACGTAAAATAATTGTCACTTGTACCGTTGTACGTGGTAGTGAAAAAAATGGTGAATATATACACAACTAGGCAAATGGTTTTTTAAAATGAGATTATTCTCAAACTATTATCAACTGATTCTGTTTAGTATTTGTGTGTGTGTGGACTTTATAATTTTGGTCAATCATCTAATTTTAAAAAAGAAACATTAGAAACGAGTATTAATATCGTGCTGTGTTATTATTTGAGTGCATTATTGTAGGTAAAGTTATGATGATTACTTAATCACATGTGATCAGCAAGTAATGGAAAATTTAGAATTATGCTCCTTTAATTTTGATATTCATAAAATGTAAATATATTTTGACAAAGAAGATCCTATCATGTAGTATTATGCTCCTTTAATTAGTAACTCCGGCCCACAAAACTTCGCATCTGTTCTAAATGGCCCACAGACGAGTAAGCCCATTCATTTTCTGAACTAACCAAATATCCAGGCCCGGCTCTCTCATGTTACGAAAATATCGAAATTAGCTCATTTGATCAAAGCTTTACTATTTTGTCACTGGAAGAGAATACACGATGATTACATTGTCGACTACTTTATTTTGGTTTTCTGATCTATTTTATGGTTTCTCACCTATTTATGTAGTTATTTCTTCAGTTTGAAAGTTGGAATTTTTGAGAAACCCATCACATCAGTGTCCTAGAAGGTCTTTGATGTCTTTACCACAGATGCAAGAGATTTAAAACCTAGAAATAGAATACGTACAGACCTATTTGAATAAAAATTCTGTAAAATATAATACATCGTGCAAAGATTTTTATTAGGGAAGAACTTTGGGATAAGAAATGAAACTCATAGAAGTTGAGCTTCCTTTTATTCCATTTCTTATCCCAAAGTACTTCCCTATATAATACAGTTCTTTGATCTTTTTGTTTGTTTTTTGTCAATGTTTCTTAGCTCTGAGATCAGAAATGGAATAAAACGAAGCTCAACTTCTATAAGTTTCAAAGATATCTTATAAAAAAAAATTACATAAAACAAAAATTATGACAAACGATATGATAATACCCAGACAAAGAGGCAATCATAGGCATCTATATGTTTTATTCAAGGCATATCTTTGGTCCCTCCATGATTTCATTCTTTGACTCTCCGTTTTTTTAATTTTCTTTTAAATTACAAAAAAGATAATTATGATGTGTATCATGTATACATACTAACATACAAATGATTTTATGTATATAGGAACTTGTTTTGCTCTTTTCGTTTGGTGGGTTTTTTACCGTTGGGATTGAGAATATTGTCTTTTATGTATCCTTAGCTCGAATCTCTTAACGATAAAGCTACAATCCTTGAGAAATCGAAATGCTTTTAGTTTAATAGTTAGATTTTGTTGTCGTGCTTATTTCTTCAATCCAAATAAAATCATTTATATTAATCCTTTTTCACTTTGATCCTTCTTATTAATAGATAAAAGTAAAAACAGACAGGTAATATGTTGTGAGATTAAAAGATACTAACATACATTTCTTACACATTAATTGAATCAACCAACAAACCATAATTTACATTGACAATCTTATTGCCATCAGTTGTTACACCAGGTCGAGAATATCAAATCCTTACGTTTGGATAGTAATTAACGTCCAAATGGCTGTAGATACTTGGCAGTTTAATTTAGATTTTAGAACCATAATAATAGAAAATGGTCGAAGAGAGTTCCAAGATCTACAACCCAATCCTAGAGAGATCTCTCAACTCAATGGACCCATCGTTTGTGGAGCCCATATTAATCTTAGTTCATACATCACAAGGTTATTACACCTGACGTACGCTTTCTAGATGAAACCGTTTCAGTGTTTGTAATTAAGATTTAAAATATACAGCGTCACCGGAAATCAAGAAAGTTACTAGTTTTTTTCTTCGACGAAAGTTTTTCATTTATTCATAAACTTATGTTTTCGTTTATATAAAACAATTCTGTTTTCGTTTTCGGCAGAATTTTCTTATTTTGGGCAAAGGACAGATTTTTTCATAACTATCTAAGTTTGATATCTAAACATGAAGCTTATTCTTGAAGTTTAAGTTTACAGTACACGTTTCTTCTACCCTTGTATTTTATTTATTCGTTTTGTCCCTTCATTAGTTTTGACCGTATATTTCAAAAAGAACAAAAAAAGTTGATGAAAACCTCAGAAGATAGATTATACGATAGAACTTTATAATCATTACAGTCAAGAATACTCGAGATTATTGGGAAAAAAAATAAATTATGTATATTATCCATCTGGAGTATTATGAAATCGATCGTATGATAGAGAATGCGTACAATGAATATGTTTTAAGAACATGCACTACTTTAGTTAATAAGCGTAATATTTTCACGATTACTTCACTAAACATTTTTATGGTCTGAAAACATTGGGAAAAGGAAACTATTGTCTGATTTGAAACATATGCAAAAAGATGACATGATTTCATAATACATGCTAACGTAAACGGATCTCCAAGGAGACCTTACAAAACAATTCATAATTAAAAAGCATTCGCTATAAATACCTTAAAAGAGATATTGTATAATCTTTTTTAAACTACAAAAACACGAAAATATTTATAATTAATAAATAAGAAAAATAAGAGATGGTGTGGTCCATATGATGGGTACACTGCTCAAATTGCCTTACTTATCAAGCAACCTCTTAATTCTTTTCTCTCTACCGAAATTGAAATTAAAATAATCGAAAAAGAAAACCATATTTGAAAAACAAAAGAATAATGATCACTTCCTCCAGCTCGATGCCCATGTGACCTCTCTTCCTCTTCGCGTCTTTTTTTTTTTTCTTTCGTTCTCTCTTCTTCCTTTTACTCTCTTTTTTGTTTGTTTATTCTCCTCTGTTTATAACCTTGCACACATATCCAAAATTATTCAATACATTCTTTAACGACAGGTTATCAGAGGTTTTGACGGTGACTAACTAACTACACGTTATTCCTAAAAATATGTTAGTTAAAGTAAGTAATTAGACTGATAACAAATAATTTTTAACATATTATATATAGACTACAAAGAATTAAGATCGGATATTCTCAGTACAAATCTATGTAGTTAATTTTGCCTAACATTATATATTTACATATAGTGCTACACACGCACACAAGTGATACGTTTATTCCATATATTTTTTTTTGAAATTTCATCATCTAAAAAAGACACAACTTTGTTGAAGTTTATAATAATGAAAATCACATTCTCTTCCTATATGAAACTCACATTTAACCAAAAAGATCTTTTATAGTAATTCTCGATGCTTTAAGGATAGATAAAATGAATTGTCTGTATAATCACACAAATAGACACGTATACATTGTTGTACAGGTAGAAATACCTATTCAAATACTTTTGAATATACGAAAGTGAATGATTTGTAGATAAATGTAAACAAACCGCTTCAAAGACTCGTAGCGGCTTCTTAAACCGGCAAAGGCAAAATAAAAGGTGGGTCAGTGAATGGGTTTCAGAGCCACCTTTTCCTTTTTCTCGCTTACTTCTTCAGTTAAAGCTCTATATATATAGCCATATATATGTATAATAATATGTTTTACTCTTTTAATTAATTAATCCCCTAAAATATCTCTCGTATGTTTTTATTAATCTATCTATATTTTATACTCTTCACATCCCAACTCTCACACTTTCTTCTTCTTCTTCTTCTTCTTCTTTCTTCTCCTCCTTCGTCGTTTATTAATTCTCTCTCTCTTCTCTTTGCTATCTTTCTCTCTCTTTCTTGGTTTTCAGTACTGTCTAGATCTTATTCTGCTCGACCAAGTTTGTTTCTTTTAGCATAATTTGAGGGCTATTTCCCCATAAATTCTTACTTTGTCTTGTTCTTGTGTCGGTTAGGTTTTCAAGAAAACCCCTCTTTTGTTTTGTCTCCTCAAAATCAGTGGTTTCTTATCTATCTATAATTTTAAAAAAGGCTTATTCAAATCTTCTCTCTCTAGCCTCTCTCTCCCTCTTATTTTCTACGATATATATATAAATCAACTCTTGGATATGATCGAGGGAGCTTTGTTATTACCTCTACACCTACACAAAGACGCGTAAGAGAAGATTGATCAAAGAAATTAGAGATCGAGATGAACAAGAGTAATCCTGCTGGTTCCGTAACCGGTTCGGATATAATTGACGCAAAGATCGAAGAACATCAACTTTGTGGATCCAAGAAATGTCCCAGCTGCGGCCACAAGCTCGAAGGCAAACCAGTAAGTAATATTCCTTTATTTATTTATTTTATTTTATTAATATAAAACTTAAAATAAGTTCTTTCTCCTTTCTTTTTCTCATTTTAGGTCACTTGTAAATGTTTTTTTAAGAAAAAAATAAAGAAGAGAATCAAATGAAGAACATCAAGAATGATGCTCTCTGTTTTATTCTCTCGCTTGTAGAAATTCAAAATCCAAAATTTTAAAGCGTCTATATACGAGTCCCTCATATGTATAGTTTGTATATACTTATATACTCTTGTTCTTTTTTTCTTTATTTTAAAATATCTTTCCCTTTTATTCTTTTTAGCAGGATTGGGTTGGTTTACCAGCAGGAGTAAAATTTGACCCAACGGATCAAGAACTGATAGAACATTTAGAAGCAAAAGTCTTAGTTAAAGACATTAAATCTCACCCTCTCATTGACGAATTCATCCCCACCATTGAAGGCGAAGACGGCATTTGCTATACTCATCCCGAGAAACTTCCCGGTACACCTATACACATATATATATACACACCTTCATGCAGTGCATATATATTTTTCATCCTCATATGTATATATTCATTATATATAGAGTATTCGGTCACACCAAACTTCGATTTTTTTTAACAAAAAAAAATACTTCGAATTGTTTTTCCCACATAGCACATATGTTTTCTTCACGCATTCTATATTATAAATCACATATGCATATCTCTCATTATAATAATATATGCATGATTGTTTGATATGACTATCCGCGGAGAGAATTTGGGTCAAACCAATATTTGTTTTTTTGTTTTTTTTTTTCAGTCGGGTCATACCAAAGCTTGAATCTTATTAATTTGGGTCACGACTCACACAAAACATATCAACTAACCCCAAAAAAAATCTTTTTTTTTTTGAATTTGGGTAGGAGTGACTAGAGATGGTTTAAGCAGACACTTCTTTCATAGACCATCAAAGGCGTACACAACGGGAACAAGAAAGCGAAGAAAGATTCAAACGGAATGTGACAATAATATGCAAGGAAGTAGTAGCTCCGGTGAGACGAGGTGGCATAAGACTGGCAAGACAAGACCTGTTATGGTAAACGGTAAGCAAAAAGGTTGTAAGAAGATTTTGGTTTTGTATACCAATTTTGGTAAAAATCGAAAACCGGAGAAAACCAATTGGGTAATGCATCAATATCATTTGGGGACACATGAGGAAGAGAAAGAAGGAGAGCTTGTTGTGTCTAAGATCTTTTATCAGACTCAGCCTAGGCAATGCAACTGGTCATCTTCGACATCGAGCTTGAACGCTATAGGTGGTGGAGGCGGTGAAGCTAGTAGCGGTGGAGGCGGCGGAGAGTATCATATGAGGAGAGATAGTGGGACTACTAGTGGTGGGAGTTGTTCCTCGTCTAGAGAGATTCTTAATGTTAATCCTCCAAATCGATCTGATGAAGTCGGCGGCGTCGGTGGTGGGGTTATGGCCGTCGCGGCTGCGGCTGCGGCCGTTGCGGCTGGTCTTCCGAGCTATGCGATGGATCAACTCAGCTTTGTTCCGTTTATGAAGAGCTTCGATGAGGTACGTATGCGTCGATTTTCTATTTTTCAATGGTAATGTGACACATTTTTTTGCATACTAAATACATACATTGAATAAAAAAAAATCAAAGAATATAATATATAGTATATATGTATTAAAGTTCAAGTGGCTAAATCTTCTAATGCAAATTATAATACAGCTATATTTTCCCTTACAGTTTTTTTTTTTTCATTTTTAAATCCAATGTTGGCTATTAATTACGTCTGTCGCTCTCGCATGAGAAAACAAAGGTGAGTGCTCTAACAGGATGATGCATAGGGTTATTATTTGCTTGTGTTACAAGTAAACCATGCTCATTTTCTTGGTGTAATTTATTAGTTTCTGATAATTTATCATTTTTGTCGTAATATTATGTATTTACAAAAAGAAATTAAGAAATAAAATTACCCGACGTGATAATAACGGACGGTAAGTGATAATCAACTTTTAACTAACAATATGACCTAAAGTTTTACCCGACGGGATAAAATCAGAAAACAATGTCTAAACCGCAGCGGTCCAAACAGATAATGTAACTGGAATAACATATACATAAATCAATTATTTTAATTAGCAATTAATTTGTTTTATATAATTTTCAGGTTGCCAGGAGGGAAAATCCGACCGCCCAAGCTACTACATGTGAGGATGTAATGGCAGAACAACATCGTCATCGTCATCATCGTCATCAGGCATCACCATCATCAACATCACTTCATGTGGCTCATGATCATCACCATCAACAACATCATCATCAGCAACAGCAACGGCACCATGCATTCAACATTAGCCAGCCTACACATCCAATATCAACCATCATTTCTCCATCTAGTTCGCTTCACCATGCCTCCATTAATATCCTTGACGATAATCCTTATCATGTTCACCGAATCTTGCTACCCAATGAAAATTACCAGGTAAGATAAATTTGCTCGTTTATTTACGTCTTATCAAATTACAGATAAATTTATTATTTAGTTGCGTTCACACCCCCATATTTCATTAATTATATATAATTAAGTAATTTAGGTGAAAGTTACAGTTTCGTATATAGGACGACCAAGTTAATATCACTATGATTTATACATAATAAACACAATATATTTGCTTATATTATTATTGATTTAGGAGTCATGCACCTATCAAATTTATAATAAGGGTCTCAGCACCCAATTTAAATTAGGGTTGTGAAAGTAAGGTAATTAATTATAACTAGTGTTATTAGCAGATTTTATATTGTGTTCTTCTACCCACGCACACACGTATATTCATATACATATGTATTTAATTAAGTAGTAGAAATTGTAATTCTTGCACATGTTAGGTTTTGAAGATTTTTGCATGCATGTGACTTAACAATGATGGGACTACATAAGCATGCAAATTGGCTTGTACCAAAATCGATCATGACAAATAAAGTATATATAAGATATTGGTCAAGAAAAATAAATAAAGTAATAATGTCTAATATATATAAATAATTATGCCTCATTTAGTCTAAGTAAGATGTGTCTAACTAACTACCCATTATCCAAAGCCAACAAAAGCTAAGTCACTTTTTAGTGTCAGCCAAACTAAGAACAAGTAAGAAACCAATGTGGTCTTTCGTGATAAAGAGACAAGATGATTAATTCTAATGTTCTAAGATATTTCTTAAAGAATTCAATACTATACTTTTTCTGAAATTACTTTTGTCTTTTTTGACTGAACAAGACACAGCAACAACAACCACAACATCAAGAACGAGAAGAAGAACATAATGATGGGAAGATGGGAGGAAGGTCAGCTTCTGGATTGGAAGAACTCATAATGGGGTGCACTTCTTCTACCACTCATCATGGTGTAAAAGATGTAAGTTATTAATCCCTTTTTGACTCTTAATTTCATGGGAAAACCCTCTTTTTTACCATCATGAGTTTCTTTTTCTTTTCTTTTTTTTGAAAAAAACAAATATAACTATATGTATTAGATATATGATTATTTTCACCTAATTATAAATTGTCACGCATTAAGCAAGATGTTGCAGTCATCATACCAGTGAGACAGACTAAAATCGGTATTATGAATAAACGTGTATTCGTATTGAGAGACTCTTGGATTTTCAATTAAAATGCAGGATTAGTGAAGTTGAAAGATAATATATTTAAAATAATAATAATTATAAGTTGTAACAGTTATTGGTCGAAGAGAACAATGTATGTTATATTTGAATAAAAGTGCAGTGTATTATGTATATATATATTTCTAAAACTCTTCTTTTCTTTAATTTTTCATTTCTTTTTCAGTGTTGTTGCATGGGAAGGATACTTAAGACTATATTCTTTCTTTAGTTTATGCTTTACTTAATTGGAAAGAGTTAAAACGGAGTTAAGTAAACAAAACCAGAAAAGAAAAAGAGAGATATATCTGTTTGCTTTTGTCATAGATTGCTTTTTTAACCTATAAATTACTCTTTTGAAGAACAATAGAAAATTCATCAGATTCTTTTCTTTTGTTCTCCTTTTTAAACATTTAAAAACTAAGGAAGAAGGCAATGATGGTGCATTTACACATATATGAATATAATGTGTGTATGTGTATATATGTAACTGTTTTTGTTTTGTTTTTGAGAAAGGGTTACATATGTGTAAATATTATAATGTCTTTTTTCATGCGTAGTACCTAGCGAGACAAGTTCGGTAATAGACATTAGTAGATTTCATTGTGTTCTTGTGGGGAACAGCATGTCTCCACTGCTTTTTTCTTTTTTTTTCTTTTCTAATCCGTCTAAATATGGAATTTTTATTTTATTTTGTTACATATATAAATATTTCAAAAATCTAAGTGTTCTATATATATATATATATATATATGTAACCTTGATATATGCTATTTGTTAAATGCTAACAGGATTGTACTTGGTAGATTCGGTTCGATATTCTTGGGTCTAATCCTGTTCATATCAGTTTAAATTAGGAAAGAACGTCAAAGTGAGTTCAGTTCGGCCTGGGTCGGTCAAGTTAGTTCAACTTGTTTCTATTTAAACCGAATGAAATGAACTTAGCTCAACTATACGTGTTTACACATTTATATAGTGTATATATTGAGAAGTGCTTTTGATTGGTGCAGGGTTCATCATCAATGGGGAACCAACAAGAAGCAGAATGGCTGAAGTACTCAACGTTTTGGCCAGCCCCTGACTCTTCTGACAATCAAGATCATCATGGGTAATTGTGCCATTTTCCAATCTGATGATCATGACCCACATCACAAAAAGTTATTACCATCATACCTGATGGTCATCGTCGTCATAGTCATCATCATCGCCATCATCATCATGACATCCTCATGGAAAATGGTATATCGATCGATCTTGGACCAACCAAGTTATATATATGCATGATTTTGACATGGTGAAGGGTTTTTGAAGCAGCGCCAAAAATCAATAGTTTTTTTGTTTGTTATATATTCAAGAGGATTTTGATATAAGAAAATATAAAGAAGGGTAGGGGGAAAAGAAAAGAAACAAAAGTAAAATTAAAGAAGCATGAGAGAAAAAGCTGTTATATTCCAAAGAGAAGAAGAAAAAAGCAAGGAAATTGCAGAAAAAAATCATCAACAGTACCATCTAGAATTCGATATAAGTACGTTTATTATATGTTTATTTTAAATTCATTTTTTTGTTATTTGAATTTCTTTGTATGTCCATTTTCTTTGTTAATTAGGACGAACAGCATAATTTATTGGTTTTTAAATATATATGTTGGTAAATAATAGTATTAATTAGTTGTTACTACTTTCCCTATACTTTTTATGAGTTGTTTACTTTTGGATAGATGGTTGATTCTCCTTTTCGTAAATCTGATGCACTGAAACCCAAGTGTCAATTGAAATCCGATACTCTATAGTCCATATAGTGATGGTCTTAATAGTCTTTTTTTTCGAACTGTCATGTTCATATCAATGGTCTAGTGGCGGAATCTATTAGTTCAGTATCATAGACATTCGGATTTAATTCGATTTGTGGATTATTGGAAATTTAATTGAAAGACATTTAAAGTTCTGAAATTTTTATTTATAAAAAGTACTACATTTCGCTTGAGTTAATATTGGTTGGTTTGAAGCAAGAAAGGGGGGAAATTAATTGATTCCTGTTTTGAAGATTTGAACTGATTTTTATTTTGAATTGTGGAATAATGGAATCTATACCTAAGAAGCAATGTCATCTTACAAAAGCAAGGCTATGTTTATGTTTGGTCTCTTTAATCTTTAATTTTGTCTGATATAAATGCAAATTTACAATGCAACCTTCTTTAATGCTTGGAATATACCGCTCGTCTTGGTTCTAGCACATCATCAAATGAGGACGGCCTAAGTCCTAACTCATCTCTGGATATTTTGTAATTTTCCATGTGATCGCAAGGTCAAAGACTGTAATAGCTGCTTAACAAATAAAAAGAAATTAACAAATTAAAAGTTCAAAAAAAAAATAGATTAAACTTATCTATTTGACAGCATTATCTACTGAGAAAATGTTGAGATTTATGCAACCGACTGAAATTTATGTTGGTATAACGATTATAAATTTTATCCTATTTCGCACCAATTTGTTCTTTGTTATTGTTTTAAGTTAGAAAATTTATTTTATAAATTAAATATTGTACAGTTTCAGCTATCGCAAGATTTACATAAGAAGATATCAATGATGTAATAGATTAGGTTACTAGTTAATTCTCGAAGTTTATTTGTGTTCATGGGACATTGGGAGTGGAAAAAGCAAAATCAACATGGGGAGAGATGATATGAGACTTGGCCTACTTTTTTTTTGGCATAGTTAGATTCTGAAATTGGAATAAAGGAATAAACAGACAATATTTACCTTTATTTCTTAAATTGTTTTATTTTCTTTACTATTCTCTTTCGACAAGTGGATTTCATTTTCCATTTCTTATTTTGAACTCCTATTATATTCCTCGAAATATTTTTTACGTACCAATTTCATTATTTTTTTATATTATTTTCTACTTTATCATACATATAATTATAGATTAACTGATCGTATTTTGAAGTAAGCAAATTGCATTGTCCGTATTTTAACTCCAAGAATTGATTTATTCTCGTCTTTTATGTTTGTTTGTCGATGTGGACTCCATGATTAGTAGAAATATTATGTGGATTTGAAATCGGACGATGACACAGTAATGACATAAGCATATAAACAATATATTTTGATCAATAATAAATTTATTTACTTAAAGATAATTTTCAATTACTATTAGCAAATGATAAAATATCTATAAAAATGTAGGTATGAAAAATAGCTTGTGGTAAAATGTAGGTATAGGGAAAATGTAGGTACTTTTGCAGATGGATACAAAATATAATTTTCAATTACTATTAGCAAATGATACTTTTGCAGATGGATACAAAATATGGTTATAGGGAAAATATATTTTGAGTTATTAAGATATTGGGCTTTCCAATAAGTTTAATAGGCCCATTACAGGCCTGATGTCATTTGCGTTTATTTTGTGCTTGCCAATTGCGTATCGTTCTTATAGAGATTATCATCATTTTCTCGGTAGGTCTAGCTATGTAAACCGAAACCATATTGAACTATCAACTATGCGAACAAAAACTGAATCGAACTAAAAAAGATCTACAGTTTCACGACTATACGTACTGAACCAACCTAAATACTCATCTGAAATCTCACTCACTCCCTCACTTTGTTGTAATCATTAGACACCTTTTTAGCTGTAATTCAACCAAACCTACCTACTACAGAGTCACACCTATCTACTCTTTTTATTCCAAATACTCTTAACATCTTGCCACTTTTCGGCCTGTGGATGCGTAAAAAAACTAAAAATTGTATTATGGAGTTCTTATATAAGGAATGGTATAGGTGATGGTTATATCAAAATATTTCGTTGTCACTTTTGTCAATACCATTGTGTGTTTGTTATGTTTTTGCTTTATAGTGAATGCTTGGAAACCTACATTTTTTGTTGTTTAGCTCGATCTAGTAAAGTAATTTATTGTTCGAATATAAGCTTTCCTCTCAATAATTGTATTGAAAAAAATATTTGGATTAAATGCAGTCACGCATTAAATAAAATTGTTTGAATAGAGAAACACTAATGCATTTGTGCCACTCCATGTGATGCATTAAAAAAAAAATTCTCACTCCCAAAACCTCTCTCCCACACAAGTCACAAGCATTGCCTTTTCTTATTTATAGCAGCTTCATCTAGATTCTGTTCATTTTTTTTTCATTTATTAAAACATTCTTGATTACTTCTGTCTAAAAGAAAAGATTTGCATTCAATTGGAACTTGGATAGCAGGTTGAATATTAAACCATTATGGTTACCAAGAAGCGAATCAATTGCTATTTAAGCTTATTTTTGTATGGTTGAAAATTTCCAAACTAAAACCAGAAGGACCAGAACCAAAATTTATAAACCACGTAGAAATACAATCGTTACAAATCGATTCTTGGGTCCTAACCAATAGACTGGATAATTTGATCATAAATTCATTGAACATGCATCCCATTCAAATGACAGATGTAAGAGTCTCTCCTTCAAACATGTGATTCAATATTTTAACACTAAAATGCATATACTTTTGTGCATAAGTTCATTGAAATCAATTAAAAAAGTGGAACCCGTGATATGATTTATGCAATCATAAGTTGAAAACAAATAGTAAACTCAGCAAAAACAAAAACAAATGTGACATAACAACACAAAGAACATATCAGAACTCTGTTTGATAACCTTGTCCCCCCACAAAAGCAAAATTTTCCTCATATCATCAATGCTTCTTCAACCACATTCACTCTGTTTAATAAGCTCACTCTCACTCTCTCTCTCCCTCAAACCTCATTAATCCACTGAATTGATCACTATTCATTCTCTTTCCATAAGTGTCAACTCACAAAACCACCAAAAAAAGCCAACTTTCTTTCAGCATCTTGGTAAAAACAATGTCTAGGAAGAAGAAAGGCAGCGACTTTAAGCTTCTCTGTTTCTTCGTGTTTCTGGTTGGTTTGATTCAAACAGATGCTTCCTTTGGTGTAGGAGTCGGAATCGGTGGTGGTGTCGGTGGGGTTTGGGTCGGCGGAGGAATCAACGGCGGTAACCGTAATACTGTTCCGGTAACGGCTTCTTACAATGCTCTTCAAGCTTGGAAATCCACCATTACAGAGGATCCTTCTGGTGTTCTTAAGACATGGGTTGGATCAGATGTCTGTTCTTACAAAGGGGTTTTCTGCTCCGGTCAGTCTATAACCGCCATAGATCTTAACCATGCAAATCTTAAAGGCACCATTGTCAAAGACCTCGCTTTTCTCTCTGACCTCAACATTCTCCATCTCAACAGTAACAGATTCTACGGCCAAATCCCAGACTCTTTCAAATCCTTGAATTCTCTCCAGGAGCTTGATCTCAGCAACAATGGATTCTCAGGTCCTTTTCCTCTAGTCACAATCTACATCCCAAATCTGGTTTACCTCGATCTCCGGTTTAATAATTTCTCAGGGTATGTCCCTGGAGCTCTCTTCAACAAACGACTAGACGCGATTTTCCTCAATAACAACCAATTCGAAGGAGAGATCCCTCGGAATCTCGGAAACTCTCCGGCTTCGGTGATCAATCTCGCTAATAACAGGTTTTCCGGCGAAATCCCGACGAGTTTCGGCCTCACCGGATCGAGAGTGAGAGAGGTGTTGCTCTTGAATAACCAGTTAACCGGTTGTATACCGGAATCTGTAGGGATGTTCTCCGAAATCGAAGTCTTTGACGTCAGCTACAATTCCTTGATGGGTCATGTCCCCGACACCATCTCTTGCTTGTCGGCGATCGAAGTTTTGAATCTTGCGCACAACAGATTCTCCGGGGAGGTTCCCGATTTGGTTTGCTCGCTGAGGAACCTGATCAATCTCACGGTTTCATTCAATTTCTTCTCTGAGATTAGCTCCGAGTGCTCAAGGATCAGTTTCGGGTTTGATTTCACCGGAAACTGTATCCCGGGGAGGAATTGGCAGCGGCCGCAGCCGGACTGCTCCGGTTATTCCGGCGGCGCGTTGAGCTGCTTCAGGATGCCGACGCAGCCTCTGGCTTGCGCTGGGATAAGCGTGGGACTAACAGAGAGTAGCAATAATCATTACACCTCATCTCCATGATGATAGTTTTAAAGTTCGAAGCTTTCATAACGTTTTTTTATGGTTCAAAGATCTATCTCACTCTTGTGACTTCCAAAATTATAAGTCTTAAATTAGCTGATTAGTAATCAATTTAGTGTTAAGTCATCATCTTCTGTGTTACCAGATCGTGCTAATGTTAACCAGGAGAATTTTGTAAAATCCAGTATAACAATATGGCGCCAATGTACATAAAGCTACAATTTGTTTAAATTGGATTTGATCGTACAACTTTCAAGTAAATCATGAAATTTCGCTTGTAAAGGCGAAGAGTGACTTGTATTTGATACATTTAAATCAATTTATAAATCAGAAATGTGGGATCAAGGAATGTAGTACATCGGATTCGGAACTTTGAAAGAACGATCAGCCACCGCAAAACCTAGAAGGTCGCTCCATTGATCGCCGGTATTGCCGCGGATTTTGAAGCCTTCTTCGATCAGTTTTGATCGCTGCTCCGATTTGTAGTTCGTAGCTGATTTCCCTTGATCGTCTGGACCTCTGCAATTATATACCGGTTCATATGTTTAGTCTTAGATGGTTTAGAATTTGAAAATTTACACGAATTGGTTATAGCTTGCCTTAAGAGGAGCCTTTCCCAACCGGAATAACCGACATCCCGGAGATTTGTCTCGGTCAAACTCCTTTGGTCCTCGTCCCGGCCGGTTAGCAGAATGATAGTGAAACCAAGTTTTTTTAGAGCATTGTATAGTCTCAAGCTCGCTTCAAAAGCCGGAGCTGTACCTTGTAACACCCACTCATTGAAGCTATTGGAATCGAACGGTTCAGACCTAATTCCACTAAATTAAATTAAACCGAACCGGTTGGTACGCTATGAAAAAGAAGGGACGCAATTAAAACAAAACCGGGTATCTTATACAGTAAATCGGGTCTAAATCCACATTAGATTAGATTCCGGTTTGATATGGTCAACAGTCATCACGACCGTTTAAAACGCAAAATCCAACGGCTTACAATAGAGAGAGAGCATACCCGTAACCATGAGCCTTGTAGTAGTCGATATTCGTGAGGAGCGTCTCGTCGATGTCGAAGATCCACACGTCCTTGCCGTCGCCGGAAATCTGAACAGTTTTCGCGAAGGCGAGCGCATAATCAGCGATGATATCGTAATCGGATCCGTACTGGTCTCCGTTGAGATAACCGGCGACGGAATCCACGCAAATAGACGGAATCACATCCCAGGTTCCGACGTTGTTGGTCTCTACGGCCAATCTCCAGCTCTGGCAGTAGGTATCTGCGGCGGCGGAGCGAGATCCGTCGCTTCCCGGAAGCTTGATGATGGAGTTGCGAGCGGAGATTGCGGGATTGATTAAGAGGGAGAACAAAGAGAGGAGGAAGAAGGAAATCGAAATGCCGCGAGGAGGAGGAGACGCCATTGGAGAGATTTAGAGAGAGAAAGGGGGCTTCTCCGAATTATTGGTACATATGCTTAACCAAATATAAAAAATTAATTAGTTAATTAGTTAGTAGTTATTTAATAAGCGTGTATTCTCGGACATAGGTTCCGTGTAATCAAATCCATTGTATCCCAACGTGCTAATAATTTTATTTTCAAGCCTTCTCTTGTATTCAGGGCATACACAAATGAAACTATCATCTCCTCAGCACACTCCTCTGAGGGCAGTTTCACTAAGCAAGTCACTTTCTGAATAGACTTAGACTAAATAGTTATACTAACCGAAGGATCCCAAATGACCCATATCCTTCCGGACTTAAAAAAAGAACGCCGCCGCCCAATAAGAAAAATCAAACAAGTGCTAAGTTTCAGATAGTGAATAAACCGAAACGAAAGAAGAGAGGTTTAGCTTGCCCCGACTCGACTGATTGTATTGGGAGATCTCAGGATGACGAGATCGACATGAACATATTTTCTCCTCGTTATTAGGAAAGTTAACATTAGTGTGTATATTACCTTACTGTTAAATATGTAGATTTCCTATATTGAATATGTAAAGAACTTGGTAAAAAAGTTATAGAGTTTGTATAAATAAGCCTATTAGTTAATGAATAAAGATGAGAGAAACTATTATACTACTAAGGTTTCCTCCAAATTTATCATGGTATCAGAGCTAAGATCCAATTCCTATAGGTTTGAGTTTTGTTATTTTCAGAGCAATAGTCACATATAAAAGACTTTGTTTGATCATTGGCTGCCTACTGCTGCAGACCTATCTTTCTATTAATTTTTCTTCTTTAACTATATAGTTTTGATTTCTTAAAAAAAAAAACAAAAGGAGAGAGGAGGACGTGCTTGTCCAAACTTCTCAAGAAATTCAGGTTTTTTTGCTAATATTTATTATTCTCTTTTCTTGGTTACTACTATATCTTAAAAAAAAAAAAGTTATGTGCTTTGATTTCTTAAGGTTTTCGTTGGTTTTCAAAGTTTACGTGATGTTGTTCTTTTTGGATTCTAAATTAGTTTTACTTATTTTTGATTATTTTATTATGAACCTAAAAAAAAAAAAAAAAAGTTCTTATTTACTTCGTATGAGAGCTACGTTGTTATTATTATTTCGTGACTTAGTACAACCAGGTTTTTTATGCTTGCAACTTAGATGCTATTGGTTATGATGATGACTCCAACGGATATATACTGATCCGGCGGTGATGATGATGTGATTGAAGTTTATGTGGACTATGAACATGAATCAATTGTTGGATTCGTTCAGTTCACATGGTGATATGATGACGAGACGATGGAAATACACAACACTACGATAATGATGTATTTTTCACCGAATCGAAAACCTTGTGGCGAGGTATAATGTCATTGATGACCCGAAGGTTGGGTATAAACACTATGAAGACGATCTGAAGATTTGTCCAATCTCATACGTGTTACCATGTATGAGCTTGCGGGAGGGTATTGGGAGATCTCGGGATGACGAGATTGACATGAATATATTTTCTCCTCGTTATTAGGAAAGTTAACATTAGTGTATATATTACCTTACTGTTAAATATGTAGATTTTCTATATTGAATATGTAAAGAATTTGCTAAACAAGTTATAGAGTTTGTATAAATAAGCCTATTAGTTAATGAATAAAGATGAGAGAAATTATTATACTACTAAGCTTTCCTCCAAATTTATCAAATTGGCTGGGTTCGCTTCATCTGCTAAATAGTGCACGTAAGGTAAACGAGGACTCTGGTCAGCTTTGAGCTGTCGAGTAAGGAGTGACGGGCCTTTGGAAACCCGAGAAAAGCGGGGGAGTACTCAAAGGGAGTGGGAAAGCTGCAGTAATTCTTTGGAAAAGCCAGAGCTCCTTCAGCTCTAAACTGCTACTGTGCTTATTTGGTCTATCAGCGACTCAGCCAGCTACTGACCTACTACCTTATTATTTTCTGATATGTTTCCAATTGTTAAGCTATAATTAGAAGATCCCGCCGCTCCTGTTTGTAATGGGGCCGCTTTGTGCCAAATGTGTAAGTTGTTTTTTCGAAGTTCTTAAAGCGGGCCCGTGATAACACAAAGAATGAGAACGAGGGTCAGTTATTCTCGCAGTTCAGATAAGATTCAGAGCTTTTCTTGCCCCAGATAGTTCAGTAACGAAAGAAGGATCGAGGATAGCACTGAAACCACATAAGAATTTTATATTATATTCACCCATAGTAATAGAAAATAGTACACAAATCAGGTTCTGCGTCACTTTTTTTTTTAAAAAAAAATGTTTTTATTTTAATTCTTCATAATGAGGATACAAATTGTATAATAATAATTAATAAAATCCAACTAGTTTATAAAAAATGATGGGTTTCTTGCAAATGATAGAATTGAATGCTGAATATTTAGCGACCATAAAATTTCTTATCAGAATAAAAAACAAAGCATTGAAAACATAAATCATGCTAAAAAACGTGGTACATTAATTAAGATAGGTTACTTAATCACGAAATGCTTTCGTAACTTTCTTATTCATACATAAAGTTCTAAAAAAAAAAAGTCATGCAGCAGCGGATGATCAACCAATATAGTACATTGGATTTGGGACTTTGAAAGAACGATCGGCCAGGGCGAAACCTTGCAGGTCACTCCACTGATCGCCAGTGTTTCCATGGAGTTTGTAGCCTTTCTTAACCATTCTTGATCGCTGTTCTGATTTATACTTAGCAGCTGCTTTCCCTTGATCTTCCTCACCCCTACATTAACCGAAACAAAACCTTACTTGTTTTCCAGATGAAACCGGTTCGTAAGTTTATTAGTCTCTAGCTGGGTTAGTTGGTAGATTGGTAAACTAGTTTTTAGATGAACTTTAGTCAACAGGTATAAATAAATCTTAAAATGATCACTATTAACCCAAATTCTTTCTTATTGTTTTAGACGTTGATAGTAACATATTACCCATCAAGCAACCAAAATTTAAATCAAGCAAACCGACTGAGTACTATATATATCTCGGTTTGGTAATGATAGTGGTTTAGGATTTGAAACTTACTGATCTCTAGATAAGTCCTCGAATCGTTAACCAAAAACAAGACACAAATGGCTTACCTCAAGAGAAGATATTCCCAACCGGAATAACCGGCATCCTGGAGATTTTTCTCGGTAATAGCCCTCTGGCCTTCATCTCGGCCGGTTAGTAGAATGATAGTAAAACCAAGTTTCTTGAGACCCTTGAACAGTTTGAAGCTTGCATCAAAACCCGGGGCTGTACCTTTTAGCACCCACTCATTGAACGCTTTGGAATTGTAAGGCTCAGACCTAAATTCACCAGAAACATATCATCAACCAAACTGATTGGTAAGATAGGAAAAAAAAAATCAACGCCTTTAAAATAGCACCAGAAATGTTAAACCGAGAACCAGAACTGGTTCCACAAATTTCCCGGTTTGATTATGGTCAGTCAAACAATCATCATAAGTTCATGACCGTTTGATATAATCATTTAAACTTATTTATATATATATGTAAACAAAACCCACACGGGCTACTAACCCGTAACCATGAGCGGCGTAGTACTCGAGGTTCGAGAGAAGCGTCTCATCGATGTCGAAGACCCACGCGTCCTTGCCGTCTCCGCCGATCTTGACCGTTTTAGCGTAGGCGAGCGCGTAATTAGCGACTATAATGTAGTCCTTGTCGAACTGGCCTTGGTTGTAATAGGTTCTAATGGACCTAACACATTTGGATGGAACCACCTTCCAGGGTCCGGCATTGTTGGTCTCGACGGACAATCTCCAGCTCTCGCAGTAGGAAGCGGTGGAGGAAAGCAGAAATTCGTCGACGGCGACCGGGAGCTTGACGAAGGATGAGATGCGAGAAGAGATAGCCGGATTTATAAAAACGGCGAATAAAAGAAAGGTGCAGAACGAAACCGAGCTGCTACGAGAAAACGCCATTGGAGAGAGGCTTTTATCCCGAGTTAGCTTACTGCGTTGTGATGATTGAAGAAGAGGATGATTGACCGAGAGTTTAAAGGGGATGCAATCTCGTCGTAATAAAAAAAAACCACGTGATTTTTGCTGAGGACGTCGCTTTCGGTCCCATGTGCGTTCTTGTGCACACGTAGACGGTGCCAAAAAAAAAAGAAAGATACAGGCTCATGTAGAGATATTGTGATATCTTGGGTAAATAAGACGTTTCCAAACGTAAATGTATTCGTTAAGCGTTATATAATAAAAGGACCAATATTGTTATATTATTATTCATACAGAGTAACCAAGGTAATTTGTTTTCTTAATTATAAAACAATTAATATTGAATTTTGCCTCTCTGAAAATTTGATGGAGCGGATCTCGATGAATCACAATTATAAACACAAACACAACTAGGATCTCCACCAATTTTGGTATCTTTAATACATTTTCCAACTCCATTGTACCCATCATAGCATTTCTCAACACAACCAACAGGTTCACAATAATTTTGTTCATCAATGTTCATAACACATCGATTTCCCTTAGCTTTCTGAACTGAAAATACTACGAGAGAAAAAAAAAAAAGATCATGTGAAGTAATACTACATAATATTCTCGATTAGATATGTTATGTAATGTTTTGACCTCCCCCGCCCCCCCCCCCCCCCCCCCAAAAAAAAAAGATATGTTATGTAATGTAAATTTAAAAATTAAAAATTATTATTTGATGTTTGGAAGTGGAAGAGATGCAATTACCTGAAAACACAATCATGAGTATGAGGAAATAAGAACTTGATATTTGGCCATGATCAACATCACAACAAAAGAAAGTTACTATTGTTTTCTAAATTAGAAATGGTAGAAGAAAAACTATTTTATATTTTTTTTTTCTTTCTGAAAATGACTGTGTTTACGTTATATATACTGGTACTTGGTGTTTTTTTTAACTTACTATATTATTCAAACAACTAAAGAAAAGTGAATGAATGTTCAAAATGCAAGGTTGACTTGGTTACTATATGCACCTTCTTACTTCTCACCATGTTATAGTAATCAACTTAATAAAAAAATTAATGTATTTCCTAGGAAGAGTTTTGGGGGAATTTCAAAACTACTACTCTAATGTTATATGCATGTTTTGGGGTTTTTATGCTCTATGCATGTTTTCCAATTTGTTTTTCGTTTCTGATCAAATTTTGCAACTCACTTGCCTTTACTTTTTAACATTTTCTGAAAAATTAGATATGTTTGTGTCTGCTTGGTCATGTTTCCTTTGGTTGAGATAACCGGCGACGGAATACACGCAAATAGATGGAATCACATCCCAAGTTCCGATGTTGTTGGTCTTTACGGCCAAACTCCAGCTCTGGCAGTAGGTATCTACGGCGGCGGTGCGAGATCCGTCGCTTCGCGGAAGCTTGATGATGGAGTTGCGAACGGAGATCGCGGGAATTATTAAGAGGGCGAACAAAGAGAGGAGGAAGAAGGAAATCGAAATGCCGCGGAGGAGGAGACGCCATTGGAGAGATTTAGAGAGAGAAAGGGGGCTTCTCCAAATTATTGGTATATGCTTACCCAAATATAAAAACTTAATTACTTAATTAGTTAGTACTCCCCTTTGTTTCAGAAAGAATATCATTTTGATATTTTTCATATAAATTAAAAAATTTAATAAAAAATCTCCTTTATCTTTTATAAATATATTAAACATTTTTCTCTTTTTAATTGATATATCAATATAACAAAATTAAAACTGAATTTTTGTTTAAAAATTTGCATTAAAAATACAAAACAATATTATTTATAAAACATAAACGAAACTTTAAAACAACACTGTCTATGACACGATGAACAGGAGTAGTTATTTAATAAGCGTATTCTCGGACATAAGTTCCGTGTAATCAAATCCATTGTATTCCAAGGTGCAAATAATTTTATTTTCCAGCCATAAGAATTGTATATTCATTCATACTAATAGAAAATAGTACACAAATCACTGGTTCTGCGTCACTTTTTTTTTTAAAAAAATGTTTTTTTTTATTCTTCATAATGAGGATACAAATTTTATAATAATAATTAATAAACTCCAACTGGTTTATAAAAAATTGATGGGTTTCTTGTAAATGATAGAATTAAATGTCGAATATCTAACGTCCATATAATTTCTTTCAGAATAAAAAATAAAGCATTGAAAACATAAATCATACTAAAAAGTTAAACGTGGTACAAAAAAGTATTTTAATATTAAAAAAAAATCAAAAGGTAAGAAAGAAAGGAGAGGAAAGTTCTTAAAAATTTAAAAATTTCCAAAGTTGCTCATTTAACCGATTCTAAACATTTGAAAATTTCTCTTTTACACTTGTCCTTTTCCAGTTTTTTCATTTATTTTAAATATTAAATTTTAATTATATATATTATGTAATACCAAAATATTATATTAAATAGTTAAGATATCTTAGAGATCCAAACCAATGTGAATACTCTTGCGGTCCAATCACGAAATGCTTTCGTAAGACCAGCTCCAACGGGAGCTTCTAAATGAGGTTTCAAAGAATAAAAAATTATAAAAAAAAAGAAAAGAAAGAGAGAGAAATCAGAAAAGGGTTTTGATTGAAGAAGTTTAAGAGACGGGTTGTCGAGATTCTGTCCAAGTGTCAATTAATAATTAGTTCATTTTTTATATCATTTTAATTTTAATTAAATAAATAAATTATATTAATATTATATAAGGAAGAGACGATGAGAATAGCTTCTACCGTTGGTGATGCTCTAACTTTCTTATTCATACATAAAGTTCTAAGAAAAAAGTCATGCAGCAGCGGATGATCAACCAATATAGTACATTGGATTTGGGACTTTGAAAGAACGATCGGCCAGGGCGAAACCTTGCAGGTCACTCCACTGATCGCCAGTGTTTCCATGGAGTTTGTAGCCTTTCTTAACCATTCTTGATCGCTGTTCTGATTTATACTTAGCAGCTGCTTTCCCTTGGTCTTCCTCACCCCTACATTAACCGAAACAAAACCTTAGTTGTTCTCGAGATGAAACCGGTTCGTAAGTTTATTAGTCTCTAGCTGGGTTAGTTGGTAGATTGGTAAACTAGTTTTTAGAGCCAAGTATCGTTTCAAATAAACTTTAGTCAACTTATAAGTAAATATTAAAATCACTAGCAACCCAAATTCTTTCTTATTGTTTTAGACATTACTATAAATATATTTGCAACCAGTGGGTTAAAATCAAGAGTCCAAGATCACAGGCACAAAAACAATCAACTCCTAGTCCTAGATATAGATTGGTTTGAAACTTACTGAACTAGATAAGTCCTCGAATCTTAAACGAAAAACAAGATATATATTTTGGTAAAGCTTGCCTCAAGAGGAGATATTCCCAGCCAGAATAACCGGCATCCTGGAGATTTTTCTCGGTAATAGCCCTCTGGCCCTCGTCTCGGCCGGTTAGCAGAATGATAGTGAAACCAAGTTGCTTGAGATCTTTGAACAATTTCAAGCTTGCATCAAAACCTGGGGCTGTACCTTTTAGCACCCACTCATTGAACGCTTTCGAGTTGTACGGCTCAGACCTTAATCACCAGAAACAAATCAACCAAAACCGATTGGTACGATAGGAAAAAAAACCAACGTTAAAATAGCACCAGAAAACCAGAATATAGTAAGTAAAACACATTTATAGATAAAACAAAACCCACACGGCTAATAATAGAAAGAGACTTAGAGCATTTACCCGTAACCATGAGCGGCGTAGTACTCGAGGTTCGAGAGAAGCGTCTCATCGATGTCGAAGACCCACGCGTCCTTACCGTCTCCGCCGATCTTGACCGTTTTAGCGTAGGCGAGCGTGTAAGTAGCGACTATACTGTAGTCATTGTCGAACTGTCCTTGGTTGTAATAGGTTTCAAGAGACCTAACACATTTGGATGGAACCACCTCCGAGGGTCCGGCATTGTTGGTCTCGACGGACAATCTCCAGCTCTCGCAGTAGGAAGCGGTGAAGGAAAGCAGAAATTCGTCGACGGCGACAGGGAGCGTGATGAAGGATGAGACGCGAGAAGAGATAGCCGGATTTATAAAAACGGCGAATAAAAGGAAGGTGAAGAACGAAACCGAGCTGCTACGAGAAAACGCCATTGGAGAGAGGCTTTTATCCCGAGTTAGCTTACTGCGTTGTGATGATTGAAGAAGAGGATGATTGACCGAGAGTTTAAAGGGGATGCAATCTCGCCGTAATAAAAAACCACGTGATTTTTGTTGAGGACGTCGCGTTTCGTCCCATGTGCGTTCTTGTGTACACGTCGTCGGTGCTAAAAAAAAAAAAAAAAGAAGGCTCAAGTTGAGATATCTTGGGTAAATAAGACGTTTCCAAACGTAAATGTATTCGTTAATTAAGCGTTATATATATCTACAGTAAAACCTCTATAAATTAATAATGTTTGGACTCTCAGATTTTATTAATTTATAGAGTTATTAATTAATCGATAAATTAATAATTATTAATTTATCAATTAATTAATATTTTATTAGTTTATAGAGATATTTTTAGTTTAAATTTTTAATATTAATAAAAAAATTAATATTTTCAAAAATGTAAAATTCATTTAGAAATTTCATAATAATGAAATTAGAAGATAAATCAAACAAATTTTATAAATTTGAAACAACAATATTATCATAGTTTACTATACTATATTATTATTGGGACCATATTTTTACATAGAACTTTTAAAAAAAGTATTATCTTATTATCTTATCGGATTTTATCAATTTTTACACTGGCCCGACTTGGGACCGACAAAAATTATTAATTTATAGTGATTATTAATTTATCGAGTATTAATTTATAGAGGTTCTACTATATATTTAATAAAAAGAGAAGTTTAGGGCTCCTAAAGCCATCCACATCAACAAAAAATAAATTTTTATAATCATACTACATCAGCAAACTTTTAATAAAAATAATTTTTAATATATTATTAACATATTTAAAATTAAATAGTGTTTAATTAACAATAATAGTAGTAAATAATAGTAGTATTTAAATATTGATTAAATTGTATGTACTATGGTAACAAAACATATGACATATTATAATTTGATTTTAACAAATATTTTAATATTATATAAATAAAATTTTAAATTCTTACACCCCAAATTAATAATAATCACATATTTAAACTAAAAATCGTTAAAATATAATATTATGAGGTATTAAGTTCGCTCACACAATAATTAGAAACATCAAATATGTATGATTATGTACATACTATTTCTATATTTTTGGCTAAATACTTTTAGGCATAAATTAAGTTAATTAGAGTATAATATGAAATATGAATCATCATTATATTCATGCATATGTAAAAATATACTTGCATAACTTTATATTAAACATTAATATATTACACTTTCATATTTCAAAATAGTATATATAATTTTATATAAAAGAAAATATCATAAACACTTTTCTAACCATGTACATCAACAAAAAAAAATTTTACAAACTTCACATGTAAGGAAAACTAATATGTTTTTTTTTGGTTAAGAAACTCTTTTAAAAATAATATAATATATATTATTAATTTAATTATAATTATTCACCAAAATATATATATATATATAGTGTAAGAAAAATATATAAGTTAAATTCCAAGTAAATGCAAATGAATCTTTTACACATTTTGAATTTTGAGAAATTCGACATACTTTATTTAATGGACTGAGTTAGTATGAAGATGTATTTGTATATGTATTACTTGCTTTATTCATCTACACTATTATAGTTTACATATACTTCAGAGACCAAATAAAAAATGCAGTTTATCAATATGATTGTAATTTTGTATAATATGTAAATGTTATTTTTATTTATATGCTCAATAGTTCTTTTACGGATTTGTAAGAGTTTTGAACATTAATTGTTGTTTTATATTTAAGACTGCTCATAAAAAAATTATTACACGGACACAATTGAAATGAAAAGATACCTAAATTAATTGGAACTAAATATAGGTGTTTCAATTGTAGTCATATGTTTGATAAGTAATTTTTTTAATGAAAAAATTGTTTTAAATTAAATTAAGAGGAAACTTATAGTTATTGAGTTCAATTATATATCAAATTTAGTTAAAAAAAAAATAATTTTAAAAATAGTTTGAAAGTTGGTGAGCAGTAATAAGTTTATATATAAATATTAAATTTTAGATTAACGATTAATTTTCACATATATCAAATTAGTTAATTTTTAAATTAAATCATAATATATTTTTTAAATACGTTAATTTTTTAGATGTATAAACACATCAAAATAATATTAAAAATAAATATTATATTTAAAATATTAATTTACAATTAAAATAATTTCATTAAAATAATAATTAATATTTATGAAAATATCTGCACGTAGCGCGGTAACATCCTAGTATAATAAAAGGTAATTATTTTTTTAATTATAAACACAAACACAACTAGGATCTCCACCAATTTTGGTATCTTTAATGCATTTTCCAACTGCATTGTACCCATCATAGCATTTAAACACAACCAACAGGTTCACAATAATTTTGTTCACCAATGTTCATAACACATCGATTTTCCTTAGCTTTCTGAACTGAAAATACTACAAAAGAAAAAGAAAAAAGATCATGTGAAGTAATACTACATAATATTCTCGATTAGATATGTTATGTAATGTTTTGATCCAAAAAAAAAAGATATGTTATGTAATGTAAATTTAAAAATTTAAAATTATTATTTGATGTTTGGAAGTGGAAAAGATGAAGTTACCTGAAAACACAATCATAAGTATGAGGAAATAAGAACTTGATAACTTAGCCATGACCAATATCACAACAAAAGAAAGTTACTAACGTTTTGTAAATTAGAGATGGTAGAAGAAAAACTATTTTATATTTTTGTTGCTTTCTGAAAATGACTGTGTCTACGTACTTGGTGTTTTTACTTACTATATTGTTCACACAACTAAAGGAAAGTGATGAATGTTCAAAATGCAAGGTTGACTACATTGGTTACTATATGCACCTTCTTAGTTCTCACCATGTTATAGTAATCAACTTAATAAAAAAATTAATGAATTTCCTAGGAAGAGTTTTGGGAAGAATTTCAAAACTACTACTCTAATGTTATATGCCTGTTTTAGGGTTTTTTGCTCTATGCATGTTTTCCAATTTTTTTTTTCGTTTCTGACCAAATTTTGCAACCTAAAATATTTATTTGAGTGTTACAGAACATTTTAAACTACGATATATATGTTTCTTAATCGTTTGAGACTTTCGCTATAGTGAAAGAACCAACATATCTAAACTTTTCAGAAAATATTAAAAGGTAAGTATTTTAATTTTTATGCATACATAAATTTACACGTAAAATTAATATAATTAGACAAAAAGAAATGGAATTAGTAGATTTTTAGTTACAGTGTAGTAAATTGCAAAGTCAGGCTCCCTTATGGTTGAAACTTAAAAAGAAAAACCAGCGGCAGTTTTGTATTCAATTAAAATCTAACTGCCCAACCATTATTAAACTGATAGGCATGAGAAATTATATAATCCTATACAAACCAATTTATTTCCATAAAAACAAGCCAAACCAATATTTTTCAAAGGCTCTATGTTGGTTTAGAGATTTATCATGCATGCTCTTTGTTCTTTGGTTTTGCTGAATTGAGAAAGAATCTTTGGAATTTTTGCCTGTTACAAATAGTGCTACGTACATTTATGAGAAACGGGGAGATGTCTTATTCTTCTACCGGTTTTGTGCAAATCAAATAGAGATTGAAAAGACAAACGGAGACAGAAATAGAAACCCCCTTGTCTAGTCACGTGACTCTTGTCTTTATTTATACGAATGGTCAAGAATTGAGGCACGTTTTTATCATGTTTTCATTTTTATTGCTGGCAGATGCAAATCCAATCATTGATCTCCACATACTTGTACGTGTGTGAGAATTAGTTACATGAATGTATTTTGCTATTAGAAGACCGTATATCCGATTATAAATTCTCTTTTTATAAAGTTAATAGAAGTGTTAATTGGAGAGAATATAATATACATATTATTTCGTTTCAATTCACTCAACGTATATAAAAACCTCAAACTAGTTGTCCCAAAAAAAAAACCTCAAACCGAATTATTTCCAAAAACGCCTTGGCAACCGAGTTAAACCAAAATAGTTTCGCTAATGGATTTTAAGTTATTATAGTTCATGAAATTAACAATTCTTTTATTAAATGACGATAGCTAGCCTTGAGCATATGTTATATGTTAACTTTAGAGCATATATTTTATATATTTTTGCTTATATTTTTTGGAATTGTTGTTAAATTTATTATTCAAAAATAAAAAATCCTTGTTTACATGATTGCTTCTGTTTTCTGAAATTTTCTAGATATCTTTAGAACTTGGACGATAGATAATCTGTAACTAAGAAAAGTAGGTGCTGCAGCTTTTCTATTGCATGGCAAACCACGTAATGAGCCCGTCAGCATGTTCGAATCGTGCTAATTTGATTCCAGACGTTTTTGTCAATGAGCTTTTGATTGCTTACTATTAGAATTTGAAAACTGTTATAACTAGCATTATATATAGAAGCTCAAAAGAAGTCCAAGTAAATCCCTGAGATGAATATTTTGCTCCAATTGGATATATTTATTGTCCTCATGATCATCAAAACTACATTTTTTTGTCAATCCGGTTGATTTCATTAATTTTCTAAACCAGATCAAACCGAGAGATTAAAGCACTCTTGGCATGGAGCTCTAAAGGTGGAGCTCTAAGATTATCAAAACTACCAAGGAATTAAAATACAACAATCTCTTTTTGAACAAAAAATGAAGACGTTAGATTCATCATAGACATCATTATTTATTTTACAGAGTTAAGAGAATATTAAAGAATAAAATAAAGTAGAAGGGAAGTGAATGGATTTTTTTTTCCAATAAAGTAAAATATCTAAGACTGTAACTGGTAATAATAAATTGGAATAAATGAAATAAAAAGAATAAATTAATATGAAATAAATAAAAATATATGGAATGGAATGAAAATTGCATTCCTTTCATTCCTTAGCATTTTTAAAGTGGAATGATTTTTCAAAAAGATTTGTTTTTTCCTTTGTAGAATGAATGGAGTAAGTGGAATGTTTTTGTTTTTCCATTCCTTATAAGGTAATAATTTTGTGGAATTTTATGGAATTCTTCATTCCATATGATTTTATTCCTAAATTTTACAATCCAGTTACACCCTTAGCATAACAAGGCTGATAAATGTATTTGAATAGATTTTGTCAAGTGTATGATTTTTTACTATATCGATTATGTAATTTAACTTGATTCTCTTCACATTATAGTTTAAAAATATGTTTCCTAGAAAGCGTTTCCCTCTATGTTTCTCTCATCAATAATAGTCTATATAAACGTTCTTTCTCTATCGCATTTTTAATATCAAAAAGTTTCTCCCAACAATCCTCTAATTGTTTACTTTAAAAACAAAAAAATATCCTCTAATTGTTTCACAAGTCATGGCAAAACAAGTTTTTTTGTATCTGTTCATCTCCATGTTTGTTCTCTCAGGTAAGAAATTCGTATGGCTTGTTACGGTGATCACTTGGCATCTAAATATCGTACATGTTATTAGAATTATAGGTTTAGATACTTTTCAACTAAACATTTTCAAGTAGTATATATGCTCGTTCGTTTATTTAATATACTTTAAATATTTTTGTAAGCTTTTTTTCTCTCTTTTTTGGTATAGCTTTTTTGGATTTGCCAAGTGTAGATGGAGCGGACATAAGAACATGTAGTGTGACCTTGCCGCTTAGCAAGCCATGCAGTTTTCAGGAATGCCAACCTCTTTGTATTCAAAAGTACAAGGGGAATGGCGTTTGTCTCGGAAAAAACAACAGTGTTTGCAGTTGCGTTTTCAATTGCTAAGCTTAAATATACTCTTGTCTAAAGTCAAACTAAACCAAAAACAATATACTATATATTAATATTATGGTGCTTTAATTACCTTGACCTGTGTACTTGGATTATATAGACCATGTTGTCATATGAATTAAAAAGATCTTTAAAGACGTGCGGGAAAACACTTTCTACCTATTTTTCTTCAAAGTATATCTTATTCCGTAAATGATAACTTTTGTTTCAAAAATACAACCATAACTTATTATGCATAAATAGCCTGCATGCACCTTACATTACAAATTTAGATTCGGACGTTAAATTACGAAATGGATTCGTAGCATATTATTCATACATAGAAACGGAATTTTCGTTGCTTGGCTTAATCGGTCAAGAAATGAAATACATGGGATTCGACGACACTTTTAAAAGAACGATCAGCCAATATAATTGTAGATGGTTATGTTAGGCTCTCTCTGCGAACATTCTGGAACTCCACTTTCTCTCGGATTTGGAAGTACTCATCAATTCTCTCAATGTAGGGTCGGATCAGAATGAAATCGTAGGCATCTTCCATGATATTAGATGCCTTGTTCTTCTCTTCTCTTTTTTATTGTGTTACTTTATTGTCTGCTCTGTAAATGTTATCGCAGATGGTTTAGCTAAATCTACTCTTTTCAATTTGGTCTGGTTTGTTGTAAACAGGTTATTTCGAATTTTAATGACAAACATTGACAAATATATATATATATCGATTTTGTTTAGTGTGTTTAGTGATGGTTTTGGCAATCTTAGGTTTTAACCATGAACAAGAACCTAAAATTCCACCACACAAAGCAAAGCAGAAATCGATCGGTACGCTTTAATATTAATCATTCAATTCTAATAGAACGGGATATCAAATTTTTGGTTTATTAGATATAAATACCGCTCAGATTAAACCTAATTCTTCATATAGTTTTTAGATGAACGATTTTTTCATATATCCAAAATTGATTAGCAGTGTTGACAAGATTTCAATACAGAAAGGAGAAAATATGCTATGTAGTAAAGACTAATTTCAAAAATGATTTATTTAATTATTTTTTTTTCTAGTTATCAGAGTCTCCATATGGATATCTTTGAAATTTTTATTCCGATTAAAAACAGAAACCGTAAATTAAATTAATATATCACAACTTTTTAAGAGTCGTTCTTCTAACAATTATAAGTGCAACCACAATTAGCTGATCCAGCAACTTTAGGATCGTCAAAACATTTTCCAACACCATTGTATCCAGAAAAACAGCTTTGACGGCAATAGACCAAGTCACAAAACATTTTTTGGTCAATGGTTATATGACATCGCTTTCCCTCAGCTCTTTCAACCATTAAAGAAGCTACAGAAGTAAGATATTGACAAACGGAAGTTATATACATGTATAGATCTTTCATCAAAAAACAAATTATATGCATCTACTGCAAATGTTTGGAAGTGGAAAATATGAAATTACCTGAGAACACAACAATGAGTACAAGGAAATAAAAACAAGATAACTTGGCCATGATCAATATTACAGCAAAACTAAGCTACCGATGTTGTGAAAAGGGAAAAGTAATTTTCTTTGTTTGATTTTTTCTTTTCAATGACTGTAGTAAGTAGTACTGTAATGTCTATGTGCGGTATATATATATACTGGTAGTCAGGTACGGGATTATAGGGAAAATAGCTTCCGATAAATGAGGAAATTACTATAATTGGAAAGTGAAAAAAAAAAACGTTTGACGATCGTAAGGTTGTCTATCGTTCATTGGTCAACCGATAAGGGGGATTCGTTAATTATAGGAAAAACAATTCCGTGATCCTAATTAATGGGTGTATTTAATGAATTTGTTTTTTGAAGAGACATAACGCATATGTTTACAAGGTCATGGAAACAAGGTGAGATCTAATAGAAAAGGAAAAAAAGCCCTCATTTATAAAAAAAAACTTATAATAATAAATATAAATATTATATAGTAAAAACAATAAAATTAAATTAAATAAACTAAAATATAGTTTTAAAACTGATTGTTTCTTTTTTCTCGTAAAACTATAAAACTCCAAGATATGTAATCCTTAACCTAAAAAAACAACTACTCTCTCCGTTTTATAAAGAGTGTCGTTTTAAAGTTTTGTTTTTGTTTCACAAAGAGTGTCGTTTTAGGTTTCCAATGCAAATTTATAACAGAATATCCAGTTTTAATCTTGTTATTTTAGTGTATTAATTAGAAAGAATGAGTTATTTAGTGTATTTATTAGAGATAGAAAAGACTTTTCGTTAATTTTCTTAATTTATGTGAAAAGTGTCAAAGTGACACTTATTTTGAAACAGATGGAATATTAATTATCAAAATCTAAAATTGTATTTAATAAATTCATTTTTCGAAGAGACATAACGCATATGTTTATGGAAACAAGGTGAGATCTAATAGATAATAATATGCTTACAATGTATCGAAAGAGAATGATTAACGTTCTATAAAACGCATAATAATATGAATGAATTATCAAGATCAATATATATATATATATAACTCCAAGATACGTAACTCTTAACCCAAAAAACAACTATTAATAATCAAAATTTAAAATTGAATATTTAACCCAATTGTTTTAAAAATGAAAATAATGAAGATATGAATAAATGAACAATCAGCACACAATTGAAACGCGAAAACAAGTAAAACATAAATTTACTGTATATGATACAAACAACACAAACATCGTTGTCTGTACAATCTTTCTTTCAATTTTGAATCTCCACATATCAAATTGATCCAAAAAAAAGCAATAAAACCCGAAATTAATCACCAGAGTAAATAATAATTATGGATCGGCCTTTCTTAAGTCAAAATGTACGTCTCTTTAAGTCCGCGAAGGAGATCGCGTAATCGGCCAAGACGTTGTAACTCCAGGTTCCGGCGTTATAGGTCCCGGCGGCTCCAGCTCCCGCAGTGAGAGGATGTGGCGGAGTTGGATGATCCGATGCTTCTGCTCGGTAAATCGATGACGGAGGAGCGAATGGAGACAGAGGGCGAGTAAAGAGAGGATGAAGCACAAAATCGAGCAACCACAAGCCACGAGGAAACGCCATTGGAGAGGAAATAAAAGTGTGTTTTTTAAAATTGTTTTCGGTTGTGTAGACTAGAGGAGGATGATTTTTTTTATTTGCATAACTTTAGTGATTGATTACGAAAAAAAATAGCGACTGGTTGTCTAGAAACCATAATTACCTATAGAAACATCTTGATGCTATTTTTCATATAATTTTTACATGAACGATTTTATCATTTTTAATCCAAGATTAATTGGCAGTGTTGACAAAATTTCAATACATAAAAGAGATATGCTATGTAGTAAAGACAAATTTCAAAAATGATTCATTTAATTATTTTTGGCAATAAGAATAATTGATAAATAGTAATATAGTGATTAGAATCTCCATATATATGGAGAACTCTGGAATTTTTATTCTGATTAAAAAAAAAAGTCCGTAGATTTAATTATTATATCACAAATGTTTTAAGAATCGTTCTCTAGCAATTATAGGTGCAACCACAATTAGAGGATCCAGCAACTTTAGGATCGTCAAAACATTTTCCAACGCCGTTATATCCTGAGTAACAGGTTTGCATGCAATAGCTACTTTCACAAAACATTTGTTGGTCAACGGTTATATGACATCGCTTTCCCTCAGTTCTTTCAACCATTAAACAAGCTACAAAATTAGGACATAAAAACAGAAGTTAGAGATGCATATATAGATCTTTCATCAAAAACAAAATAGATACATCTATCGCAGGTGTTTGGCAGTGGAAAAAATATGAAATTACCTGAGAACACAAGCATGAGTACAAGGAAATAAGAACAAGATAACTTGGCCATGATGATATACTGATATTACAGCAAAACAAAGCTACCGTGTTGGGAAAAAAAGAAAGGAAAAGTAATTTTATTTTTTTATTTTTTTTATTTTCAATGACTGTGTAGTGTGATGTTTATGTGTGGTATATATATATATAGTGGTGGTCAGGTACGGGTTATAGGGGAAAATATCTTCGCATAAATGAGAAAATTCCTATAAATGGAATGTGGAAAAACGTTTGACAATCGTATGGTTATCGTTCACTGGTCAATCGATAAAGGGGATTCGCTAACTATAAGTGTTACAAATTTTATACGAAAATATTTTATTTACCTTTAATGAAACTAAAAAATTAATGTAATCTAATTTTTAATTAATTTTCGTTTTTCTTAAATCTAAATTTCCAAATTCGAGTTTATGTCATAAAAATATTTAGTTTACTAAAAAAGGTAACTAACATAAATCACAAAAAATTAATTTTAATTATTTCTTTAAACTAATTTTAATTTGATTGTTTAACCTACTAATATTTTTGACTAACCTAATTAATTTATGCGGTCACAAATAAAATTCTAAATCTTTTCAAAACTCTATATATTAATTAATGTTAAGTTGATATGAAACAATGATTTTCTGATTTTGATCATTTTTTATTGCTATTTTTTTTTTCAAGCAAACTTTGAATTTTAATTAATCTTAATCTGCCAATTTACACCAAAAGAAAAAAATTCAAAAGAAAAAAATTATTTATCATATTTGATAAATATAACAAAACAACAAATTATATATATAAGTTACATATAATTAATAATTTCACTAAATTAAAACATAAAAAATTGAAAATTGTCATAATAAAATAGAATATTATAAATAAAAAAGTGTTTATCCAATTAAAAATAATTTAAGTTTTAAAAATTTGAAAATCACATATAATAATCAAACATTATATAATATGTTATTTTAATTTTATTGTTAGATTTTTTAAAATACTCATTAAATATATATAATATAATATGGGATGTTCCATTAATGCTAACTCATATATATATATATGATGATGTGTAACATCTAATTTTCAAAGTTTATATATAAAAGAATAAAAATTACAAATTAAAGTATAAATTAAACCAATTTCTGAGTTTATGTATGAAAAAGCCTATTTCTCCATCTTGGGCTTATAAAGATCAACTTTTTGAATTGTGGCTTTGTACTTATGCAAGAAACTTCTATTTGCTTAATGGGCCATACCTCGATGAGCTTTGAAACCGATTGTCTTCAACTCGTAAAGATAACTGAAGGAGATGAAGATATAGGTTGGTAACGTTGGTTCTCGATCTGACTTAAATGAGTTTAATCGTTTATGTTCTTGTTTCGGTGAATTCATTTTTCGAAGAGACGTACTCCATATGTTAACAAGATCGTATTGGAAACAGGGTGATGTCTAATAGGATAAGATAATAATATGGTTACGATGTTTCGGAAGAAAATGATTAAAACGTAACGCATAATAATATGAACGAATTGTCACGATCAATATATATAACTCCAAGATACGTAACTTTTAACCCCAAAAAAGAACTAGTAATTATCAAAATATAAAATTGAATAATTGACCCGAATGTTTAAAAAATGGAAATAATGAAGATATGAATAAATGAATAATCAACACACAATTGAAACGCAAAAAAAAAACAAATAAAAAATAAATAAATATGATACAAACAACACAAACATCGTTGTCTGTAAAATCTTTCTTTCAATTTTGAATCTTCACATATTTAATTGATCCAAAAAATCAATAAAACCCGAAATTAATCATCAGAGTAAGTAATAATCATGGATCGGCCTTTGTTAAGTCAAAATGTACGTGTCTTATAAGTCTTAACTGATTTCTCATGAGAGTGAGCTTTGGTCGTCGTGACAAAGCTCCTTACGGAGCTTACGAGAGAAGAGCTGACACGCGTCGACGCTTAAGTCAACAGCGGCGGAGAGAGCGACAAAGAGAGCTGCGTCCGCCATGCAAGTCACGTGCTGTGCCCCCACGTGCACCACCGGCTTGCTCACTTTCCCTTCTCCTTCAACGCTCGATCCCATCACGAACCCTTTCACCGGCGACGATCTTGCCGGCGACTCTCCCTGCCCATTCACTCTCCTGTCAATGCTGAACTTCCCTCCTTGCTTTGTGCTCATTGTCCCTGTTCCCCGTTTATATCCATTATCAGATTCGTTTTGCAGGTATGCATATACCATTAGAGCTATTGATTATTTTAAGAAATCATGTAATGTCGGTTAAGGGTATATTGGAAATTTAATAATAATATATCCGACAAATTTTAATATTTGAAAGACAATATTCAAAAATTTATCTAAATGTAAGATCAAGTTATTTTTTCTTACATTTTTAAATGATTTTAACATATTTTTTTTCAATTAGTTGTGGATAACTCGGATATTCGGATGGTAATCATAATATGACTTCACATATTCAGACATTTCTTAAGGTGGTTTATGGTGAATTTGGTTTCTACCTATACTCGTACGTATGGGTATAAAGTGAATTCAAATAGTACATTACAGTGCAATTGGTATATGTGTAAGAAAAAGCAGGAAAAAAACAAAAAACATTGACATATACTTTTTTTGTAACAGGATTAGTTATAGATAGTTCGGATAATAATGGTATTTTGGGTAACTTAAAAGTGACCCGACACAATGTAACCCACGTTATTGAATACTAAGCAACATTTGTACTAAAACGAAAAATTTAATGAACGTACCTTCTGCAATTGGAATGCCGGTGCTAGTACTGTTATCCCTCACGAGCTCGAACTTGTAACCCAAACCATCGATGGCTCCTCTCTCACGCCAAGCCTCGAGCCGACCCCACGGTTTCCAGCTGCTGACACAAGTCCCGTGAGGCCGTAGGATGAGCCACGCGCCCGGGTTTGATCTAGAGACACGGTCTGATCCTGGTGACGCCACGAAAGGAGTGATCATCGAAGCTGCTGCTACTGGAGATCCTGACAAGTCGTGGATCGTTATCATCCAGCCTTTTCTCTCTCTCGCTTGCTTCTTCTCCCATTGGTCTCCTGATAGTGTTCTTGTGATCCATCCTCTGCTACTGTACGTGAATCCCGACGGCAGAGACCTGAAACAGAGCAAGATTTTGTAGAATGAACTAATTTTGTAGAATCATGAACAAGATTTTGTGATTTTCAAGAATTGGTTAGCTACAGAAGCAAAATAGAGTTTTATACCGAGATCTTCCGTTACGGTCGGAGCTGAATTTGCAGCTGAAGACAGGCTGTTTGATATTCCCCTGAATCTGGTAAACCACGGGGCTACATTCCGGTTCACCTCCGAATTGAAACACGAACCGAGGATCCGGTTCAGCACGGACCAATAGATGTAGCCGAGCCGACGGTTTGTCTCCTTCTCCTCCGAGTTTCTTCCAACCGCTGTGGAACGCGACGGTTCTAGATAGCGCCGCCGCGAGATCCACCGCTACTTCGACTCTGCCTAGAAGCTTACCGGAGGCGACGCCGCAAGTGTGGCCAGTACGGCCGGTGTAGACGGAGACTCGGAGTGAGATCTTCTTACCGGAGACTCTTCGGATCGCGTCGGCGTCGAGGTGGAATCCCGGAGCTGAAGTGGATGATTCCGGCGGAGACGAAGCGTCGGAGAAGGAAGAGAGAGGGAGAAGCGCTTTCTGCGAGGGGAAGTGTTTGATCCGGAGCTTGCAGTAACAAGGCGTCGCGGAGGGATGTACTTCGCCGCCGATTTGCTTGTTGGTCGCCGTCTCCGGTAGTCTCAGAGCTAGAGAATCTATTGTAAGCCGTACAAACGGACATGGATCCATCACAAGTTAGCCCTTCGAGTTATGTCCACTTCTTGATTTCGGATTTTGAATTTTTTTCGTGAATTTGAGAGATTAATCAAGAAGAAGGAATCAGTTGATCTTTCATGAGGTGAGTTGGGAAGAAAATGTGTCGTCGTTGCTCGTCGTCTTCTTGCTGGTTCTCGTTTTTGTAGCAACATGAGATTAGTGGGGCCCATAAGTTCTCTAACAATAATTTCATTTCATTTTTATTTGGCCGTATTTTTTAAATTTTTTATATATATCGCGGGAAATTCGGCGGCACAATAAAAACAATTAATCGCTTTCATTATTTGCTCATTTTTATAGTTGTGTTCATTTTTTATTTGTCTTGTTGAAGCACAAATGTATGGTTTGATTCTTTCAGACTTTGATTACAATTTTAATAAGTTTTTTGTATAACTTATTAAATTTAACGATAAAATAATTTATGATCAAATTTTTTTATGCTGAAACTCTACTTTTAATTATAAATAGAAACTGCTTATATAAATTACGTAAGGTGACGGTAAAAAAATCTCCACCTTTTCGTAGAAAAATAGTTAATCACAATGGGAAACAAACACACACAGAATTGAGAATACTACTTGATAATTTTGGGGAAAAAGAAAAAAATTTGGGAAAACAAGAGATGGAAAAACAAATAAATAAAAGAAAATGATGGAAGAAACGAAACAGAGCAAGCGATAAGTTTGCATGGAGGGGTTCACGTGGGCCCATTTCCAGCTGTATTGAGTTGTTTGTGGGTGGTGTTATTACGGTAATTTGGGCTAACTATTGGGCCACTAATTATACTTGCCATATTAAAATAAAATAAAATAAAATAACCCGTCACCGTAACGCCGTCAGGATCGTCGGCGGGAGAGAAGGAGGAGCGAGGTGGCACTCGCTGTCTAGTTTTGTCGTCTTCCGTCCGATTTGTTCGGCGCTTTAGATCCTTCTGTTTGTTGACGGCGCTTTTGAGACTGGTAGTTGGTGGCTATTGACTGACATTTATAAAACTGTTTCGTTTTCTTGTTTAAATAATCTCTTGTTTTATTTCTTTCTATCAATATCAATGTTTTGACGGCAATTTTAAAAAAATATTTATATAGTTTGTTCAGTCCGTTAATTATTGATGTATATAACCTCTATATGCTATATTATAAAACAACCATTTCAAACAAGTTATATATACGCAAAGGAGCCCACGTCCTGCATGAAGATTATGTTATAGAGACCGACCTTAAAAAAAGTGATGGCTTACTGTCGAAGCAAAACAGAAAATTTGATTGAAAATTAAAATATAATAGAAATAAGAAAGTGACACATGAAGACACATATGCATCGAGTGTACACTCATCATCGTTTTCAAGTTTATACGCATTTTTATCTTATTGCCAACTGTAGCTTGATTTGTGTGTGTTTATTTTCTTAATTTATTCAAGACTTTCGTCATGCAATATCTAAATAATTAACTGTTGTTCGAGTGTATAAAAGTACTGTTGCCACAACAAATATAACTTTCACTTTGTCATTTTGAAGTTTCTAAAAAAATATGTCTGTAATATTCTCCAGGTATTTTGGTATATCGACCATTTTATCATTTTTTGTCATTTTAATGAAAGATCGATTTGTGGATTTTTTTAAAAAAAAAATTAAAGAAAATTAAAACAAATATGTAACAATTTATTTAGAAAACAAATATAACTGAAAACAAATATTGATGAAATTAGGTGTCGATTTTTTTCAAAAAATATCTGGAAAGTTGCTATGATACATCCACTTCAAGTCGAAAGCAACTCATTATAAGAAAGAAATTATTATATTGTTGAAAACTTAATTCATTTCATATTACAAATATATTAATTACCATAATAATTCCAACTATATAGCATGCAAAACACATTCATATCATATCATTGATTGTTTATATAATACCTCATTGGAAGCCCCAAAAGAAAATGTTAAACTAATATAATTATGTGGCACCTGTGTTAAAAACAGCAAGTTTACAAATCACAATATTTTTTAAAAAATTGAAATCATATATATACATAGTTGACTTTTATTTTTCTAATAGAAACCTTTTTCACTTTCTTTTTGTTTAAGGATCAAAGAACTTGTATATGAAGCTTCTTTTAGTGACTTACAATGAATTGATTAGCGTTAAGCCAAAATAAAAGAAAAAATGATTAGCAGAGAAAGAAAGTCGTTATTCATTAACAAAATAGAATTCGTTATATGATATCTCAAAACAAAACAAATTATATTCGGGTTTTTTCTATCCTTAACGTAACAGTATGTTGGTCATGGTCGCACTGAACTTCTATTATGTATGACTAAATGTAATATAGATAAGCACTATATATTGACAAATTGCGATAATCATTTGGCGAGTTTATGATTAGTCTAGGAATCAACTAATGGTACTTCAGTAGTTACATTGATTAATGTCAGAAATTTATAGGTATCAGATATCTGATAATTAAAAAAACTATATACATAATTTTAAAAAACTTGTAAATGTTTTCAAGTACTTCAAAATCTTCTGTTGATCCTTCACCATAAACACATGTATGAAGAACATTTTTGAATCATCATCAATCACGTCAGAAACAATGCATTAACATTTTTTTTTGTTACGTGGCTATGAGAAAATACAAAAAGACTGATTTAAGTGGATTATTACGAAAAGTTATCTAGCCTAATTGATTTTTAGGAATGGTCACGACTCGCTCACTAGTTCTTTGCTATTTTGCCATCTTTGGAAACAAAACTTGTTGCCGTCCAAAACAAATATTTAATTTTGATTGATTATCTTCGGCTTTAACTTGGCTACATGTGTTAGCATGATAAAAAGGTACAAAAACATCTCTATCACGTGCTAGGATATGGCTCTCGATTTTTAAACGTCAGCAAGGGCATATCAAGATTCTGTTCTATTTTGCATTTGGCAATATTAATATAAACAAGACCAAGTTGCTAATTTTTTGGGAAATTATTACTATTATTTTCTCGGAAGAAAATTCAATGCATTTATGTCAGTAGTAACACTACTCCCATAAATGAAAACAATCAATTTAACCGCTATGCCCTAGCTAAGCTACTAGCAGTAGGCAGTAGCCCATGTTGATCCAACTTAAAACTGACCCCATTTCGATATGGGATTTTGGTCGGATTCATTCGACCCACGGATTCCAGTTTTGGTTTTGAAAAACCATGTTCGGTCATTTGCATCCGAGTTTCTTGACTAGGCAAAAACAATTGATGAACATATGTAAATTTCTGGATTTAGAACTATGCATTGCTAAGAAAACCCGGTGTTTGAAGACAAAATTGAGATACTAAACTGTCGTTTCGAGTATTAATTATGAAACAGATTTTCCTACAACAAAGCTAAGGAAAATTTCTACTATATATGTGTGTGTAATAAACTACAAATTTAGATTACAAATTTGTGAACTCCGATCCAAATCCAGTCCAATATAAAAGCCAAACTGAAGTTTTATTAAAGTTGCTAAATAGCCAATAATTTAGGTTTTTGTTTGAAACCGACGGTAAATCAGAAAAAAAAAACTAAAGACTATATAGTATGGGAACAGATGCCCGTGATGAGAAGGTCGGAGTCATTAGTTAATTACCCAATTTTCTGCATTTTAAGAATCTAACGAGTTGCACATATATGAAAATCATCACGTTTATATGCTAAACATTAGACCAAAATACAATATAAACACACTTAGTGGCCCTTAAAGTATTTCCACACAAAAATGCCGTAGGCTAAAGTTTTCTTTTTAATAACCAAGGCACGGGCCTGATTAATACATACGCATATTTAAGTAGAAAAAATCGACATATACGAAAACAGAGAATTCCGACAATAAACATGCGAATTACTGAAACATGGATAGGTCCACCATTACTCTGTCTTTTTTTATTTGCAATTTAACAAGCTCTGTCTTTTTTTCTTCTCTTTTTTTTGGTATTTTTTTCATGTTCATAAATTGATTTTTTTACTTACTTCGCTTTTTTTTTAAAGATGCATCTCTTTCTTAACACTTTTTTCACTTTATCAATTTTTTTTCGTTTGGTTGCAAAAATGTCGTTTTCCTTGCTCCCCCTTTTTACGGGATTTAACTTATCACAATGTAATGGAATTGCATGTTCCTCTCTCGCCATTGGCAAGTCATTGTAAAAGTCTCCATCAATACGTCAAACGATCCAAAAGGACCAAGACCCCTTTTTCTTTTCCACATTTATACATTTTAAGCTATTCGTTTTCGCAACGATAGCGTATAATAAATTTACCTGCGTAGAGAGTTTGATTAGTATTTCTGCGACGGACGCAAATATGTGCCGACTGTTGTTGTTAAAGAATGCTTTGAAAGCTCTTAGAGGATTAACGCGTGATTGGAGAAATATAATCATTAAACACTTTAGAACAAAGTAAAGTTGTTGGGGACTCCGATCGATAATCTGAAAAACTTATAGAACAAAATAATATAGAGAAAATGGATCACATAGATATTATTTCTAACTTATTAAGGGGTATTGTTCAAAAAAGGAAAAAACTTATGAAGGGGTATTTAACGATCTAAAAGTTATATATTGGTGATGATTAATAAAACCTACTTAAAACGTCTCAAACGACCAATAAAAGTAACTAAGGACATTACAACGAACTAGTATTTAATAGTTATAGACGGTCACGAAATTAAATCTTATAACGTATCTAACAACTCACATGATCTACCATGTCACATTTTGTATGAAACATATTTTACACATAAGTCAAACTTATTTTTTTGCAGATAGTCCAAAAAAACATAGTGGCACATCAATTTTTAGCATAGAAAATGTCTCTCTGTCTTATTTTAATCTCTGTTTGTTTAGTATGCGTGTATGAATATAAACCATTTGTATATTTAAAACTTAGTTTTTGCCAAGAAACTATCATATCAAAGAATTGTCCAATTGGATGCATATTTAAGGGTAAGCATCAACTACATTTCGGTTAATACGTTATGTTAGACTTTTATTGATGACATAAATAATAGTGATATGGTTAACGATACAAATTAAGACAGTAGTGCATTCCAAAAAAATTTGGACTATTTAATTTTGCCATTATTTTAATAATGTTTTCAGATACAATTTGAGTGAATAGTTTCATTTTCATAGAAGGAGGTCGAACAATATAGGAGCATCAACGAATGGAATGACGCAAGCATGAGTCAGCAGACAAGAAGTGATACCGAATCGGGTCAAGATTATCTGGTTGGGACCCGTCACATGCACATGGACCCTCCCTACCTAATCCAGGTTAATAATCGCGATTAGTTAACCTTAAAAAAAATTGGAACACATTATTGATAAATAAATAATTAATCTCGGATCAGTGGTTCCGACCATATTCAAGAAGATCATGCTCACGACACAATGCTTATGTTTATCCGATTTTGATCGTCCTTGAGATTAGATTCCCTCTGCATTATCTTTTCTTGTTTCTTGTTAATTGGTTAGGGTTCCCATTCTTACATTATTCGTTTGGTAAATAAACCGAAAATTTATAGATGGTTTAGAAACTTGTAAAACGGGGAAAACATGAATAAAATAATAAAATGCCAAAAAAAAATTTCGATACAAATTGATTAATCATCCACAACATTACATTAAAATTATCCACAACATAACAAAATTAAATGCATTCATAGAAACTTTCCGTAATTGAATATATAGGTACTATCTAGTAATTTATATTTTTATATTAACTAACTAATTTTCTTTCCTCAACGTCGATTAATGGGGTCCAAGGAAAGCCTACTCGGCCCAATTCAATAACGAAAATTAGAGAGAAGCTCATTTGCTAAAAGATCAAAACTCCAAAAATTACGCAAATTGGACGAGAATTTTGTAACTATCTCAATAACGGAAAACTCTTTGAAAAAAAAAGATCTGAATTGATAGAAATACAAGAATTTTTGTTATGAAAGTATATTTTTTGTTGTTGTCAGCTTATAAAAATGTTTGAAAAAATAAAACTGATAGAAATAAATGCAATTAGTTCATGTACATTTTACAAACGACGAAAAGCGATATAGCTAATTAGACGATTTCTGAAATAGGTAAGAACAATTAGGAATGGTAGATAGAATCCTCGTTATTTATTGATTACATTCGTCGTGAGATCACAAAGCCAATCAAAACATGCCAGATCATCAGTTTTGTAAGGAAACAAACACGTGGCTAGAAATCATTGGATAGGTTACGCAGTTGCCTAACAAGTGATTCTGCACATGATTAGAGAACCTGGAACGTTCTAGCTTCTTCGTTCGGTGCTCTGTAGCAATCAACAATCTTCTTCTCTGCTTCTGAATCTATCGGATCTCGAAATCTCACTCGAAACCGACGAATATGTCTTCTCCCGGCGAGTGAGTACTCCGTTTCTCTCTCTCTATATCTACCTTCGTTTGTTTGGTTTTACTTCGCTTCGATTCGATTTTGATCGACGGAATTTGATTGATTAGAGGTGTTCGTGCCCGGAATTTCGGATACTTATGTTAAGAAACTTCATGATTCTACCATTTTCCTTTTGATTTCGTTTAGATTGTTTAGGTTTTGAAGCATTTCAACTGTTGTTTCTTCTGAATTCGAGCGTATTTTTGCAACACCGAGCGAGTCTACCACTTGGGTGAAAGCTTGTTTAGTATCTAATGATCAAGTTTCATAGCCATCATTTGATATTTTGGTGATTTGGGATGTGAGAAACATCAAATATGCCATGGATTAGTACAAGGAAGCTGGTAGTTCTTGAATATGGAATCCTGTTTTTGTTTGCTGTATGTGATCTTTGTGCTTACAAATACTGATAATGGTAGCAACAATTTACTACTGAGAGGATCCCTAGCTGTTGAAGATGTAGTGTCAGGAATGAAAAGAACAAGACTTTCTGAGCTAAATCTGCTCTAGTGACAAATTTAGCGTTGAATAGTTTCTTATAGCGCCTAACTTTTCATAGAGTCAAATATTGTTTCTTCCTCTTGTGCCAAAGCTATATGCTTTTAGCTGATCTTGATGACATGTCCTGATTACAAGTTTATTGATGGATGGAATATGTATGCCGCCTCAGACTTCTTAGTATCCGCCAAATTGTTTCTGATAGTACCTGATGTTTGGTGTTATTGATTGCAGATATTATAACTCACTTCCACCAATAACCAAGGCTTATGGTACTTTGTGCCTCCTGGCCACAACAGCCTCGCAACTCGGCCTAGTTACTCCTTTTCACATTGCTTTGATTCCAGGACTTGTGATTAAGCAGTTCCAGGTAAAAGGAAGTTTTTCTTCTAAAGTTTTCCTTTTTCTTCAGCAAGTTTGCGTCATTCTCTTACTCCGTCTTGCAATTTGATCTGTTTGATGTCTGCAGGTCTGGAGGCTGATAACAAACTTATTTTTCCTTGGCGGTTTCTCTATCAATTTCGGGATACGTCTTTTGATGATGTGAGTATTATCATTCATATATATATATATTTGTATGAAGAAAGAAATCTTTTGTTTTATTATAACGTCCTCTCTAAAATGATTACACAGAGCAAGATATGGTGTTCAACTTGAGAAAGGGCCATTTGAAAGGCGGACAGCAGACTTTTTGTGGATGATGATCTTTGGGTCCCTGACTCTATTGGTATGTAAACTTATTCTAACCGATCATTGTTGCTGGTTCTTTGAGTATATAGTATACCCCACAAAGTAGGCAACAGCCGCTGCTGCATAAGTCTAAGAGATCCCAAATCAGAGATGTCATTCATATTCTTGTGAATCCGTGTGTTAAAACCTGAAACTGTCAAAATTTCAGGTTTTATCGGTGATACCATTTTTCTGGACGCCGTTCCTTGGAGTGTCGCTTGTGTTCATGCTTCTGTATCTCTGGAGCCGAGAGTTTCCAAATGCCAACATCAGCCTATACGGTCTAGTCACTCTTAAGGTATTGATTAAAAGTGTTTTCTTTTGTAAGACATTCATGAGCACACACACTCTTTAGTGTATATTCAAGAAACCTGGAATGACTCCACAGGCTTTCTACCTCCCGTGGGCAATGCTAGCACTCGATGTTATCTTCGGCTCTCCGATCATGCCTGATCTTCTTGGCATCATTGCTGGACATCTCTACTACTTCCTAACAGTCCTCCACCCTCTCGCCACCGGGAAAAACTACTTGAAAACCCCGAAATGGGTGTATCCTTTTGATTCCAGTTAGAGTTCCAAATAAATTTCTTCTCTTTCTTTCGGCTTTTTTTTTGGTTTTGTTGTGATCCCTTGACATTCTCAATAGAAATAAAGTGGTAGCGAGATGGCGAATCGGAGCTCCGGTAGCAGCGGTTAGACAAGCAGGTGGTGTAGGAGCAGGAGGAGGAGTAGGAGGAGGAGGAGCTTATTCAAGCGCTCGTGCCCCACCTGAGAGCTCGAACACAGCATTCAGAGGTCGATCGTATCGTCTCACCGACTGAAATATCAAATCAATCCTCTCGGGGTTTCTTCGTTTCTCAATCGGTATCATCACAAGTGTTTTCGATACAATGCCACTAACAACTAGAAGGGTAGCTTTGTGTTTTTGAGCAAGTACAGTTTCCGAACATATGACTTTTGTAGGGGAAGAAAAAGTCTTTTGATTGTTGTATTCAAGTGCTTAGTGCCTTCTTAAATCATCTCCACGAGAAAAATGGCAGTCACACAACTTTTTAACAAAAAAAAGAAACACATGAGCCCATTATTCTAAAACACGTGAGCCCATTTATCTCTTAAGCTTTTCTTGTGTCACTCTTACTATATGAATCATGTAACTAAAGGAATTTCAGTGAATAATTCGCGTGACGCAAGGAGTATGGTCGGAACAAGATATGATTTTTTTTTTGGTTGATAAGAAAATAAAATATTGCAATTGATTAAGAGTAACGTGGAAAAATTCCGTTGGTGATCGTTATAAATAGGGGGAATCAGGAAAAAGAAGAAAGTAGACGTGGTAATTAGGGGAATAATAAATGATGAAAGGCTATAACAAAGGCGAGACGTGAGCAAACACACTAATTGAAATCGATTCCGTTTGATAATTTATAAAAATAAAAAATTGAGAGGTACGGCTGAGAATTCGTCTATGTGATCCAACGGCTGGAATTCATTCTGTAGTCTCTTCTTTTTCGCTGCACTATTTATCTGAAAGTACGAAAGCCCCCACGCTGCATACATAAACATAACGCAGAGAGAAAACGAAGGAGAGAAGAAGAAGAAGAAGACAGGAGAAGATGTCGTGGCAAACTTACGTTGATGAGCATTTGATGTGTGATGTCGGAGATGGTCAGGGTCATCACTTAACCGCCGCCGCAATCGTCGGTCATGACGGTAGCGTTTGGGCTCAGAGCGCCAACTTCCCTCAGGTAATCGTTTTTTTTCAATCTCATTGTGTATTGAGGTTTAACATGATCATTGATCCTGTTCTGGTTATTCATCAATCTCTTATCTTGTTTGTAATCTTTTTTTATATAATCTCATTCCTATTGCGGTTTACATCAATGATCTTGTTCTAGTTAACATTCATCAATCTCTTATCTTGTTTGTAAGCTGATTTCTTGTGTATTGGTTTTCTTATTTTAGTTTTATTTTTTGTTGTCGATCTATCTGAGGATTTCCTTTACGTTATTAGATCTAATTGCACCTGTTGAAGTTTTCTTTGGTAATAAAGAATGAATGAATCAGTGGGCCTTCTGATATGAAATTTCACGAGAACGTAATTTGAATGAAAGAGATTTTTTCGTTTTGATACCAACCCAATCATGTTTAGTTGTCATTGTAACTTAGACTTATATGTATCCTCCAGTTTCGTAATTGTCTAAAGCCAACTTTTATTTACATGTTTTAAACAAATGATGAATGTTCACTCCCATCGTAATATTTCTTATTCTCTTGATGATATATCTTTGTTGATAGTTCAAGACACAAGAGTTCAATGACATAATGAAAGATTTCGACGAACCGGGTCACTTAGCACCCACAGGGTTGTTTCTAGCAGGAGCCAAGTACATGGTTATCCAAGGCGAACCCAATGCTGTAATCCGTGGGAAGAAGGTAATGTAAACCTATGGAGTTAACTTTATGATTGGGGTTACTTATGTGTTGTGTACGCATGCATGATCAAATAACATTATAAATTTGTTGGTTTGATTCCATATAGGGAGCAGGAGGCATAACCATAAAGAAGACAGGTCAGTCATGTGTGTTTGGGATCTACGAAGAGCCAGTGACACCAGGACAGTGCAACATGGTCGTCGAGAGGTTGGGTGATTACCTCTTGGAACAAGGTCTCTAGGTCCTTACATCCTCAAATGTTCTAGAATGTTCCACCTTCTACATTTTTGTCTTAATAAACTTATCTATAGTATTTGGTTTCTGAATTCTCTCCCTATAGCAAAAAATTAATGTTTATTTAATTTGCCTCTTTTGGTTACTTTCACTTGTTTTTATTTTGACAAATTTCATATTCTACATATGTATCTTCGAGAATCACCAAGTTAAGGGAGATTTTTGTGAATAATAATAACACAAAAAAAAACTAATCACAACATGTATCTATGGACGTACGGGATTTGCACTAAGCATTGTTCGCTTTGAATTTGTAGACGCATTAGTATGGGTCCAACGGACAATAACTCATCATATATTATTTTGCACTAAGCATTGTTCGCTTTGAATTTGTTGATAGTAGAGCATGAATGGTTGATATTTGTATATGTTGTTGTTGTTGCATAAAACACTAATAAGCGCTAGTTTGATTCTTATGTTAGTCCACACTTTAATCCTTATCGAAGACCCTCCTGTTCAAACTTCATTGATTATATATGATAATGTTCCTAACATTAGATTAGTGAGATAGTTATAAGATCTTCAAAATTCTCAGATTTCGTATAATCTATATGACAATATGAAAGTTATGCCTTTGAAACTTACAAACTCCACTTCTGTACTGCGTATAGGTTTTGTGGAGCCACGCATAAGCTTCTTCTGATTTGTCTCATGTGTTTTTGTGATTGGCCCGAGATGGTTTCATATTTTCTTTTTCTTTTTGTAAACCGTGTTTAATTAATTTGCCTCTTTTTTTTATAAGTAAAAGAAGATTTGGTGAAAAAAATAATAAAAAAATTGACAAACTAATCAATGTCTTAGAAAAATAAAAAAAGATAGAGAAAACAATTGTTTAGTTTCTAAATTAGAGGGTTTTTATTTTATCATTCACCAAATAATCTCTTAGCTAGGTATTTTTGATGACCATATGATAATGATTGTTGAAAATTGATATTATTATATACATGTACATTTTATTTTATATAATATTTTTCATAAATGAAAAAGCAATAAAAGCATTTCAAACATTATTATTATTATTAGAAATTCAGTTTATATCCTTTTTTTTCTTGTCTTATGAAACATTCAAAAAGTTATCAATACCATTTACATTTTGGTGGTTCTTCTTTCAAATAACATGAAACAATCACCAACATAATATATCAGTAATATCTGCAATGCCCAAAATTCTCGTGATAAAGATTTCGGGTCTCGGCTTGACAACCCTTCATCAATACATGTATGCATCTCTTGAACTCCACCACCAACATACATGCTTAAGTTTTCGTAGTCTTTGGCTGCCAAAGCATTGAGAGATTTATTTTTATCAAAAAGAATAGATTCATATCGTCCTATACAAAAAATATTGTAGCCAAATCCTTCGCGCTGCCTTTGAACGATTTCATTTGCTTTATTGCATTTGAAACATTTTGAGATTGATAAGTAATCAAAAATTTGGTGAGATCAGAAAAAATCCAATATTGCAACAATGTCAGCGATTAGTTTTATAATCCCAAAACAAAGTGAAGAATTGACACTCTTTTTTTTTTTGCATATATCCTTGATGAAAACAACAAAAAGAAGGAAAATCACTATAGAAGCTAATGAAAAGTTTTGTTTGACGTATGCAGCCATTTTTTAAAAAATTCTAAATGATTGAGAGTTGATATAAGATTTATATAGGTTCCAACATATTTTGAAAATTCTAAATGATTGGGAGTTGATATAAGATTTATATAGGTTCCAACATATTTTGAAAATTCTAAATGATTGAGAGTTGATATAAGATTTATATAGGTTCCAACATATTTTGAAAATTCTAAGTGATTGAGAGTTGATATAAGATTTAATATAGGCTCCAACATATTTTGAAAATTAAATATATTTTACCAACCGCATAAACTAATGCTAATAACCATTGAATATATTGTTGCTATTCAAATCTTTAGATTAAGGTAAATAAATTGTATAACTGTATATCTCATGAATTTAAAAAAGATTTTTTTTTAAAAAAAACATTAGAATGATAGACAAATAAAATTCAGTTATTTTTCTCATTTTGAATATAAATAATACAAATATTAAATTTACCCCAAAATTTGAGTACGGAAATGATTAAGAATTATTTAATAAAGTTATTTCAAAGCATTTGAGAATCAATTTATTATTAGAAATTCAGTTTATATCCTATATTTCTTCTTTTAAGAAACATTCGAGAATTTATATATTTGGTTTACAACTTGTTTTTCCTTCAAGCAAATAACATGCAAGAACCGCCATCGTAATATCAGAAATATCTTTGATGAACATACTTCTCGTGATAAAGACTTCGGGGATCGGCTTCATTCTTGACAATTCATCAGTACATGTATACATCTCTGTTACCGTACCACCAACATGCATGCTTAAGTTATCGAAGTCTTTGGCTGCCAAAGCTTGGAGAGATTTATTTTCTTCAGAAAGAACAGCTTCATAACGTTCTACACAAAATTTAATTGTAGCCAAATCCTTCGCGCTGCCTTTGAATGAGTTCATTTGCTTGATTGCATCCGAAACATTTTGAGCCTGATAATTAATCAAAAATTTGACAAGACCAGAAAAATTCAATGTTACAATGTTAGGGATTGGTTTGATAATCCCAAAACAAAGTGAAGCGTTTACAGCTTTTTGTGTGCATATATGCTCGATCTCACCTTTTGAAACCATTACACTAAATTTTGCATACGATGAAACAACAAAAAGAAGTAAAATCACTATAAGAGCTAATGAAAAGTTTTGTTTGACATATGCAGCCATATTTTTTTTTTTTTAATTCTGAATGATAAAGAGCTGCTATTGAGATTCAAACGTATTTTGGAAGTTATATATATATTGTCAACCAATATTTTCCCCATAAATGCTAATATATTGTATACCTTAATCGAATGCTTTGAGTTCATATATAGCAACAGTATATTGAATGGTCAAAGCATTTATTTTTTGTTTCCATTTTTGGTAGCTTAATTAATTGTATAATTGTATATCTCATTAATGTGAAAAGATTTTTTTTTTTAAACATTAGAATGAAAGGCAAACAAAAATCAGTTTAGATAATATATTATTTTCATTTTGAATATAAATAATACAATTATTTAATTTTACTACGAAAATGATTTAGTTTTATTTAATAACATTATTTCAAAGCATTTGAGATTCTACTTTTTATAGCGGACATAGATAATTTCAAAAAACTCTAGAATTTATTTATATAAAAAATACAACAGAAAGACAGATTTGGGTCAACTGGTCAAGTATTGTGCCTCGAAAGGACCAAGAAGATGGTGAGTTCTTGATGAAGTTGTTACTGTTGAGTGTCCATCTCGTTCTTATGCCGGTGGAGAAGATCCCGTGAAACAATGAGCTACTTTGAAACTGTTGAGTTTGATTCTTATGGATTTTATGGCGTATGACAACAACAGCAACATCTGGGGTGATCGTCTTTTTACTTTTTTGAACTTTTCCTGAAATAGCAGTTACTGAATTTCAGTTGAAATCAGCAATTTAAGATCAATGGAGTCTTTTTTAGCTCGTTGCTTCACATTACACAGCCACAGCTTCTGGCTCCTTGCTGGTCATGATTCCTTTTATAGCTGCAGTTTTGTTTCTGAAACAAAGAACCAGAACAAACATTAGATTATTGTCCCATAAACTGAGCAAGTATATATAACTTTCAAAGTCTATAGCGTAGTCTTTAGCTCCAAATACAGCTGATCCAGCTACTAGAGCATTTGGTCCAACCTCAAATTGATAAAATGCATTATGCACAATGTCTCTTATTCTCACTCACGTACAAAATGCTCTCACAATACGAAGACAATATCTTCCTACGCACTCAGGTATTGTCAATATCTACAGACACATTGCAGACAAAACCCAAAAATTGCAGATAAGAGATCACAGAGTTGTTATACAAAACCCTCACGAACATACCAAAGTGTAAACATCAAATTGTCCATACAAACAAAAGGCTAAGACAGTCAAAAGATCACGTCCATACAAGAGAATGATTCATCTGAGATCAAATAAGAACACTTAACCTGATCAATTGGAGAGATCCAAGACATACTTCACTCTTTGCCCAAATACAAAAAGTCTTGAAAACATAAGCTAAGCAAGAAGCAGAAAACATAGCTCCATTTCTGATGAAAATCAAATAGAGAATGCTCAAGAACAACACGTTTATCTCAACTACTGCAGATTGAAAACAAAACTAGGAATTACAAAACACCCGAGACATGGTTAGTGAAGCAGACGCAAAGTCCAAGAAACCCACATAGAAGTTATCCAAACCCGATAGCGTGGAAATGATAGACCCGGAATCAAGAACATGCTTATTCACAGACGAGACGGGTCAAATCCGGAGACATGGATCCAAAACATCATCAACAAAGACATGTCATTCTCAAACGATCCTATAAACCCACGTGAAGGGATAAGACGAGAACAGGACGAGTTTGTAAATCACCATTGGAATAGAAGAGAAGCAAAAAGCAGCAACATAAAAGTTGAAATCTTTACGCACACAAAACACGAATTCTACAAAGACGGGTACTTCACATACGTTTTCTATCCTTTACAGAAATTGCAGAGCTAACACAATATCTTAAGTTCATCATCTCCCTTCACGGAAATCTTCAACCAATTGTCAATTAAAATCCAGGCTTGCTGAAGTGGTACCCATTGGAAGAGCTTACAGAACCAAGGGAACCAGAAATGTGAGAGGAGGAAGATGAAGTTTGGTGAGAGAAAGTGAATTTCTGATTAATTCCAAAATTTCCTCCATGTACAAAGACAACAAACTTCCGATTGATCAACGACTTGGGAAAATTCACTTTCCCTCAACAAATTTCATCTTCTTTAATGTCGCATGGGACTCGAAGCTAAGTTCGAGGGGGCTTCGTTCGAGTCGATCGGCGAAAAATCTTCTTCATAGACACCATCAGGAGAAGATATTAATCAGATATCAGAGAAGATCGAGCTTAGAAATGGCGGAATCAAAGAAAACTAGAGCTTGATGGCTCCGTACCAACCCGAAATCAGAGATATGTGAGAGAAGGAAGATGAAGTTTCTTTCTTCAAAAAAAAATGATCAAGTCAAACCAGCTAAACCCAGCTAAAGAAAACCGGTCTAACTAGACCAAGATTCTAATTACGGTTTAGGATGTACAGACCCGTCCCGCTACGGACCTATTTGGGCCTAGTCTGCGGACAGCGGTTCGAACTGATGGTTCGTGTGATAAAAACTCGATGCATCCATATCTAAGTTTTAAATGGCGTTTAAGCTAACGGATATTTTGATTCATAGACAACATCTTACAAACATTATTTTAGGCCACATCAAGTAACTACATCACATAACCATTAACCATAGTGTAATTATAGACCACCCTCATAGGGCACTCCCGTGGAGCGAATCCAGTCATCCCCCTGAATAAATTTTCTGACAGTGAACCATTCAGCCTCCTCGGGGTCTTGAATAACTCCGAATCCTTTCCAATTCACTCTTCTCCGAGTGTCCGCCCCAGGACCGGTATTGATGTACTCCCTGTAGTCTACCGTGGACGATCGTCCAAGGTCTTTGACACTCCATGGAGTGTACCCCTCGGGGGTTATCAAATCGCCCATAGAAGACTTCATAAACACGACTGTTGCGTACGCACCCCAGGGGCGCCCTAAGTACGTTTTAACAACTTTTCTCACCGGTTCAAGATCAACGCTTGCAGTTAGAATGCATTTGTGGAATATAAATCCCGTCCTCTCGTCTGTGCTGTTTGCTGACTGCGCCGTTATAACGTTGCTCTCTGATGCCATTGGCTTGCGAGCCACGATGCGGCAGGACTGGAAAACCGCCTTTGCATCTCCGCAGATAAAGTCTATGGTCCCGCTGATGTAAGTGTCTTTGTAAAACTGTCTGTTCTTGTACGCGTACAGAGAGTCTTGGAACGCTTCTATGCGACACCTGTATAAGATGGCTCTGTCTGCGCTAACCCTTAGGGCAACTGCTTGGCCCTTAGATGCCCCCGCCGTGTTCCTGATCCATAGATCTTGACCTATGAACCCATCGCCGTCAACACCTAATTAAATATCATAGGAGTCTTAATAACTTCCAACACTTGAAAGACAATATTAACATTTCTGTAAGATAAAAAAAAAAGGATTTTAATTACCTAAGGTTGCCGAGTTGTAGGTGCTGTATCCATATTTATTGTTCAGGCTGGCGCTGAGAATCGTCAACTCGCTACCGTCTCCGACGAGTGTTATGTTCACCTTCCCTTCCCCAATCCTGACAACTTCATCATAGATACCCTGTTTTACATAGATGACATACCGATTCATGCCATGCTCCGGCGCAGCAGCAATGGCTTCTTGCACGGTCTTGAATCTCCCTGTACCGTCTTTAGCAACGGTAGCATCCGGTTTTTCCTTTAAACTCTGCAAGAAATACGGAAGAAGAATCAATGAGGAATCAATTTACAAGACAACTAAATATTGTTTTGGGCTGTTGGGCTCATATTAAGCTGATAATTTCTTTTAACTTGGGCCAACACAGGCCTATACATTGATTTTGAGACTCATTTTTATTGAATAATTATTTGGTTTTTAAACTTTAAATAAAAGAACAAAATAATTTATTAAAACTTTGGATTTATGAACCAACAAAATTATATTACCTGTGAATTTGTGTCTAGAAACATCTCCTTATTGCATTTGCATATGACCAAAAAAGATGAAAAAAATATGAAAAATATGAAAACATTTTTTTCTTGGTGAAAGTGCATTATTAGAGAGAAAACTCAAAAGGAAGAAATGGAAGAGTGAATGTCTTTACTCTTAGAGATCCTTTTATAAATTGAACGATAAAATGTAAAAATAAGTTTTGAAGGAAACGAGTCTGTCTTAAAATTTATGAGGATTTACCTTTGATTTGTTTTTTTTACATTTATAAACTTTGCAACTTGTAGTAGCTACTCTCTTTTTTATAATCTAGTATAGGCCTTGGAAATTTGATCAAAATTTAAACTTAATATTCATTTGTATAAATACATTAGCATATATGGAAGTTTATTTAAATACTTGAAGAATCAAATGTTTATCGAAACAATATAGTATATATATTTAAAATGATATTGGAACACTTATATTATATATGTTACATGCATGCACAAATAAGAAATACATACTCTTACAAACTTTCTGTGACTATTATAATGATTGAAGGATTGGCGACAAAAATATGAATACATGTGTATGCACATTTATAGATAATACAATTTAGAAAAATAAAATACATAAAAAAGAAATGTGTGTTTCATTCATATATATTTAGAAATACAAGTATAGTGTTTCATTCATATTTTATTTCTATAGTATTTTAGAAATAAATACAAGTAAAATACAAGTAAAAAAGAAATGTGTGTTTCATTCACATTTTCTTATAACCACACTCACATAAAACAGATTCAATTATTCAGTTCTCTTTCGGTTATGACGTCTCTGTCAAATATAATCATTATCAACAACTAATTGAGACAGAGCCATGGTCTAACACATTCCTAAGTTAGGGATCCTAAAATTTTTTCAGTTAGATATAGCTGATACTATTTAAATGGGAAGAAAACAATTTTAAGAAAGGATGGGTTGTGTTTCTCCACTCATCCTTTAAAACAATATTTTCAAAGATTGGGATAAAAAAATAAATTTACAAAGATTGGCGAAAAAATTACAAAACGATATTGATTTAGTTTGATGAATATTTCTCATTTAGGTTGTTGACAAAATAAATGATGATGGCCATACTTTAATTCTTTTTTCAACAGCAAAATAAATCGAACCGAGGTTTTTTTTAAAATGTAGCCTTTGAACGTTTTCACAGATTAATAAAATATCTCACCAGACATTTGATCAAATGAATTTTATCAGTCACAGTTTTATGAAATATGTCCTCGTTAATCAAATTACAATATGACATGCGTGTGCGAGATATTCTATGTTTTATTTCACTTTATGTGAAAAAACTTTATTCATACATAATCTATATAACACATTTTTTTAATTCTAACAAAATAAATATAAATATTAGTAAATTCATTTCTGATTAAAGAAAACTATAGTAGAAAATGATGGACACGAAGTACTGTATGATGGATTTAATTTACAAAGATTAGCGAAAAAACTACAAAACGAAATTGAATTCTTGAAGCCTCAAGAGATAGAAGGAATCATGAAAGACTTTGAGGAAGCCGGTTATCTTGCCCCAACCGGGCTATTCATTGGTGGCGCAAAGTACATGGTCGTTCAAGGCGAGGCAGAAGCAGTCATCCGAGGGAAAAAGGTTACATTTTTTGTTTTTTTTTTTCCGATAAGAACTGAACTCGAGAGAAGACAACTTTCATGGTTTTGGTTGAGTGAAAGAATCAAAGGATCGATTTTTTACCAAACACAAGTTTCATTTTTCATGATTGATGATTGCAGGGACCTGGTGGAGTCACTATCAAGAAGACCACTCAAGCTTTAGTCTTTGGCATCTACGATGAACCGATGACCGGAGGCCAGTGCAACTTGGTGGTAGAGAGACTCGGCGATTACCTTATCGAGTCTGATCTCTAAGTTGTTTCAAACCAGTTTCAGTTATAAGCTCTGCTTCTTTGCTACAGAAACACTCTTCTGTCCTGTATTTGTGATTTCGATTGTTGTTGTGCATCAAAACAAAGCTAAATGATTATACACTCTTAAAAGAAACTAACACACAATCATATTTGTGTTGGTTTTGAGTCCCTATTTCATCTTTTATGATGGCTTTCAAAATTTCTCTCTTCCTTGTACTGTATTTCTTAATGTATCTCTCTGGTTTTCGGTTTGAGTAATGAAATAATTCCGGTTTGGTATAAAATTTGAGTTTCTGAATGCTTCATTACTCGACGCCAAGGGCGGATCAATGGCAGTTATGTTTCCCGTTATATTACCCGCCATTGTTCTGTTCATTCTGCGGAATTACAACAACCAACATCAGCTCTTATTTCAACCGCATAATCACAGGACAGACATATACCGGAGAGAGAGAGAGAGCTCACCCATCAGTAGCCGGAGCAATCATGTACAGACAGTTAACATAGCCTGCAATTGCATAGACATTTTTGAGAACTCAAGTGGGACTACAATGGCTTTCACAGTTACTTCATAGATGGAAATATGTTATAAAATACGATTTTTTTTTTATTAATCGTATTCATGTGTGTTTGATCGTATCAAAAATTTATACAATAAAAGTGTGTTTGATTTTTAATAAGTTGATAATATATTAATATTTTTCTTCTTCTCTATTTTATTTAATATTATTATTTTATTGTTGTTCTTCATTTTTTTTAAAATTTTTATTAATGTTCTTCTTTTTTATTCTTTTTCATTTTCTTTTTATTTTTTTTCTATTTTTTAAAAGATTTTCTTATACTTTATTCTTTTTCATTTTTCTTCCCTTTTTATTTTTAATAATTTTTTTCTATTTCTCTTTTCTATTTCTCTTTTCTATTATTTTATTTTATTTTTTTCTTTTTTCATTCTTTTTTCTATAATTTTTATTGTGCTTATTCGTTTTATTTTTTTTAATTTGAGTTTTCTATATCTTTTTCTGTTTTTTTTTCTCTTTTCTTCTCCTTTTTTTCTTTTCTAATCTTATTTTTTATTTTATTTGTTTTTAAATTTAGCAAAAAAAATGAAATGAAAATTTTTTATATTAAATAATTAATATTATATAAATAATTTTTGGTCTAACATATTTTAAGGTTTTTGGTAAAATAAAATTTAGATTCTGAAATATTACTTTTAATTTTGTTTTGACATTTTCTATATATTTTTATAAATTTAGAATTAAAAAAAATAGTTCTAAAATTTTAAACAAAAATGAGCCTTTTAATAAAAAGGAAAATAAAATATTAGACTCATAATGCGAAAAGTAACCAAAAATTAAGCTTTTAATAATTTAATAAGAATGATAAATTTAATAAATTATTATATAAATAATAAATTTAATATAGCTATATACTCTTTTTTCATAATCTAGTATAGGCCTTGGAAAATTTGATCAAAAATTATAACTTAATATTCATTTGTATAAATATATACATTAGCATAAATGAAAGTTTATTTAAATATTTGACGAATCAAATATTTATCGAAGCCATATAGTATCTATATTTAAAATGATATTGGAACACTTATATTATATATGTTGCATGCATGCACAAATAAGAAATACACACTCTTACAAACTTTCTGTGACTATTATAATGATTGAAGGATTGACGACAAAAATATGAATACATGTGTATGCACAATTTGGAAAAATAAAATACATAAAAAAGAAATGTGTATTTCATTCATATATATTTAGAAATACAAGTATAGTGACGTATGTGTATAGAGAGAAAAAAAAAAAGAATTCTCAGTACTTTACTAATTTTATTTGAGTGTGATAATAAGAAAATGTGAGGTATAAGTAAAACAGAATAAAAAAAATTTCGTATCGCTCATTAATTCTGTTTCACTGTTATACTTATATGTAATTCCACAGTACTTATATTGAAGCAAAATTCATGGATGTTCATACAAAAAGTTTAAACAGATTCAATTATTCAATCCTCTTTTAGATGCAGAATTCATTAATCAACTTTAATGGAAAAACAATTAAAAAAAAATGTTATTGTCGGAAAATCATTTCCATCCCATCTGTCTTTATTATGTTATAATATTATAACAGCTCATCGAGAAGTCGAATCTGATTTTCTTTCTTTTTACATAGGAATATATGTATATTATTGCCATATAAACGATTCAATTGATATTCAAAATCAATTTTCTTCTATCACAAATATCTCTTAAGAATATCAGTTGAAGGGATTATTAGCCTGTTTTGAGACAAATATATATATATATATATATTGACCATAAGAAAAGGAGAATATTAATTGTAAAGGATGGACAGAAATAATGGAATATTTTGTATATGGCATACAATACAATATAGCATATCCACCCTGTAAACAATGATGGCCATACTTTAATTCTTTCTTCAACAGCAAAATAAATCGAACCGAGATTTTTAAAAATGTAGTCTTTGAACGCTTAATAATATATCTCACCAGACATTTGATCAAATTAATTTTATCTGTCACAATTTTATGAAATATGTTCTCGTTAATCAAATAATAATATAACATGTACGTGCGAGATATTCTATGTTTTATCTCACTTTATGTGAAATACCTTTATTCACACATAATCTATATAAACATATTTTTAAATTCTAACAAAATAAAAATAAATATTAGTAAATTCAGTTCTGATTAAAGAAAATTATAATACAAAATGATGGACACGAAGTACTATATGATGGATTTAATTTACAAAAAAAGATATTGATTTAGTTTAATAAATATTTTTTTTTCATTTAGGTTATTGACAAAATAAAAGAATTCATTCGTAGTTGTATATCTATAATTAAATTCAGTACCTATTAATTTATTTATTTTATTCAGAGATTTTTTATTGGACGCCGGAATCGCGATATTAATTTAAGCACACGGTTTCGTTCAGAGTCCACGAACAAAGCTCGCAAGTAAACCGAGAGAAGAAAGAATCTCGCCGGAAAAACTAAGAAAAGAGAAGATGTCGTGGCAATCATACGTCGATGACCATCTCATGTGCGATGTGGAAGGCAACCACCTCACATCCGCCGCCATCCTCGGCCAAGACGGCAGTGTCTGGGCCCAAAGCGCCAATTTCCCTCAGGTTTTTTTTTTTTTTTTTTCCTTCTCCTCCTCTCTTCGCGATTTTCCGATCCTTCGTTTAATTTGAGGTAACCAGTCTGATTGTATAGTCCATCATTTAGTTTTTCTCCTTTTGATCGGATCTGAGGAAACTCGGATCTAATTTGACTCGTCTGCTTCAATCCAATAATCGATTCAGCTTGGATCAATTGTTTTTTTTTCTCTGAATAAATCGATCCATGTTCTCGTCTGATTCTTAGATTTTCACGGCTACACTAGTCAAATCGCGTTGATATGTGCTTTTTGCGATACAGAATCATATTTTCTGTTGATGTTTCTTCAGTTGATCAGAAGACAAACTTGCATCAAACTAAACTTGACTAGATTTGCATAAGAACCAGAAGTTATAGTCATTTGCATAATGATGAAATCGTTGCTCAATCGAATCGAAGCTTATTGCCTTTTTTTTTTGTTCTTGATCATGTTTTAGTTCAAGCCTCAAGAGATAGAAGGAATCATGAAAGACTTTGAGGAAGCCGGTTATCTTGCCCCAACCGGGCTATTCATTGGTGGCGCAAAGTACATGGTTGTTCAAGGCGAGGCAGGAGCAGTCATCCGAGGGAAAAAGGTTTCATTTTTTTTTGTTTTTCCGATTAGAACTGAACTCGAGAGAAGAGACAACTTTCATGGTTTTGGTTGAGTGGAAGAATTCAAAGGATCGATCTTTTTAGCAAACACAAGTTTCATTTTCATGATTGATTATTGCAGGGACCTGGTGGAGTCACTATCAAGAAGACCAATCAAGCTTTAGTCTTTGGCATCTACGATGAACCGATGACCGGAGGCCAATGCAACTTGGTGGTGGAGAGGCTCGGCGATTACCTTATCGAGTCTGATCTCTAAGTTGTTTCAAACCAGTTTCAGTTATAAGCTCTGCTTCTTTGCTACAGAAACACTCTTCTGTACTGTATTTGTGATTTCGATTGTTGTTGTGCATCAAAACAAAGCTAAATGATAATACCCTCTTAAAAGAAACTAAGACACAATCATATTTGTGTTGGTTTTGAGTCCCTATTTCATCTTTTATGATGGCTTTCAAAATTTCTCTCTTACTTGTACTGTATTTATCAATGTATCTCACTTGTTTTCGGTTTGAGTAATGAAATAATTCCGGTTTGGTATAACATTTCAGTTTCTGAAAGTTCAGGTTCTCTTCTTAGTTTGTGAATTGAAAATAATGTACATATGTACCACACGAATACTAGACTGCATCAACATCACCATTCATTCACCAAAGGCTCGTCTTTCCGGTTCAGAGGTGTAAGAAATTACCGGTACAATAATTCGGTTTAGTTCACTACTCAAAACTTCATAGACATGAGAAGTCAACAGTGCACGCATATGTACACTGTCACCAAAGACTCAAACTAACTACAAAGCACGGAAACAAAACAGAGACTGCAAGAGAAACCACCATTTGTCTGAATGCTTCATTACTCGACGAAGGCGACGCCAAGGGCGAATCAATGGCAGTTATGTTTCCCGTAATATTACCCGCCATTGTTCTGTTCATTCTGCGCAATTACAACAAACAACATCAGCTCTTATTTCAACCGCATAATCACAGGACAGACATATACCGGAGAGAGAGAGAGAGAGAGCTCACCCATCATTAGCCGGAGCAATCATGTACAGACAGTTACCATAGCCTGCAATTGCATAGACATTTTGAGAACTCAAGTGGGACTACAATGGCTATCACATTTACTCTATAGATGGAAAGTGTATGTATGCAACAAACACTTACTAGGGTCCCTGTCGACTTCAACGCTGACTCCTCCAAAGCTGCAATCTAAGCTGCTCCCTCCGCTCTGCTGGTAGTAAGTGTTGAACGCATACGACGCGTGTGAGAGAACAGTGTCTGGCTCAAAGCAAGGCTGGTCAGGCTGAACAGCGGAACAATCAACATTCCCGGGACCGCAAGCCCAGTCCAACGCGCTCTGCAGTTCCGTCACTGAGGCTTGTGAAGAAGCAATACACCATTTCCTGGCTCCTCCTCCTCCTCCTCCGATGATCACAGTCGAGTTACCGTTGTTGCCCGGACTTGAACTTGGGCTTGGACTTGTACCTGAGGTTGCATTTGATGGAGAGACCGGTGCAGTGCTTTCCCCGGTGAAGTCCAACGCGTAAACATCTGTTCCGTTCGCATAGAACATCCCCCAGTTTCTCTCGGATTCAATCCCGGGCTTCCGGTTCTCATTGAACAACGAGAATAAGTATACATCTATCTCCTCCCCAGGCTTAGCAGGAGTACCTAACCAAAAAGAAAACAAAATCAGTTTACAGTATGCTTCCCCATCTTAAAGATCACAACTTTGAAGTCATAAATAGGTTACCTGGATCGCCAATAACATGGCGGATGAGGTTGGTATTGTAAGCCAGAGCGTTATCAGGAGTTGCGGCCGTCTCTTTAGGCGAGCCTTTGCTCGGCCACCCTGACTCAGTCACCATAACCTTAATGGTCTTGAAGCTCATAGCCGTCAAGGCGAAGTAGATAGCGTCAAGCTGAGCATCAAACATGTTGGAGTAAAGCAATCCCGTGGCAGGGTCAACAACCTGTGAAGACGACTCGAACAGAGCGTACTCCAACGGAACTTTCTCACCGGAGTCTCTGTAAGCGTAATACGGATACAAGTCGATCATAAAGGGAGACTCGTTCTCAACCAAGAACTCGAGCATCGGTTTCAAGAAAGCCGAGTGCTTTTTGCTGAAAGAAGCAGACGAAGGCGGGAAGGAGCGTGACAAGATGGCGAGGGAGTGTGAGCTCGAGATCTTGATCTTTTTGTCCAAGCCGGATTTCTTGAGAGCGGTATGAATGTTTCGCATCGCGGGCAAGACTAGACCGGTGGCGTTGTCCGGTGCTTCGGTTACTTCGAGACCGACGGAGATCGAAGTGATTTTGGTGGTTGGGTAGTAAGGGAGGATGTTGTTGCGGAGCCAAGTATCGACGTTTGACTGGAACTGAGCAAACGCAAGTAGGTCAGCGTTAGGGACACCAATCATGAGCTCGATTCCTGTGTTTGCGAAAGCTTTGAGAACGTCGATGTTGGCGTCGTAGATTCGGACAAATTTGATGTTTAGATGTTGGATTAGCTCAGATACTTTGTTGGGGCTTGGGAGATTATCTGCGTTTCTTCCGTAACATATCCCTATATTGCTCGCCGTACCAAAATCTGCAATCATTTAAAAAAAAAAGGGTTTCTTATGAATCTCAAAAATGGCTGTTTTGATTCCAAACATCTTAAGTGGTTCGAAGCTAACAGATTCGAGATTATTTTTGCAGACAAGAACTAGAGTGTAGCAGAGACCAACCTAGAAGACAAAGAAAAGTACGGAACTTTGACATCGAGAAGACGAAATAATGAAACCCAGATGTAAATGCAGACCCAAAGTTATTAATGGAAGATACACAGAAAGAGGATTTTGATTGAAGACATACCCAGAAAGGCAAGAAGGGAGACAGAAATCCAGAAGATTAGCTTCAGTCTTTTACCCATTTTCTTTCACAAATCAAGTTTTCTACTTGAGTCAGTGAAGTGTTTATTCTTCTTCAGTTGAACCCAGAAATGTAACGGCTCACTATCTCAAGAACACTTCGCCTTAAGTAAGGGACTAGGGAGCACAGAGTTCTAGAGATGGAGGTGTTTCTCTCTAAGTGTGCACTGTGCTTTCTCTATCAAAGAGTTCGGATTCCAGCGGAGAATATAAATTTGGGTTCATAGAAACGCCTCGATTCCGTGAATTAAGCAAGCATGTTTGCTCTCTCTCTCTCTCTTTAACTGTTGCAGATTTACTGCTTCCGAGAAGAAACTCTTTTTTTTCTCTGAGGAATAATGAAAAAAAATAAAAATGACAAATAGTATAAAAACATATTAAATGAAATGGGTTCCAGCGTAAAGAGTACGGACAACAGTGCTCTGCTTTTTTTTTTGTTTTCATTTAACGGTCCAATCTCCTCCTCCACTCGCAATTTTTGCATTTACCAAAATTATCATTTGAAAATATAAAGAAATTTAGAGTGAACTGCATTGATGCTACCAAATTTTAAGCGATGTGGTAAGACTGTAATAGATTGATGAGAAATATGAAGCACTATCGTAAGATTCATTACTTTTTTTTGTTTTTAACAGATTTATTACTGATACTATTTAGAACAATATTTCGAGTTGCAAAAATGTAAGATCTATATATCTCCCTAAGAGAAAATATAAAGATTGCGGGGGTAAAAGATATAGTTGTATTGAATTCAGCCAGAGTTCGAAGAGTACAAAAAGTTTAGGTTGTCGGAAAAGAACGTCGATCTAAATTTTAAGAGTAAAGAACCGAGATTTAGAACTGGAAGCAGTAAACTATTATTTGCCCTAGGTCTCGAGTCGAAAGTTGTGAATGAATCGTTTTCGAGAGAGGGAGCTCTTCTTATATAGCTTTCGTAGACCGCCTTAAGAATAATTCTTCTTCTTCGGGATTATGATAGTTTCCTTTCTTCTTGGGGTCTTCTTTCCTTTTCTTCCGCGATATGAATATTTTCTTCGAATATTTCCATATTTGAGCACCGATCTAGACTCTGAAGTGGAAGTAGAGCTTCAAATAGGTCTTGTCTCAATTTATGAAGGGCTTTTAGCAAGGGGTGCTAAACCCATCACTAACAAAAAACTTTAGAATGTACTCTCTTTATTTTTTAATATAAGATGTTTTGGGTTTTTCATATATATTAAGAACATTTAACAATTTTAATTTTTTTTCCAAAACATCTTTTACTTTTAAAAAAGAAGTATTTAATTTGTTCATCCCAAAAGATATTGTGGACAAAGAAAACTTTCATAAATGGTGTCTACCAAAGTCCAATTTTAGCTGTTTTTGAACTTAACAACAAGAAATTAACAATAATAATAATTAGTCACTTTTTATATCTAAGATTCAACATTCATTATTCAGTATTCCCTTTTTTAGTGGGGTAGTTTTAACATTTTTTTCTTTCTATCAAGGATTTGGTTTGGCTATGACGACAACAAAAAAAGTCTTTTTATAAGTTACAGCCTTAATGATATTTATGAAGCTCTAATTTATCTTCTTCTTTTTTTTATAAAAGCCCAAATTTATCTTTCATCTCCACCGACATGGCCTCCAAAGAAGTTAGACCAAGGAAGAAGAAACCGAAGTCACAGAGAACATTCTTGCCCGTGTCTCGAGATGGAAGTACCCTTGGCTCTCTCTCGTCTCCAAGAGATTCCGCTCTCTCTTATCTTCCACGGAACTCTACAAGACGCGATCTCAAATCGGAGCCAGCGAAACATGCCTCTATGTTTGTTTACATCCGCCCAATCGTCGTCCATGTCCGAGCTGGTTTAGTCTTTGGCCGAAACGTAATCCAGTTAAAACCCGAACCAAACGAAGAGGTAAGCTTAGGTTTAAACAGAATTCTAGTGGAAAGATTTTAGTTCCGATACCTAACTCTTCTTGCCAGACTCCTCCCCTATCCACCGTCGCGGTTGGTTCGGAAATCTACTTAATCGGTGGAATATACGAGGAGCTGCCTAGTTCCTCTGTTCGGATATTTGACTGTCGGAGTCACACTTGGCGTGACGGCCCTAACATGACGGTGGCTCGGAATGATGCGCATGCGGTTTTACTCGATGAGAAAATATATGTGGTGGGAGGTATTGGCAAGTACTCTACCAATTGGTTTGAGGTGTTTGACATAAAGACTCAGTCTTGGACAGCCTTGCCGATTCCTGACGATGAGCTACGCGATCATACTGGTGATGAGTTAGCATGCGTGGTCCAAGGAAATATTTATATAATGGCACATACAAGGGTCTATACATACGAGCCGAGACAAGGCACATGGAAAAGTACTGCAAGAGAGACAAGGAGTTACGAATTGGTATATGTTTCGTGTGTGATAGAGAATGCTCTATATAGTTGTTGTGAGGAAGGATATTGCCATTGGTATGACTTTAAGGGTGGAGAATGGAAAGTGATCAAGGGTTTGGAAGAATTGCGTGAGCATCGAACAAGGGGTTTAAGAGGTGATAGAGTGCTTGAAGTAGCTAACCATGGTGGGAATCTTTTAGTTTTTTGGGATGCTGGGACTAAACTGACCAAACGCAAAATCTGGTACGCCAAGATTTCTTTAGAAACGAGATGCAATGGAAATGAGGTTTGCGGTAAAGTTGAATGGGCTGATTTTTTGCTAACGTCATATGACTTCTACCATTGTGCAAGCGTTTCGGTTTGATGACTCAGTATTGTCAGTTCATTTAGTCCATTTTTTTTTTAACGTGCCGTTTTGTTTATTGAGACGAGCTTCCATATTGGTATGATTTAAAGAGTGATTTATACAAACTCGCAAGTCTTTTTGAGGCAAAGTCTCTATCTTTTGTTCTTTCAAGGTCTTCATCTAAATAATTTCAACTATAGAAGAATTTGAGCAACATTTTGTGCACCTTGAAGTGAAGGTGAGATTCTTGAAAATTTAACCTTTTTCATATATGTGTGCCTTAACTAGTTAGATTAGTAACCAAATTGATATGCAAGATTCTCTCTTTACTCTTCATAGGTGTGATCTGTGCTTTATTTTATTTAATTTGTTTATCTTCTTCTTCTCTGTTTGTTGTATACTTACCAATGAATGTGATGTTGAATTTTCTTAGTTTCTTTCAATAGTAGTTATGTAGCTACTTAAGTTTACTTATTTTCCAAGTTGATCACAAGGAAGTAAATTCAACAACACATAGCTTGAGCTGCAAGCCTTATTATGAAGTTTATAAAGCAACAACATCTCCTGATATTTGGGATTGAGTTGTATTAAAGGATAATTTTCCAACATCTACGGAACAATTAACAAAGTAATATAAAAAGAGTCAGCACTCAAATCGTACGTAACCGCGTGATACGCTATGCAATCAACTCACGGAAATAAAATGGTCGCAAGCCGAAGGACTTTTTTTAATCCTTTCTTACGACACAAGCCTTCCATTTTTTTTTAACTGTGGGCTTTTGAAATCATCCAAGCCCAAAGACTTTTCTTTGCATACAAGTAAGAAAACCTACAAAAACCACACCAAAAACTCTAAATAATGTTAGACCTTTTATCTGCTGGTCATGATTTTAAAATAATGTAGAGTTTTGGACATACATGTATGTATCCCTTTTTAGTGGGGTTGTTTTAATTTTTACATTCAAATTTAATCAAGGATTGGTTTGGCTATGACGACAGCAAAATTAAGGTCATATACTATAGTAGTACACACTGTACAGTAGCAGGATAAATTTAGAAATAGGTTGTGTGGCCGTTTGGGTACCTTTATTGACATCGTATTTATTTTTTTATTTTTTTTGACAACCATCGTATATTATTATAACTTCCAGATCTCCAAAGTATATTTCATTTTGAAATGAGGAAGCGTGTTAATAATACACTTTAAACCAGGAATTTAGTTGCTAATTCTATGTTGACCGAATCATTTTCATATATCTAACCTATATTTCATGATCTTTTCCTCCACTTAGTTCTAACGGCCGACGATGATCTCCGAAGAAGAAGAAGTTGAACCGCCGCAGAAAAAGACAAACCCTTTTCCGGTTCCGCCGTTTCACCACCAACCATGTGTGTCGTCGTTTTCGTCACTTCCAGGCGAGATCGCTGTGAATTGCTTCGCACGCATCTCTAAATCGTATTACCCTTCACTCTCCCTCGTCTGCAAGACCTTTCGTTCTCTCCTCTCTTCCCCAGAGCTCTACGCCGCACGATCTCAAACCGGAACCACCGAGATCTGCCTCTACGTCTGCCTAAAGTTTTCCACCGTACTCTTCACGCCTCCATCTCGACGATGGTTCAGTCTCTGGATAAAACCTAAAAGAAACCTAACCGAGGATAGGACCAGAGAGAAATCAAATGGAAATCTCTTAGTTCCTTTTCCCAATATATCTCCTCCTTATTCATCTTCAACCGTAACGATTGGTTCGGAAATCTACGAATTCGGTGGACCAGTGGACTATTCTTCAGCTGTTCGTGTTTACGACTGCCGGAGTCACACGTGGCGTAATCTTCCCAACATGAAGATGGAGAGGACACGTGCGTCGTCATGTGTCCTCGATGACAAGATTTATGTGATGGGAGGATGTAGAGCTTGGTTCGAGCACGATAGTTGGTTCGAGATGTTCGACATAAAGACTCAGACTTGGGAAACCCTACCGGCGAATCCTGAACGTAACGTACGGTTAGGGTTTACGGTTTGCAAAATCGGTGTGGTGGAAGGAAAGATTTACGTAAAGACTGCTATTCAGCTCAAGGATTGGATCTATGATGTGAAGGAGAGGAAATGGAGTGTTGCCGATGCGCATCTGAGTCTACTATGGTCTTCTACTTCCTGGTGCGTGATAGAGAATGTGATGTATTCTTGTGACTCTTCATGTAGATGCGTGTGGTATGATTCAAAGAGTATGACGTGGAGAGATGTGAGAGGTTTGGAAGTACTTAAAAAGTACCGAAGTT